ACAAATACAGCAAAAAACAGACCCAATGCAAAACCACACATCGTGAGAAGCCAAAAATCCAGACCTAAGTTTGGATGCAAGGTCTAATTTTAAAGCGGAGAAAAATCAAAAGAAATGAGATGCAGGCTGCGAGGTGAGCCTTCTGAAAAGCCTTCCCAGAGGAGGCATCAGTCACTCAGTCTCTCCATCATTCACTTGCTGACTCTCAACAGGGTTTAAGTCCTGCCTGGTCACTAACACTGTTGCTTCCCTGTGAGTGTGGCAGAGCCAACAGCTGTATTTATGGGGAACACGCTAGAGATGTGCTGAGCACAGGGGATGCGGAAATGCAGCAGAATGCTCGGCACATGGACTCTGCCCAGGTGGAAAGTCAAGGACATCCTCCTTAAGAAAGGGATGCTTCCGGAAGGCAGCCACACCTGTCGACATGCACACCTTCTCTTCCCGACTCACCTGCCAGTGTGGACACTAAGGCCTCTGTTCCCATCTGCCCACACACCCCATAATCCCAGGGCCAGCCTTCAGGCATAGGGGATATGATCTACCCTGAGGGGGACAGATTGAGGTGAGAGCCACTTGCAGGATATAGGCAGATTTCAGGTGCTTGATGAGAGTTTGTGGAGTCCTTGATGCAGAAGTGACCACACAGCCTGTGAACTGACCCCTGTACCCTCACAGGCTGACTGTCAAGAGGGGCAAAAGCTGGGCGAGGGCTGGTGGGGAGTCTTGTGAAACTTGGACCCATGGGCCCAGAGTTGAGTCCTGACTGCAGGTCTAGGGAGGCTTCAGCGAAAGGAGCAGGATGAGTTAGCTCAAGGACAAGTTCAGGGAGTGGGGAATGCCTTCCCGTGGGAGGAATGACTGCCACAAGATTCTGGAGAGGATGGGAAGAACTCTGGTTACTCTGCCAGCAAGTGACAGAGGTGCAGGGGGAAGGTGAGACAAGGTTGGAGGGTGCACAGAAGCCTGGAGGCCCCAGGGCAAGAGTCGGCTTCACGCAGGACATGGATCACACCAGTGGGCAGGGTGAGGTCATTTTGAAGGGCGTGAAGCATTTGTTCCAAACTGAGATGAAGCCATGCCAGCAGGTACTTGATGCGAGAACACAGCTCAGCCAGCCAGGTCTGAAGCAGGCACAGGAAGGAAAACCAGTGCATTTTGAGAGGAGCCATTGTGGAGGAGTCGTGAGCGGGGGCCACGAGGCTAGGGTGATGTGAGCCCAAATCCTTCTGCGAGAAGCTCCTCCAGGATTGGGAGAGTGTCCCCGTGTGCTGTGCTGACCACTGCAAGAGATCATGCTCAGCCCCAGTTAACACCTTCCTGCTGCAGCGGCACTCCCTGCGTGCGAGCCAGAGCTCTTCAGGCAATTCTTGTGTGATTCTGTGTGATTGCAGTATTCTAAAAATGTCTTTCGAACGGGCATCACATTGTAGTCCCCATGAATTTTTTTTCATAATTGGTGATGATAATCTTAACACTTAAAGCCTATTAAATTATGAAAATACTGAGTGGTAGTAAAGATTGCCCTTTATGTAAGTAGATAGATGTTGGGCTGTGTGTGTGATAACGCTGCTTACATAATCCCCACAACCAGGACCCTGGGGACTCTGACTCGGTGATGGAACGGTTGGTTTAAATTAGGTTTTCCATGTGAAGCATGGTGTCGCTATTTTTTCCTAGCATTGTGGGAAAGTATACAGCAAATGATTTGACTGATAGTAAACAAATCTGGATACGCAGTCAGGATTGAGACACAACCTACGTCGTCATGGTCTCTCTCTGTCCCAGAAATGCGCTGAGAAGCTGGCCTCTCCAGGGGCAAGAGGTTAACTCTTGCTAGCCCCTGGAGTCTCTGCAAGAAGAGGGTGAAGGAAGAGTGACTTTCTGAAACCCTGATTTTCAGCAGGAACGGCGATGAAGCCGTAGAACAAATATAGTCAAAGTTGAATCACTTTGAAGATTTTTATTTTAAGAAGGAGTTTAATTTCCAATTTAGATTCATTAATGTAAACGATCTAAGTGTTGGCTAATGATTTGCCGTTGTAGAATAGGGTTCATTAAAAGCAAATCAGACTACGCCAGCATTGTGGCATAGTGGATAAAGCCACCACGTGTGATGCTAGCATCCCATGTGGCTGCCACTTCATGTCCTGGCTCCTGGCTTCAGCCTGGTCCAGCCCTGGCCATTGCGGTCACGTGGGGAGTGAATAAATGGATGGAAGATCTCTCTCTCTCTCCAGCTGTCTGTCCCTCTGTGTGTGTGTGTGTGTGTGTGTGTGTGTGTGTGTGTGTAACTGATTTTCAAATAAGTAAATAAATCTTTACGAAAGAAAAAAAAATCAGACTAAAGAATTGGACAGAAGCGCTAGCAGTGATCAGTTTCTCCTGACAAAAAAAAAAAAAAAAAACAAAATCTCTTGCTGTCATGCTCAGGCATTGACAGAGGTGACTTACCCGAGTAAGCGGGTGAGCGGACAAGGCATGGAGGTGGGGCGCAAGACAAGCAGCGGCTCTGGGACTCCCAGAAAGCTCCAGAATGGTCTGGACAGGACTTGTCCTGGGCTCTGATCCCAGTTGTGTTCTCCTGATGTTGCCTGAGGCTGCAGCGACCTCCAGAGCAGGCGGAGGGCAAGGTGTGTGCTGGGAGCCCGAGATACAGGCGACAACACGTGCAGCACACACCGCATGTACAGCCGTGCTCCTGGCTGGTACCAGGTGATAGCCCAGCGTTTGTTTTTGTTTTTTCACATTCTGGATTTTTAATTTTTAAACTATTTCTAGGGTGTCTTGGCATCTTTGTATCTTCTTTAATTCCGGCTTGGTCTTCAAATGTGTGGTTCACATTGAGTAATTAGAATACCTGCCAAGGCCAAGTTTAAAGAAATGCAACCTCCATCAGATGAAAGGATACCAACGTGAGAGTTCTGGGTTGACATTAACAAGGATTGTGGCTTAGTTATCTTTCTTCCTCATGAGATGTGGATCCTTGATCTGGAACAAAAGGGGTTAGACTGCCCTCCGTGTTTGCTTATAGCACTAAATCTGTTCATCCTTACCATTTCATCAGTTTGTAGGCAGCATGCCCTTAGCCTTGAACTCTCGTTTTCTGCAGTTGTCTGGGTCATCATGAACTCTGTTCAGGCCTCAGTGTCCCTCAGGCCGTGGCAAACAGTTGCTTTCCAGATCTCAGCACTGTTGCTGAACCAAGGGCAGTCAGTGGGGCCAGGTGGGCTCAAGACCAACACTTTCGCTGGTGAACAACTGAAGTCATCAACCCAGACTTTAGCCAGCATGAAAAACGAACGTGGATGTACGCTCTTGCCCCAGAACCAAAGTACAGGTAGCAGCAAAATATGAGGGTCCTTAAAAAAATTCACAGAAGGTGGAATTAAAAGATGACTGGCAGGTGGATATTTGGCACAGCTGTTAAGGCACTGCTTGGGATGGCTGCCATCCTGATCAGATGTCTTTGCCTTCTGATTCAGTTTCCTGCCAATTCCCTGGGACGAAATAGGGGATGTGCAAGTGTGTGTGAGCCTGCCACCCGAGTAAGAGAGCTGGCGTGAGTTCTAGGGTGTTTGTTTCATCCTGGCCAAGGCCTGGCTGTTTCAGACATTTGAGAAGTGAACCAGCAGTTAGAAAATGTCTGTCTGTCTCTCTGTGTCTCTCTTCCTTCCAGTAAATGTACACATCAGTGAAGAATATTTTTATTTATTTAAGAAACAGACTTCTTTGGAGCAAAAAAACTGAAAGCCATATTATAGCTTTTTCATAATTTGCATTTTCTGAACATTTTCGAAGACCACTTGTAACCTTGGAGATTAAGCAGTTGATTTGGAGGCGCTTTATCATAAAAGGGGATGTGGATATGCAGTGCTGCTAAGTACTAAACTCTGCTTAACAGAAAAGAAAACATACGTCATGTTAGGATAAGTGTAAGCCCGAGATTGGAGAACATGCAATTTGCCTGTATGCATGAAGCATCTGTTGGGCCGTCAGTACAGTGTGTGGAGCAAACGCTCCAAGTTCGCATCCAGGCTTTGCTACCTGTTGGTTGAGGGCCTCTGCAGGCACGTGCGGGCAGTGATAGTCCCTGAACCTTAGGGCCGTTGGGAGAGGTAAAATGCTGAGGATGGTCCCTGCATACTATAAATACCCTCTAAATATTTACTCTTCTCATTATTTTGCCTTTTGAAGAATATGATGACACATTTATAAACAATCATTCCAAAATATTTTTTTGTGGCTTTTCAACGCATAACCTGTTTTGCTGTTTGATAAATGTATTTGATATGTGAGCCAAGTGCATTGATTTCATACTTTTTTTTAAGATTTATTTTATTTTTATTGGAAAATCAGATATAGAGAGAGGAGTAGAGACAGAGAGGAAGGTCTTCTGACTGTTGATTCACTCCCCAAGTGAGCACGACAGCCGCAGCTGAGCCAATCCAAAGCCGGAACCCAGAGCCTCTTCTGGGTCTCCCATGCTTTGGGCCGTCCTTGACTGTTTTCCCATGCCACAAGCAGGAAGCTGGATGGGAAGCAGGGCCGTAGGGACATGAACTGGCGCCCATATAGGATCCTGGTGTGTACAAGGCAAGAACTTTAGCCACTAGGCTACTGCGCCGGGCCTGATTTCATAACAATCTGGATGCCCATCAGAGAAATGTATTTCCATTGATATTACCCATGGGCCTTATTTTCTTTAGTCTCGAGGAACTGTGTAGATCACAGGAGTTTGGGGATTGGCTGCCTTCAGCCTCCTTGTCTTAAGGTGGAGATACAGGAACACTGAGTTTCTTTATCTAAACCCTGGAGCAAAGCAGTGAAGGAGCTGGGCTTTCATGACAGAGTTCTCCGCTAGCTCCTCTCGCTCCAGATAGCAACTTGTTGTTTGTTTCTTTAGGGTTTTTTTTTTTTTCTTGCTGGGGAAAGTAAAGAAGAAGTTGAGCAAGCTTCCAAGACATGGTTTCAGTCATGCCCCACTCTGTGTCTTGCAGGTGAGCTCCTGGGTGACCTGGCTGATCCTCACAGCGGGCTCCATGGAGGAAAAGCGTGAAGTCTTCTCGTACCTAGTGCACGTGGCCAAATGCTGCTGGAACATGGGCAACTACAATGCCGTCATGGAGTTCTTGGCCGGCCTCAGGTAGGGTCAGTGGGGAAGAAGTTGGCTTCCTGGCGATGCTTTCCTCCCTCCCTGAGTTAACTTCCTCTAGCGTGTCCCATTTCTCCAAGTCAGACAACTGTAGCCGTCCTTGTGGGAAAGGTGTCATCGTCTTCCAGAGCCACCAGCTCAAGGCCAGGGATGGTCCCACTGCCCTCTATCCCAATATTAGATGTCACACTGTCGCTTCTGCTGTACTTACGGTCACTTCGGGATCAGCACTGATTCTCTGTGGGTGACACAACAGCAGGAGTCAGGGATAATTGAAGAGCATCCAGGAGACAGGTTCCAAATGCTGCATTTTAGATTTGCTTGATGCAGAGTGCCCCAGAGTGGCCTTTGCAGGCCTAGACCCTACTTTATTTTAATTAAAACCTCAGAAGGCCTTAGAGCCAGGGGACTCTCTTAGACAAGGAATAATAACCTGAGGCCAGGCTCTGCCTTATCCCTGACTCCTGTGAGTTTTGTCTGACATCCCGGACTCGGTTGAAGTTTTTTATTTAACAATATATTTTTTGGAAATTTGATGTGATGAAAGAACACTCTTATTAAATGACTCTGATTTTATACTGCTGCATGTTATTTTCTCAAATTTTCAGCTCTTTTAAAGAAAAACACAGAAATAAGATTTATAAGGCCAAGTGTTATAGTTTAGTGGATTTTTTAAAAAAGTTTTTAATTTTATTTTAAGGCCAGATTTACAGGAAGGAGAGAGGGAGAAAGAGATCTTTCATCTGCTGGTTCACCCCGCAAATGGCTGTGACACCAAAGTTGAACTGATCCAAAACCTGGAACTTCCTCTAGGCCTCCCATGCGGGTTCAGGGGCTCAAGAACCTGAGCAGTCCTCCACTACTTTTCTGGGCCATAAGCAGGGAGCTGGGTCACAAGTGGAGCAGCTGGGACATGAACCAGTGCCCATATGCAATGGTGGCACCATAGATGGAGGATCACCCTGCCACTGCAGTGGGCTCGGTTTAATGAATTAAACTATTACCTACAATGCCAGCATCCCATGTGGGAACTAGTTTGATTCCCACCTGCTCTACTTCCAGTCTAGCTTCCTGCTAATGCACATGGAAAAGCCCAAGTCCTTAGGAGCCTGCTTTCACATTGGAAACCCAGAGGAAAATCCTGGGTCGAGGCTTTGGCCTAGCCCATGTCTGGCCATCTTGGCAATTTATAAACCAGAGAATGGAAGAGCTCATTCTCTCACTCACTCTGTGTAACTCTGTCCTTCAAATAAATACGTTTTTACTAAAAAGAAATACAAAGATTTCTAATTAAAGATAATTATTTTGTGTCAGTTTAAAATAACCTAAATGAATAGTAATAGGAAAACAGTTCAAGGAAATGAAGCACATCCACGTAATGATTCATTTAACCCTCAAAAATGTTCATGAAAAACTGTGATACCGTTGGAAAACAAATAACATAAATGAGCAAAACTCTGAGAACAAAGCTGTGGGAACTTAATAACTTCATTGTTCCTTATCCAACTGGAGAGACATGAATAGATTAAATACTGGAGGAATATACCTAATATTGTATGTATTTTATAGAAATATGAATGATTTTTTTTCTCTTTGGTATTTTCTGGGCTTTTTTTCTAATGATCCTCTGGTACTTTATCCTCATAAATAAAAGTTTTTAAAAACTCTATCAGTTCTCAATCTAACAAAAAATTACTGAGCTTTGTCTCGACGTATGTTGTGACCACTGCTCTATTTACATAGTAGGGATCATTAAATGATGAGAGCCATAGTCATTTATTTAATTCACTTATCACTCTGTCTCTAAGGTATATTCTCGCTGCCATGTAAGAATCTGATCATAAGACCAGATGAACTGAGTGGGATGAAATCAGAAAACAATTTTATGTTTTCAGACCTCGTGCCCCACGGTTTATCCACTGAAAGATTCCTGTTAGCTTTCTCAGGCTCTTCTGTGGTTACTAAGCAGGAGTTGTCCTGCACTCCGCACCGTGATCACATCTCAGAAATAATAAACCTTTCAAAATATATATAATAAAAAAATAATAAATAAACCTTTCAAGAAAGCAGATTGCCTGAGAAAATCCACAGTGCGATCCAATTCTGTGAAGGCACGATGCACACAGTGTTGCAACTTGCTTAGTGACATAGACACATGTTGGGAAAGCGTGGACAACTGCATAAAGGAAAGAGAACAATGGAGTTTGCGGGGGAGGCCAGGGATGGGGCGTGGGCTCCCTGTGGAAGCTGTCCGAGCTCGGCCACCCTGCGGACGTTGGTTGTTTAGACGGAAGTCGGCACTCAGGCATTTCTCTTGCCATCCTCTCCTGTGTCTCTTGGTTGCCTCCTGTGTCCTGTGATGATATTTTAAACCACTCCGATCCACATCCAAATGTCCATTTCTCATTCACTTGGTAGTTTCCTCCCTTCCCTAACCAGTCTCAGAAACTTGCATTCAGGTGGAAAAAGCTGGTTTGTCTGTCTCCATTTTCTTTCTACCATCCCATCATTCCTGCAGGAAATGTGGACAGCAGAGAAGAGGGGAAGGGAAAGGGATTAAGCAAGCCAAGGATGTTCCCTGATTGGGACCAGGGCAGTCCATCATTGATGCCCTCAACAGAAACAATGTGAACTGGTTTTAGGATTTCTTCCTAGTGATCTCTCTGGCCTTCTCCAACCCTCCTTCCACATCTTATAGGGACCTGACAAAAATGCAATGCACCCATCAGCCCCTACCTCGGGCTCCGGTTCTAGAGGGCCCCCCTCACAGGGTCTTTTCTACTGGTGTCACCTCATTCAGCAGGGTCCGCCTTCCTTCCAGTGTCTACTTCCAACTCCTGGATGGTGTCTAGCATGTTGCCCTCCCAATTCTGCAAATGCAGGCATGTACACTGAGCCCTCGTCCCTTCTCTTGGCTGTCAGGTGGCTTCAGCCAGCCTTTCACCTTAAGCAAGAGTCACCCACCAGCCACTGTCATCAACACAGGTCACAGGTCAACATCTCCATGAAGCTCACTGGAAGCCCTTGACCATGGAGTGCTTTTCCTCCTCACATCCAGTCCTCTTGCCGCCCCCTCCATAGAAACCTTTTCTACTTTCCCGTTTGGCTCATGTGTGGGGGACACAGAAGGGTGAGAGGGCAGTGAGGGCAGAGCAGTTTGTGTACCGCACTGCTGGGGCAGCTTGACATCTGTCTGTTGAAGGTGGGTTACAATGCCCCCTGCTGCCCTCTCAAAATAGGAGAAATCTCACTTAACATCTTGTTATGCAAAATGAGTTGGTGACTCAGTGACAAAGCAATTCTATGGCAGAGGTTAGGGTGGCACACTTAATGTATACTGACATAATCCAAGAGTAGTGGGTAATATTTGAAGATGAAAGGAATTGGGGAGCACATTTTTTACATGCAGGCTGGCCTCTATGAATATTTGTGCACAAATGTTGCCCACCATGCTTCCATATGGCCATGGCTTCTGGAACAGCTCCAGCCTCCACTCAGTGTCCCAGCATCCATCATTACCCCACCCCATATGATTGTGTTTGCTTGTCCTGTGTGTTCCAGCTCACAAAAGTAACATTCATAGCATTTTGAAAATTAGACATACATGGGAATGCAAAAGACATATTAGCACATAAGGAATACTTAGAAGGTTAAAAATGAGCTATATGGGATTGAGTCTATTTACCCGGTATAACATGTCATATACTCACCACAGGTCGAGAAAAGTTTTGAAAATGTGGCAGTTCATGGAGCAGTCGGACATGGAGACCATGAGGAGCCTGAAGGATGCCATGGCTCTGCACGAGTCCTCACGCGAGTACAGGAAGGCAGTGACACGCGCGCTGCACATCCCTGGCTGTAGGGTCGTCCCATTCTGCGGCGTCTTCCTCAAGGAGCTCTGTGAGGTCCTCGACGGAGCTTCCGGACTCCTGAAGCTCTGCCCACGCTACAACTCCCAGGAGGAAACTTTAGAGGTGAGACCTTTCACAGTCACTACTCGAGAAGCAACCGCTCTTTTGGCCAGCCATCCCATCAGGTGTTTTCTGTGCTCCTTAAAGCAATAAAACATCATTTACATGTATATATTATGTAGAGATTTATTTATTTGCAAGGCAGAATGATGGGGTGGGGAGGGTTTGGAGAGAGGAAGGAAGAGAGAGATCTTCCATCTGCTGGTTCGCTCTCCAAATGACCTCAGTGGCTGGCACTGGACCAGGCTGAAGCTAGAAGCCTGGAACTCCATCTGAGTCTCCTGTGTGGATGCCAGAGGTCCAGGTGCTTGAGCCATTATTCATTAGCGGGACTGGAACGAACGTGGAGCCAGGACTTGTACCCATACTCTTCTATCTCTCTCTCCTCTCTCTCTGCCTCTTCTTCTTACCCCTTCACCCCTCCCTACCCCATCCCACACACCCCTCAGTAGGAAAGCAGGAATAGGAAGACTCCTGAAACCCCCTCCTCTCTGTGTGACCTGGGAACACAAGCATCAGGGTATGTAGCAGGCCCACCTGCAATGCCAGCACCCCATGTTGAAGCACCAGTGTTAGTTCCAGCTTCTGTGCTTCAGGTCCATGCCAGTGTGCCTGGGAGTCCATCAGCTAGTGACCCAAGGAATGCTGATGTCACAGTCAGTGGCTTAACCAGCTTTACCACAATGCTACAGCACCATCACCTACTTGCATGTGTCCAGGCCAAGGTTAAATAATTACACTGTTTCTGAGTAGTACAAATAAGCTTGAGTGCTCTGCTGGAAAGAATGCCAAATAGCACTATCAGGGCCTACCCATGTTCCATTAGGTTCAATGTCATAATATGTAAGGACAAGAGGGAAAATATTTCTGAATTTCTTTTAACATAGACAGGTTTTCTTTTTGAGTGGGAATATCTGGGTACAGGGGATAGAGAAAGTCAAGTCAGAATATTTACTTTTCCATACAAGGGGGAGAAAATAGATGTCTGCATGGCCATCATTTTTTGTCCTTTGCAAGAAGATGCTGGGAAAGCTGGAACTTCATCTAAAGACAGGTGCAGGCTGCTAATTTCCAGGCCCAGCACTCCATGGTCCTGAGTTCCAGAAGGGAAAGCATGGAGGGCATGGGGCACTAGAAAGAAGGGAAACTGGGAAACTGGAAGGAAAAAAACAAAACAAAACAGGAAACCTTCTTTACTATGGTATTTAAAAATGAAAGAGGGGAGGATGGCAACACTAGCATGCCATGTAGAAACCCATTCAAGCTCCAGCTGTTCCACTTCAAGTCGAGTTCCTTACTAATGAATCTGGGAAAGAAGCGGAAGATATCTCAACTGCTTGAGTCCCTGCAGCCATGTGGGAGACCTGGATGAGCTCCTGGCTTCAGTGTCACCAAGCCCTGGCTGTTGGGAGCCATTTGGCGAGTAAGACAGTGAATAGATAATACATCTCATTCCTCTTTCCTCTCCCTCACTCAGTCCTCACCCCATGCTGACAGCACTCACCCTCAGATATTTTTTTCCCAAATGAAAGAAAAAGAGCCAGCACTGTGGCATGGCTCATAAAGCTGCCACCTAGTTCCAGTACCCTGTATGAGTCCCCGTTCAAGACCCAGCTGCTCCACTTCTGATCTTGCTCCCTGCTAATAGCCTGGGAAAAGCAGCAGAGGATGATGGCACAAGTGTTCGGGCCCCTGCACCCACATGAGCGATCCACCTGGAGCTCCTGTTTCCTGGCTTTATCCTAGCCCAGCTGCTGCAGCCATTTAGGGAGTGAATCAACAGTTGGAAGATCTCTCTTTCTCTCTCTCTCTGTTTCTACTTCCATAGACATAGGCACCATTGAGCAAAAAGCATCTTTTCCTAATGCCTTCTTCAGGCCTGGTTCCAGTCGATTGGATGCTTTTGTAGTGGTTTTCCCTAGTTCTCACTAGAATAATAAAATAGCCCTGCCCTTCCTCTTTACAAGTGGCTAATACTCTCCCTGGGGATCCCTGCAATAATATTGCCTTGAGTGTTTTAAAGTCAAAATTGGGTGTTGATTCCTAATGCAACTAAACCGTCCAAACAGAAATAAGAGTAAGTTTTGATATTCCACGTGGTGAAATGAAAATGTTTTTCCTAGAGGCTCTTGTTTTCTTTCCAATAAAATAGGCATGCATGCCATTATTTATTACTATTATGATTTCATTCCCCTAGCCAAGTAGGTTATTCAGATGTATCGTGTTAAATCGTGACGCCCAACTCTCTGTTTTTCCACAGTTCGTAGCAGACTACAGTGGACAAGATAATTTCTTACAACGCGTGGGACAAAATGGCCTAAAGAATTCCGAGAAGGAGTCCACGGTCAACAGCATCTTCCAGATCATCAGAAGCTGCAGTCGCAGTCTGGAGACGGATGAGGAGGACAGCCCCAGTGAAGGGACTGGTTCCAGGAAAAACTCCTTGAAGGACAAAGCCAGGTGGCAGTAAGTTTCATGTGTTGCAAAGAGAGAATAGGAATGGGCGTTTGGCCTAGCGCTTAAGTCAACCCTTTAAGACTCCTGTGTTCCTACACCGGAAAGCCTGGGTTCAGTCCCAGTTCCACCTTGACTCCCAATTCCTGTACTGCAGACCCTGGGATAATTGGTCCCTGCCACTTGCATGGGAGACGAGGCGTGGTTTCTAGCTCTGGCTTCATCCCAGCTGCAGCCCAGGTGCAGGTGGCTGTGATCCAGGACTCTCAGGAGCTCTCTGTCGCTCTTATTCTTGCTCTTGCTCTCTATTTCACTCTCTCACCCTCTCCTTCCACCTCTCAGACAAATAATTGTTAAAAATTTTAAAGAATACACTGCTCATTTTCTTCTTTTGCCCTGTAGTTGGTCTCTTCCCTACCTCAGTTTAGTTTCACACACACTTATAAAAATCCACCCCTGTTATCATGACGTCATGCTTTTTTCTCTTCAGACTTACCTTTCTCATTTCACTGCTTGTTTCTAAAATGATTGCTCATAATTTAACTTTTTGTCTGCTATTATCACTTTACAAATCCCGGGACTATTTCTATTGCCATTTCTGAAAAAGTGAACAAGTTAAATTTCAGCAGTACAGCCATGATCTTTTATTTTTTCACTTCTGTAACTGTTTTATTAGTCTTTGGGTCAGGCACTGTACTGGATAGTAAAATATTTTTAAGTCCAATGTATGGATTTGCTAGGACTGGATGATACTTAGACTCAGTATTGAAGAGTGACCCAGCCTCTGGGGTTCAGAGTCCTCGCTTTGAGAAACAAATTAAGAAGATCCCTCGTCCTTCCTCCTCTGTCGGAAGCTGTGAGGTTGCTCACTCATCCTGATTGCTGTTGGCACCAGTCACTGCAGTCCAGCCTGTCAGGCTTGCCCACAGCCAAAAAGCAGGTGGAGACATCAATGGGCAATGGACACCACTCGCATTTCTGCAATGTCTTTTACTCACAGCCAAGCCTAACTGCAAGTGGTGGAGCTTGACCCAGGTGGAGGAGTGCTTCTAAGCCTCATACAGCTGTCAGATCTCTGGTTTTGCCATCCTTGCCTTGAAAGGTTGTGTTGCTGATTGGTGCTCCAGAATCACACCTCATGGCTCTTTTGAAGTCCTTACACACATGTCTGTGTGGTTGCAAAACATTGCTGTTTGTTTGGTGCTGGGAAGGACAATAGTGTTTTCACAAAATATTTTCTGTAGGGGGCAGGTGTCTAGTACAGTGGTTTGATGCCACTGGGATGTTCATTCCATATTGGAGTGCCTGACTTCAAGTTCTGGCTCTGCTTCTAATTCCCCTTCCTGCCACTACTCACGCTTGGAGGCAGTAGTGATGGCTCAAGAAGTTGGTTCCTGCCCTCTACCTAGATAACCCCAATTGAGGTCCTGGCTGTTGGTCCCTGGCTTACAGCCTAGCCCAGACCAGCCATTGGGCCATGTGGTGAGTAAACCAACAAATGGAATATTTCTCTGTCTTCCTCTGTCTTTCCCTCTCTCTGTGATCCTGCCTTCAACATAAGTAAGTAAATCAACCTTTAAAAAAGGAAGGGTCCACAAAGCAGTGTACTGTATGCCATCGCTTAAAACATTAGTATCCTGTCAGTGCACCAATGCCACATGCTTTGCTTCCAATTCAGTTCTTCATTGACGAGCCTGGCAAAGCACCAGACAATGGGCAGAATGCTTGGTTCTCTACACGCATATGGAAGATTCTGGTGGAATTCACGGCTCCTGGCTTCAATCTAGACCAGATCTGGCTGTTGCAACCATTTGGGTAGTGAGCAAGCACGTGGAAAAGATCTTTAACTCTCTCTCCCCATCACCCTAACTTTCAAATGAATTAATTAATTAGTTGATTTTTTTAATGGAAAGGGGATATCATTCCATTTCAACATATTTATAAGAAAAAGCAGCCAGCAGCTTGGAAGGTGAAACTTCTTTTTTCATAGTGAGATCTGGCTGACATTCTTCTTTAAAGCTGCTCTGAAGGAAATCTCCATACTGAATGGATGAAATAATGCAATTCCAAGTGTTCTTTAAAAACAGCAGCCTTCGTGTGAGACAATGGGTGCTTGTGTGTGGAATCTGAAATCTAGATGCCGGCCTTTTCTTTCATCATGCTTTCCTTTCCCCAGCAGTTTCTTTGGCTAACAGTCTTGCACCGTTCCATCACCTCTCTTGAAATTTTTGTTTCCGGTCTTCTGCTTGGTGCGTGTCCTCTTCCTAACCATTTTATCGTCTGCATCCGGGGAACATTCTCTTCCATTGCACGCTTTGCAGATCCTGCCATGAGCACTCTGAGGCGGGAGGGAACTAGCGCAGAAATGCAAATATTTACTTTCCACAGCCTGTGAAGTCCTGTTGGGCTCCTCTCCTGGAAGCCTGTGCACCTGAGGCCCTGTCACAGTTTCCTTTCCCCCAGATGACCGTTCCCCTGAGCACACACAGTCAGGGCAGAGACCGGGACAGTGAACATGGCTCCTGTGAACCCCTGCCGGCACTGGGGGGTCCAATGCTGCTTCAGATCCTGGCATTAGGGTGCCCAATGCAAGGATTCAAAGTGTGTGGGGAAAGGCTGTGCAGGTGCTGAAGCCTGGAAGAAGTGTGCTTTGTTGAGGTAGCTAAAGCAAAAGGTCTGTAATCAAGAGCCTCCTGGAAGCAGTTACAGAAACCCTAGGAAAGCCTTCATAAACAGGTGAAGACTTGAACAGGAAAGAAATGGAGTTGAGAGAATCTCAAAATATCCATGGGATCTAAAATGGGATTGCTGAACTACTGTACAGATGAATAAGCGATGCCCAGGGAACAGAAGTCATTTGCCTGAGCAAAAACAGCAGAGGTTGGCGTGAGCCTGGCCGTGGGGTCAGTCAAGGGCAAGGTCCTTTGCCCTGCAACCTTTTGGCAGAGAGGGGCTGACCCTCCACTCCCCTTCAGTTGGATCATATGAGAACTTTCCAATTACGTTTATTTTTTTTAAATGATTGTTTATTTGAAAGCATTAGAGAATCTTCATTAAGCCTCAACAGAGGCGCCATCCTGGTTGTCTCCTAGGCAGTACAGGGGCCCAAACACCTGAGCCATCTTCCACTGCTCTCCAGACACATCAGCAGGGAGCTGGAACAGAAGTGGAGCAGCCAGAACATGAGCCTGCAACCAGATAAGATGTTGTGTCGCAGGGAACAGCAGTTTTACTTACTACACCGTAATGCTGGTCCCCCAATTATATGTCAATTGCAATTTTTCTTTCTCATCACGGAGAGTAAATAAGCTTTACCTATGTGAATATGTTTAAGTCATGAAGATGTGAGAGTATCATATGTTGCTATTATTGGAAAATGAAAATAAAGAATGTTAAGGTATGTAGGGAATATTAGAAATGCTGTACATATTGATCCCCACTGGGAGCCTACTTCTCTGAGAGCATTGTCCTAAGTTTTTCCTATGTGTTGACTGATAGAAGTCTTGCAACACCTACATTTTACTCAGCTAACAGCACCAGGACATAAATTCAGGCAAACTGGCTCCATGTCCACATACTCGCTAATTATAATTTATAGACTACGTATAGTTGCTAGGTTAAGGAAGTGTTTTCCAGAAAAGAATTTTTAAAACATTAGATTTTATGTAACAGAGGAGGCAAATCCTTTGGACAAGGTGTGGACTTTCTTCTATCTTAAAAGCGAAATTTAGGGGCTGCTGGTGTGGTGCAGCGAGTTAAGCTGATATCTGGCACACCAGCATCTCGAATGGCTACTGGTTCAAGTCCCGGCTGCTCCATTTCTAATCCAGCTCCTGCTAATGTACCTGAGAAAGCAGGGAAAGATGTCACAGGTACTTTAGCCCCTGCACTGGTGGGAAAGCTGGATGACACTCCTGGCTCCTGGCTTTTGCCTCGCCCAGCCTGGACCATTGCAGCCATGAGGGGAATGAACCAGCAAATGAAAGATTCATTCTCTCTAAAGTCTGCCTTTCAAAAAAAAATATCTTTTTAAGAAGTTAAATTTAGGCTTCTGTAGCACCTGATTTTATGTTCAACTGATCTTATTAAATTTGTACAAAGCAATAAACCCTTGCAAAGAAAATATTGAAGTAAGTTGACCAATCTTCGTTGTATCACCTAATAGAAGATTATCCTGGAGAAAGATTAGTGTTTATGTGTCAGTGGATAATTTTTAACTGAAGGTTCTGCAGCAGCCCTCTTGGCAGGACAGAAATTCTCTGTTTTCATCCCTTGGTCTTTTTCCTAAGGCAAACATCCAGAGTGTGCAAGGTGATGTCTTTATCATAAAACCATGTGTTAGTGCTGGATTCATGTTATTTCATTCCAAAAATAACTGTTGAGTGTTTCACCTTATTTCTTTCTATAAATCCACAGAAAATTGTCCCCTGAGAGAGTCAGGCACATAACTGTTTGAAATGCCCCATATTATCTAAGAGACAGAGCTACCACTAGTTTCCTGCTTAGAATGAGTTTATTTCATTATGAACAATTGCCAATTTTATTTGGGGCATTAGTCCCTAAAAGAATGTTTTTTAATGGAATTATTGCCATCTGGCATTAGCTCTTAATGCATTCTAAAACAAAAGCTGATGTCAGGGCAGACAGCGTCCCCTCTCTCAGCAGACATCATCTCGGAGAGAAAAACAGACCCCAGGACACCCATGTAATTTTTCTTTCCAGATGTCACTTCTCATCATGCCTGTAGGTTTTAGCTGAAAAATGCCTGATTTCACTCAGAACAACAAATTGGTGGAGTCCGAGAAATACCATTTCTCTTGCTAAATTCAAATCAGAGGTTCCTTGTCCATTTCAGCATCTGTTCTATTTTCACGGGTACTGATGTGCACCCATCAAGGCCTGTTTGCACGTTAAAGAAGCAACAAGAAGAAATACAGAGAATGCACAAATGATCTGGTGGCCATGGCCCCTGCAGAGGACAGCTGGGCTGACTGAGGCTCAGGAAGAGAAAGGGGTAGAACCATTGAAACCACTGGAGCAGAACCCTAAGAGTAGGCGTCACATCAGGGACCCTGGAGTGGCACTGGGTGGCCATTCCCCATCCCCAGCCACTACGGAGGCAGGGAGGCTGGGCGCAGCTTCTCCCCTAATTCCTCCCCCTCCCCCAGATACAGGAGGAATTAGGGGAGAAGATTTGGAAGCAGAGGTCTCATGCACACTCCCCTAGTCCTCGACCCTTCCCACCCTGGTCAACTATGTAAATATCATAAAAAATAAAAAGCAAGTTTAAAAAAAAAGAAGAAGAAGAAAGGGAGACAAAGTAAGGGGAATGAAAACAATTCTTTCTGATTTAATGATGGCAGTGCCCTTGACCAAGCCAGACACTGCCCAATGCTTTCAGGTGTGTTGCTGTATTTGACGGTCACTCTGTAACAGGAGTCATCTTTTTGCTGTCTACCAGGCAAGGAAATTTCAGGAAAACTGAGTAATTTGACAAGGTCACACACCAACAAAGTGTGGACCTGACTGTTAAACCCAGGAGATCTTCAAATGGCGGGTTTCTAAGCATCACCTTGCATGCAGGAAACGGTTTTGCATGAGGACATAAGTGTTCCTTTTCCACTATTAAGAGAGCTAGAGCTAAATTAGATTTGCTTTTTTTTTTTTTGCCCACTTTTTATTATGAAATTCAACAGTAATAAAAGAGCATGCAATGTATTTGCAACTAGCCCCTCCTCTTTGTTTTTAATACTGTTCTTCATTAAGGTTTCTGGGAGAAATGGCTGACTGCAGAGAGAGGACAGAAAAGCTATGAGATGAGCCAGGAGCATTTTATGCCAGAAAGTAAGAAGGCACTCAGAAAAACCCAGTGGTGGCAGTATGTAAAAGGAACACAAACTCGCTCCCACCAAAGCAACAGCGTTAGTAAAATAAGATTACGTTATTATGCAGCAAAAGTACTAAATAAATATTTGTAGATTCATGCTAACCTAAGTAAATGATACCTGCAAATGATAAATAAATGACCAGAGAGGACAAATGGGAAAGACAAATTTCCAGGCAGAATTTCAAATAGCTTGTAAATACTCCATCCTCTGGGTGGGTGGAACATGGCTCTCACCCCTTTCACTGCGAGCTGTGCATAGTGACTTCTTCCAAAGAGAACAAAGTGGAAGGGAATTGTTAAAAATCACAGTATGACATGACACACACAGGCTCAGCCACACAATCAGGATCGATAGCAGAAGGTAAATCATGTTGGTGGTGGGTGTCTTCAGTATGATGTGAGAGAAGGCCTCTTCCTCCCCAAAACCTGTGACTCCTGTCCAATTATAGGAAAAGAGCGGGAAAATCCCAGTTAGGAGAACTTTACAAAAATACCCGACTAGTAGTCAAAACAGTCAAGTTCGTCACAATTACGGGAATGTCTGCGAGACCACCCTACTCAAGGAGACCAAGAGACACGATGGCTAAATGTGCTATGGGATCCAGGGGAAAGCAGGCATGAAGTAAGCTTATTAAAAGATAATTGAATAATATTCTCCAGTGATTGTGTAATGATCACCCAGAATTAGAATATTGCCAACATTTATAAACTTGTTTCTCTTTTCAATTGTATCATCACCAGCTCTCCTCCTAAAGAAAAATACTATCTATTTTATAATATCATCGTACTCTTCTTGAAAGCTTTTCTGCTAATTTACATTGCTAAGCAGTATAGGGTATTTTTGCCTGGTTTTGAAATGTATATTGAATAAATCATACGTTATGTATTCTTGGGTGTCTTGCTTTAAGTCTGTCTGTGCTACTTCATGTAGTTAAATACCGCCTTTTCATGTTCACTGCTATACAGAATGATACCATATAAATACATCAGAATCTGTGTACATTCTATTGTTGCTGGACATTTAGGTTGCTTCTGATAGGAGGCTCTGAAAAGCATTTTCTAACCATTAGGTTTGTGAGATGCAGAAATTCAATGTGTATCATAGATACTTTTTAAAAAAAAAAAGATTATTCAGTTATGTGAATAACTGAAGGGAGAAGGGACAAGGAGGAAGAACCCAATGCTTGGAGCCAGGAGTGGGAATCTTGTTTGGGGACCACACTCTAGGCTGAGGAGCATTAGAAAATCCAGTGCTGCCAGCGAAGCCTCACCAAGAGGCAGTTGGCTCCCCAGGTGCCTCTAGACAGTGGGAAAACTTGGCTGTGTTTCGTGGTGATAGCACAGTTCCTGGAGCTGTGTGGACCAGCCTGATACCAGCTCCTTCATGGCCCTATCCAGCACTTGGCCAGTATTGTTTGTGGACCAATCAGCAGATATTTGGTAACAGTGGGTCCCTGTCAGGCAGGCTCCTGTGCCTCCCCCAAGATCCTCACAATCCCGATAGTCCAGAGTTCTCACTCAGGGAAATAACTTTCTAATTTTCCAAGTTGACAAGCTTTGGTCTGCATTCATGCGTTCCCACGTGTAAACAGGGAGTCCAAATCTAAGGTTGGATCAAGAAGAGCTATAGTTGCTTATCTGGCCACCATGAGCATATTTCCCAATGAGGGTCTGAGCCAGTCCTATTTTAACATAAGTTTCTTCTCATGCCAGCCTACTTAATCTTATTTCTGCCTCTCTTATCCCATTGTATCCAAGTCATGTGTTTGTTTATGATTTAAGTGGGAGTTGATTAAGCCTAGGCATGAAATTGCAAGCTTTCGAATCAGACCCAACCTCAGCTTGGTCAGGCCTCTTACAGACCCGCTGACCTCTAACAAGTCATTTCCCCGTTCCTGAACCTCAGTTGACTTTGCAAGTAGGTTAAATTTAATGGTGCAAAAAAGAAAGTATGTAAATCATTTATTACAGAAAACAGAAAACTGATACGTAATGGAGATGATTATTAACAATCAAAGTATAACTCATAGTTCCTTTCTTATGGCTATGATCAGATACTTAAGCATATACTTTTATTTCTTAATTATGTATTCGAAACTCTAAATTACAGAGAGAAAGAGAAAGTCTTCTATCCACTGATTGACTCTCCAAATGTTGCATCAGCCAGGGCTGGCTCAGGCAGCAGCCAGGAGCAAGGAGCTTCTTCTGCATCTCCCATGTGGGTGCAGGAACCCAAACATTTGCACCATCTTCCACATCATTCCCCAGGCACATTAGCAGGGAACTGGATTAGAAGTAGAGCATCCAGGACTTGAACGCCATATGGGGATGCTGGTAATACAGGCAGTGGCTTAAACTGCTGTGCTACAGCTCCAGCCCCAGGATAAGATCTCAGAATCCAATTATGAATAAAACTCAGTGACATCATTTTACAACAGAGCAATCATTCGAATGCACAGTGGGCCAAAATAATGAAGCCCAGTGCCTGTAAAAGGCTCTGGGTTGTTATGCTTCTGACTGTAAGCCCTAACTTCTGTCTCTTCCCACCAGGTTTATAATTGGAGATTTGCTGGATTCAGAAAATGATATCTTTGAGCAGCCCAAAGACTGTGACTCTCATGGACCCGAGGAGCCACAGAAGGCCTTCGATCACGGGACGGAGCTCATCCCATGGTATGTGCTGTCCATCCCAGCTGATGTGCACCAGTTCTTGCTGCAGGGTGCCACAGTCATCCATTATGACCAGGACACACACCTCTCTGCCCGCTGCTTCCTCCAGCTGCAGCCTGACAATAGCACTCTGACCTGGATAAAACCCACCACTGCCTCGCCAACCAGCACTAAAGCAAAACTTGGCATGCTGAGTAACACGACCGAGCCTGGCAAGTCCCCCTTACTGGGCAGTGCCGGGTTAAACAGCCTGGCAGAGGGAGTCTTGGACCTGTTTTCAGTGAAGGCTGTGTACATGGGACACCCTGGCATTGATATACACACTGTGTGTGTTCAGAACAAACTGAGTTGCATGCTTCTGTCCGAGACTGGCGTGACACTGCTCTACGGGCTTCAGACCACAGACAATAGATTATTGCACTTTGTGGCACCAAAGCATACAGCTAAAATGCTCTTCAGTGGATTGTTGGAACTCACAAGAGCTGTGAGAAAAATGAGGAAGTTCCCTGACCAAAGACAGCAGTGGCTGCGCAAACAGTATGTCAGCCTCTACCAGGTAAGGGATGTGGCCCGTCCTCTTTCCTCAGTGCTGTGAGGGGCTCCCACTGCACAATTAGACCACCAGGTTCAAGTTTCCAGTTCTACTACTTACCCCTTGTGTGACTGTGGTGGGGGAGGGCTTACTTAAGCTTTTACTGCCACAATCCCCTCACTTATAAACAATGTGAAAATAAATTGAAAGATGTGTGTCAGAAGTGCAAGGAATGCTATCTGCACAAAGCAGGTCCTGTTATCATTTGGTGGTCACTGTAGTTTTTGGAAAATCAACCAGTTATTAGAGATGTTCTCATATATCAAAGATTTCAGCTGAAAACATTGTAATATGGAGTGCTTTTATTATTAATTCATAATTAATGGATTCATTGGAAATTTGCCTTTTGGAAGTTGAAATCCTGACTTATCATCGGACATGCTATGTGACTTTTGGAGAATTATGTAACTTACTGCATCTTGTTGCCTGTCTGGAGAGCTTTTCAGGTTGAATATGGAGTCCTTCTTACACGGAGTTCTTCCTCACCAGGTTTCTAGCGGCAACAGCCCTTAGCATGTAGTTTTTCACTATAGGCTCCTGAATGAAATTGAGTGTGTTGCTGACAAATCCTAAGTCTTCAGGTGCTTTACCACTGTAACTAAGGGTGAGAAGAGGACCTGGCTCAATGGGATGATGAAGACATTTGACCAAAGTGGAGTAACATGCTTGCTGGGGGAAGTGGGTACAGATTGCATGGACACTGTCATTGAAAACTTCCCCAAGGTGACAGTTAAAATGGCACACACATATACTGTTTATCTGCAGGTCTTATGGATTTGGGAAATCAATTTGAGGTTCTTCTAAGCTTCTATTTTTTTCTATAAATTTTATTTTTTATAATGATTACATGTCTGATCAGCGTGGGAAGAATCAAGGTCTAGGGAAAATTGGGTGAACTCATTGCTCCCAAATTTGCTATTTCTTCTTGTTTCTGGGGGAAGGGGAGAGACAAAGAGGAAAACATTCATGGTTTTCCACACAGATGAGGAACCACCACCTCATATTAACCCAGAGTCTCAGTGTGCACATATTCCGAGGGTTTGGTCCAAGTGGTTTGGATAGTTCTGAAACGCTGCCAATTTTACCGATCCAAGGATGATGTCACCCTCCCAGTGTCCATTGGTTCCATTCACCAAGATGTTTTGCTGTTATTGTTTGGGGTAGTTGTCCAGTTAGTTCTGTTCTTCTGTTCAGCACCAAATGAGCTGCCATATTCTCCTTTTACAATAGGGCCTGTGTCCACTGCTCTGCCTTTTTCACTAAGTAGGGTATGTTCTTGCAGGCTAGTCCAAGAACCCAGACCATGAGTCCAAAGCATCACTGTTGTCCCCTCCCCTGGGGCTCACAAACCCAACACCCGCCTAGAAGGCTGGCCCCAGGACCTGGGCCATGCACCCCGAGTCCCACTGGATCCCCCATTCCCAGAGTCAGGAACCTGGCCCCCACCACGCAGGTGGGCCCCAGGACCTGAGCCAAGCTACCCAAACCCTGTCAAATCCCACATCCCTGGGACTAACAAACCAGGCCCCTACTGGGTCCAAGCTGGCATGACTCAGCCTCATCCAAGTGTCTGCAATTTTTTTTTTAGCACCTGCAATTTTATTGCGCAGCCTGGCCTAGTCTACTCTGCTCTCTGTTCCAGCTCTTGCTGCTGACTGCTGCAGCCTATGCCCAGTCTGATTGTTGTCCTGGTCCTAATGTGAACTGGCTAATGCTGCAGCCAGATCTATCTCCTCCTGCCCCCTGCCCTGGTTCTCCTGGTAACCTCCCATTGTCTGGGCTGTTCCTTGCCTTGTTTCTTGCATTCACCTGCAGGGCCTGAGTCCCAGTGAAGGAGTTTCCCAAGCTCCTCCATCGAGTCTCCTCCCAGTGGCAGTTCTCACTCACACCAGTGGGTCGGTCATTGGCCGAGGATGACTTTGTCCACCTCCTGCCCTGGCAAGAACAGTGGCCTTGCTCTGTCAGCCACACCCCTTCTAGTTCTTGTTGTTGGGTGTTGCAGCCCAGAGCTACCTGGTCCGCGCCCAGACACAGCTTTCACGTGGTTCAGTGGGAGTCAAGACCTAGCCTAGCCTTGTTTGGCCTACACCCAACCTGGCTCTCATGAGTACCAGTGGGGGCTGGAGTCTAGCCCAGTCTGTCGTTCCACAGTCCCAGTGAACACCCACGCTAGTGCAGGCTGTAGCCATGTCCAACCAAGCCTGATGCCCCCACTCTTACCCTCATCCTCACTATTAACAGGAGAATGTTATTTAACAATGTTCTTTGTCGCCAATTTGAGAAATGTTTATGTAGAAAATAATCTTTCTGACATGAATTGTATGGAGAATGTATGGGAAATTCCTTTTATTTTAGTGTTAGTAACTAATTTGATTTGTTGAAAGCAGTAATAAGAAATAACACAGAAGACAAGAATAAAAAGTAATATTTAAGGAAACCTAGGGGGGAAATATACAGGAACATTGGAAACAGTAAAGCACAAGCATGCTAGTGTGGGATGCAGAAGAGGAGCATCTCCCAGGGGCTCTGGCTTGGGGTTTCTGAGGTCAGAGCTGAGGACCCGTGGTCTAAGCTATCTGGAAGGGACTCAGGAAAACTGAGGTGGTTAAACAGAATTATCAGGTAAACAACTTTGATTATAAGCAACAGAGATAAGTTCTGGCTATCCTCAAAAAATGAAAGGAAGTATTTATTCAAAAGATGGAAATTAACGATCTTCAAAAATATCATATATGAAGACACTCCAAGAGCTAAAATACATGGATTTTTATTTTATTTTCAATTAGGGCAGAAAGAGATATTCAGAGACAGGGTGTGATTCACCATCTGCTGGGTCACTGCACAAACACCTCTAACAGCCAAGTGCAGGCCAGGCTGCAGCCAGGAGCTGCAGACACAATCCAGGACTCCTCGGTGGGTGGCAAGGAGTCCCAAGGATTGGAGCCATCACCTGCTGCCCTCCTGGAGCAGCATTAGCAGAAAACCTATGAACAAGATGCAGAACAAGGAGCTGAACCAAGGCATTCCAATGTGGGAGGCAGGTGTCTCAAGGAGCATCTTAACCAACTGCCCATTCCATGCATACTTTTTAAAACTTATTATTATGATCATTTGATGATACAGTTCCATAGGCCCTGGGATTTTCCTTATTCCCTCCCCAGTTCCCTCCCCCCTCACTGACTTCCCCTATATCATTACTATAGTACAGTTCTTCATACACAGTCATATGTCCATCTCTAGGGGCATGGACAATGGCAGAGAGTTCCGCATCCTATTGTCAAGATATAATAAACAGTTTCATTGTAAGTCCATCTTTGGAAGTAGAGATGCACACTGCATTGTATCCTCACATCTGGATATGATAGTCTCCATTTCACAGTTACTGTACATCCCCTTAAATGAAAAGCCACAAAACAAAATCAACAACAGAAAGAAAAAAATGAAACTCACAACACCATGAAGTTAAATAACATGTTACCGAATGGCTAATGTGTCACTGAAGAAATGAAAAAGAAAATCAAGAATCTTGTTGAAGAAAATTATGCTAGTGTATGATCTATGCATACTTTTTAAGGATTGCATTCCTAAAGTTCACTCCTTATGGGCTGTTTTCTGAAAGTAAGAATGTGCCCTCATTCCAAAAAAAATTGCTTCTTCTACATTGAAAAAAGGTTGTTGAGAGGTGAATTTAAAGATAAGTTGAAGGATGGTCCCTTGGTCCAGCACTTCAGATACAGGGTAGGGTGCCCCTGTCCTGTTCAGCTCTGGTTCCTGATTCTAGCTGCTTGCTAGTGCAGACCTGGGGAAGCTAGGCTGATGCCTTAAGCAGTTGGGTCCTGCCACCCAACAGGGGATAACTGGGTTCAGTTCCTGGCTCCAAGCTTCACTGCTCCTTTCCCCCAACCCACATCCACACAGAGCCTTTGGGGCGTGAACCACCGAATTCACCAAATTAGGGCTTTCTCTCTCTCTCCATTCTCCCTTTCTTTTTCTCTCTTGTGTCTCTCTTTCCTCTGCCTTTTTCTTTTCAAATAAATGTTTAAAAATTAATTTAAGGCCCAGCATTGTGGTATAGTGGGTAAAGCCACACCCTATGTCTGTATCCCAAATGGGCACTGGTTTGAGTCCTGGCTATTCCATTTCCAATCTGGCTCCCTGCTATTGGCCTTGGAAAAGCAGCAGGAAGGAGACCAGGCCAAACGTCCTAAGTCCTGGCTTCAGAATCACCTTGGCAGAGCTGCTGCAGCTCTTTGGGAGATGTGCCAGTAGATGGAATATTCTCTCTCTCTCTCTCTGTTTCTCTTTCAAATACTTTTTTTGAAATAAATAAAATTCAAAAGTAAGCTTATGGGAAAATTTTTTAGTCCATGCATTTTTTCATAGAGTTTCTATAACCTTCATGGAGATTCTTCCCATATCCTCCATCTTTCCCCAACAAGTTATTTTCTTATGCAAAGCAAGAGAAAGATGCAAATTACATTTTAGCTCCCAGGAAGCCTCATTAAAAGGTTCTGCACAGCTCCAGTAAACCAGCAGGTGGATGATGTCTCCTCCCTTCTTTCTCTGTCTCCTGTTCTGTTTCTCTCCTTCTCTCTATACATCTGCCTTTCAAATAAAAATAAATAAGTCATTTTAGAAAAAGGTCAGTGACATTCTGCCTTTTCTTACTCCAGTCCTAATAAATGTAAAGCTTGGTCCATGTTGGCAGGCTCTGAAATTAAAATCTTTAAGCGGTACAGGGTAATGGTGCTGATTTCTTTTTATGAGTAGGCAATAAGTGGATCTGTTAAGACACACTGGTTAGAAATCCTTAGGTAGATGTTTACAAAAAAATTATTTTTTAAGTTTCAGAATCTGATGTTCCATAAGCTAGGCAGGCCTTGTTTCTTCAGTTATATCATGAAAGGTTCATTCTTACTGAGACTCACTCATTTATAGACTTGCTAGCAGAACCTGTCTTCCACAGGCACGCATCAGGTAAGCTGTTCTCCAGCCATTTTCATTCTTTGCTTCACTACTTTGAAGATTCCTCCTTCAAAGACAGAGGTTCCAGATGCCTTGAGTCATACACCAAACACTGGTCAGGGGAAGCTTGTCTAGTGTGATTGGCTAATTTGATCGGTATGAAACCCTGTGGGAAAAGAGATCAAGGAAAACTGGAGTATGATTAGGGAAGGGAAACATACGTAACAGACAGGCTCAGTCACAGAGATTTTACTCTAAAAGAATCACCCAAAACTTTCCCTGTGAAATACCCAAGTTACCATCCTGGCTGTATTCCTAAGTCACATCACAAAATCCGAGTCATTGAAGATTAGGATAAAAGAATGAGTACAAATGGCCTCTTTACTATTTACTTATTATCTGCAAGAAAACAATCTGTTTCTAAACCCTTCCTTGGATCTTCAAAGGAAGACTACCCTTCAAAGTTTTCAGGGGTAAAGAGCAAATGTAAATTCTAAAGAAGCCCTTTTATCAAATTGTGAAATATCATTGGCCATTACTTAATCAATAAATTCTGTTATTCACTTGAAGGATGCTACACAATTGCCTTAGGAGCACTAGCTATTACAAACTGTTGCCTGCCTGGCCACTGAGTTGTGGTTTTCCTGCGCATAACTTTGTAATATGCATGGCAACCTGAGTTCCATGGCATCTGTATCTATTGCTGGCTTTCAGTCACTCAAAAGGAAAATTTTTTTATTTTTGTTTAAGGAGTTTCCAGACCCTCCAGAGTGAATTTCATGTATGCCACATACCTTATATAAGTATTTTAAGTTAGACTGACCCAAAATCTACCTGCAGTGGGACAGTAGCAAATAAGCAAAACTTGATTTTACTTGAACGGTGTCCAGCCCTGACCCCACCCCCCAAGACATCCACAGGTCTGATTTTTAAAGTAGTGAATTTCCCAGTGGTGTTAGTTCTAGAATATAATTTCTATGGTTAGGCTGAGAATTGTTCCCCCAGTTGATGTATTGAAACACATCCCTGGAATGCAGCAGAGATGTGACCGGAACAACAAGGAACGCAATGAAATCCCCACAGGGATGTTTGGGAATTGGAGAACAGGGCCACTTGGGTGGTCAGATGACTTTGTCCTGCAGTTGCCTGTGATCGTCCGCCTCTGCAAGTTTACTGGAAACCATTGATGTGCTTACTTCCCCGTTACTTGCTGCTTCCTTGTGTGTTCAGCAGGTGGTTCTTTTACAGGAGGATGGACGGTACGAAGGCCCAACGTTGGCTCATGCTGTGGAGTTGTTTGGTGGCAGGCGATGGAGTACTCGAAACCCCAGCCCTGGGACATCAACAAAGAATGCCGAGAAGCCTAATGTACAGAGAAACAACACCCTGGGCATCAGCACCACCAAGAAAAAGAAGAAGATGCTCATGAGGGTACAGTGTTATTTGTACATTGAGTATCACCTCCAGTCTCCTAGGCCTACTGTGTCATCTGTACCAGCCTAAACCCCCATAAGCCATTGGGGTTGGGGTCTAGATGAGGCCTAAAACAGATGTTACAAGGCCTTCCTTGCAACTCTTGGGTATCAGAACCAGTGCCAGGAACTGCGTGAACACCAGGGAAAAGGCAGATCTGTTGAAAGACCAAATAAATACAATGCTTCAACTAAAAAGGTAGTCACAAATACCTTCAAGTGAGAGTCACTGCCACCTATAGAGCACCCTAGGACAGAGAGAGGAAAGTGTGAGATGGAGGGGCAGAAAGGCCGCAAAGGGCAACTGACAGATGGCTGTGGAAGGATGTAGGGGCGTGTCCCAGACAACACAAAGGGAAGCAGCCCCAGCAGAAGAAACAGCACAGACATAGGAAACTCAGCTTTTTTCAGGGAAGCACCTGTAGTTCTGGGTGGCTGGAGCATGAACCCAGTGATGAGCAAGAAAGGGTTAGAAAACAACAGGCATCACATTATGAAGATCTTGGATGGTCATAATGCTATATATAGAACACAACTCAGAGTATATCATCCATGTCCCTTGTATGGCACACTATACATGTCATTGGTATAACATGGTGATGTATTTTTCTTCCTAGTATCCATAAAAGGCACCACTGTTTGCATATAGAAGCTCTTTGATGCTACCATCAAACTTGGCTTTGTAATTCTGTCTGGGTAGAGTCCAGGGGTTGTTTGCCTCCTCTTGTCTGCATCCCTCTCCCTAGGAGTACTGCTTTGTGAGATACAGTGACCTCAGAAGACTTGGTCACTTCTGTGAAGGTCACTACTGCAGATTACTAGATCAGAAAAGAGACCTGCCAGAACTAAAGCAGGGCTGGGAAAGCAGTGCAGGCTGGGAACCATCATGACTTCTGTGTTCTCAGGGTGAGAGTGGAGAGGCAACCGATGATGAAATGGTGACCCGAAAGGGCAAAATGTACAGAGAGTGTCGGAGCCGGAGTGGTTCGGATCCTCAGGACATTAATGAACAAGAGGAGCCAGGTAAGGCAGCATGCTCACATCTCAGCTTTTGGCTTTTTCATGATTTTGTGGGGACGAGGGGGACTACCCATGTGGTTCTCAATTGTCATTTCAAACTTGTGGCTATTCCTAACAATTGCCTTGTTACTCCAATCCACCAGATGGTGAAACCTAAGAGGCACATGCGTAAGCCTAGTGTCTTGGCAGGGGATTCTCGGGAATTAAATTGTTATTGTTGACAGGAAGTAGTAGATGTATAAGGTACATCCCGATGGATGAGAGCAGCAATTCTATGCTTTTGCTTGCTATGTGAACTCTAAAAAAAAAAAAAATTCTGGGAGCCTACACCCCATGACTAGCTGGCTTAGACACTCCCTGTCTGGGATCTAGACATCTATGTTTTGGAAGCAGCTCAGATGACTCTAATTCATAGCCAGTTGGGAACCCACCGGATTGGCCGTCTCATATCCGTTGGCTTGCTCAGAGAGCATCCTTGGTTGTGATTTCTGAAAGAAAGCGCGGTCTGAGTCACTGTTGTTTGTGTCTCATCCTCACAGAGGCGAATGCCACCACAAGTCCTCCCCATCCCCTCCCTTCCAGAAGAGCACATTCTCTCACCACAGCGGGGTCCCCCAGCTTGGCTGCCGCGATGACGTCTTCTCCCACCAGGCCAGTGTCCTCCCCTGTGCTGTCTTCTTCAAACAAGAGCCCATCCAGGTGGGGCCTTAACAGGAGAAAGCCGAAGGACCCTTCACGTCCTTCCAGTCAGGTGGAAGGGCCCTCTTCAGGTGTCCGTCGGAACACTCCAGAATTTGGACTTGCAGTTCCAGTGAAGACTGAAAACCCACATCTCTAAGTGATCCTGATCTTTCTGGTTTTGTACCCCTAGCTTCTCACATGACTATATTTACTCCTATTTATTAGAGAAACCATCCTTTCAAAGGTTTGCAGCAGTGACAAAACCCAAACTGTCGTCCAAATCTGCCCTGTGCAATGCGCTGCCCACTTCCTCACTCAGATGTTCCACAGTCACAACAGTGTAGGTTGTTGCATATCTAACACTAAAACAAGTTTTACTGCATAACATTGCTCTTGAGATTTTTTTAAAAAGATTTTTATTTATATAACTTAAAACAGAGAACTATAAGGAGAGAGAGAGGGAAAGTGACAAATTTTCCATTCTTTAGTTCACTCCCTAAGTGGCTACAATTGCCAGGAATGGGCTGAGCCAAAGCCGGGAGCCTGGAACCCCAACCAGGCCTCCTCCCATGGGGGTGGAGCAGCCCAGCACTTGGGCTACATGCTGCTGCTCTCCCAGATGCGTTTACAGGGTATGGTATTGGAACCAGAGCAGGCAGAAGCTGATCCTACAACCTTAGGGAATGCTAGCTTTGCAGGCGACAGCTTCACCCATTACACCACAATACCAGCCCCTGAGATTTAGTTTTTAAAGTATGTAACTTAATCCTTTGCTGACTGGTAAAATTTATGTGATACTTTTCTCATATAAGTTCAATATTTCTGGAGAAATGAACACCGGTATTACAGCAAGTTGATTATATTTTGTTATAATTTTGAGGTTGGTATTATAATAAGTTACTTTAGAAGTTTCATGTAAATTGCAGCTTTGAAATATCCGCCCTACCAGAAGAAAAGGTGAAATGAAAGGCTTTCAATGGGAACTGAAATGTCCCTTTACCTCCTTAACACATTGAGGAAATCTGGAGGTCCCAGGTGGAACTAAGACAAAACAGGTTCTCCGCACTGCGTCATAGGGAGTGCGTGCCGGCAGACACTGGCTTTGGAAATGTTCATTTCCCACATACACACATACATACATGCACACGGTATCTTTGTCTCTCAGAAGCTCCTAGGGAGCCGCCCAAAAAAAGCCACAGGAAGTTATGTTTTAGAGAGAACAGTGCCTTTGCAGTGTCAGTGATGAGCCTAAAAATCTATGGTTCATATGTTCAGATGCTACGGCTGGTGAAAACAGGGCAGGGGTATAGAGAACATTTTTGTACCTTTCTTGTAGCTTTTCTCTAAGTTTAGATTTACAATAAAACAAGGTATATGTTATATTTTAATATTTTTATATATCCAAATGTTGTCAGTGAATGCAGTATCTGGGTCATAGCCAAATACCCTGGTCTCAGTGGTTTTTCACTTTATTTGAGTCATTCAGGAAAAGGAAAGGAAGTGGAAGAGAAATCTCTAAAAGGGACACACATGCCAGACACAAGGTCAGTGGCCAGTGTCCTCTTGAGGGCAGCATTCTGAAATGGAAAGGAAAGACAAAGCCAGAGGGGAGAAACCAGCTCCAGTGTAGTTAAAAGGGAAAGCGGGATTTTGTCTTCAAGCTAACAGGGAAAAGACAGTTTCCTAGTGTCCGAGGGAAACCGGTTTGCACAGACAGTAGCTGCACCTGCAACAAGGACAGGGCATTCGCTTGTTTCAGTGCCAAGGATGAAGCCGCCTTTGTCCCCTTCCTGAGCCTGCACTGTGCATTTTCCGTGCCACTTGGAGGACAAACCACCTGTGGCTTCTGCCTACACATGACTACAAATTTTTCAGTGGATGAAGGTGACCTTCAGGTGTCAAGACAAGCTGATTTTCCCTGAGGAAACACTGTCATCAGGATGGAGGGTAGTCCTGACTATTCCTTAGAATATTCTCTATACTTTCTCATGTAACCGAAATATTGCCCAAAATAAATTCAGGGTCCCCGAAAGAAAGATCCTCTTCATTGATGTGAATGAGAAACATGGTCACATTCCTGTAGTCTGCATTGTGTTGGAGAATTGTATGGAAAATTGACAATGCTATGAAACAGTGAAACTGAGTTTTTGACTGGGTTGGCTGATACTTTTATACTGAAGGGGCGCAGCCTCAGCAGGTGCAGATGAAGTCCCAAGCCGAGTTGGCCTCTTTCCATTGCTAACATTTTTCTGAGTCACATTTTCCATTAATTAAAAGCTCTTCCTTGTTTTTGTCTAAAAACTGGTTAGTAGGGGAAGAAGCCAGCTGCGTTCTCAAACTTTCTACTTAAAATGTGTTTCTATAATGTAGGGCATGAAGAACAACATGCATTATTTCTCATCAATTATGACTAAATAATCTTGAACCCTTTAAAAAATTAAGAATCTTGTTGAGAAACAATTTATGAGTTTATGCCACTCCTTTTGATCTGGGATTTCAAATAACTGTTTTTATTAGTAGAGAAGTAGGAATCTCACTCAGCCTTGTTTCCTAACCTAATAGGCTAGAAATGCGAAATGGTTTCAATATAAGATATGTTTGATTCCTTCTGATACAATTTAGATTGACTTAGAGAAGTCAACAGAGAGTACTAGAAACCATCTTAAATCTTGAATGGCTCGCTGTTCATCTTTTTGTTCCTGTTTTTTTCTTTTTATTAAAGATTTATTTATTTTATTAAAAGCCAGATATACAGAGAGGAGGAGAGACAGAGAGGAAGATATTCTGTCCGATGATTCACTCCCCAAGTGGCTGCAACAGCCAGAGCTGAGCCGATCCGAACGCAGGAGCCAGGAGCTCTTCCAGGTCTCCCACACGGGTGCAGGGTCCCAAGGCTTTGGGCTGTCCTCGACTGCTTTCCCAGGCCACAAGCAGGAAGCTGGATGGGAAGCAGGGCTGCCGGGATTAGAACTGGCAACCATATGGGATGCCGGGCATGCAAGGTGAGGACTTTAACTACTACGCTATTGTGCCAGCCCTTTGCTCCTGTTAATCAGAGAACAGTGTTGGGGCAGATGATAGAAGTAGCCCAGCAGATGATAGAAGTAGCCCAGCATTTTGCCCATGACGGCCTTGTTTCTGTTTGCAGTGCTTGGAGCAGCAGCAGCTGGCATGGGCGGATCAAAGGACCAATGAAGGGATTCCAGAGCTTCATGGTTTCAGACAGTAACATGAGTTTTGTTGAATTTGTTGAGCTGTTCAAATCATTCAGGTATGGCATGACCTTCCTTCTGAGTCCGTCTCAAGGCCACAGTTACATAATGACACTGAGTGGAAGGTGTTGTCCTTTCCTTGCCCAGCGTGAGGAGCCGCAAGGACCTGAAGGATCTCTTCGATGTGTACGCGGTGCCCTGCAACCGGTCTGGCTCAGAATCAGCCCCACTCTACACCAACCTGACAATCGAGGAAAATGCTAGTGATCTTCAGCCTGACTTAGGTTTGCTTCATGTTTCAGAATTTTCCTTTGAAATCCTTTCTAAGAGTAAGAGCCTGTCACACAGTGTGTCCCATGTGGGGGGACTGACCCCATAGGTGGTGACACTTGGAGAATGATTTCAAGGTAGCATCTGGTCATGGAAGCAGGTGCTATTGGGATGGTGGGCAAGGAAATTCACCCGTGTATTCCTGGGTACTTAACCAATAATGCCCTCACCATCCCTACAACCAGAAGTCCTTTCTCAACTATGTTGATACTAGGGGTGGTGTGTCACAGTTGAGAACCACAATGTGGAAGAACTAGAACACTGGAATATTGCTGGGGGAATGTACTTTGGAAGGCTTACCAAAACTAAACATACTTTTTCCATAACATCCGGCAGTCACACTTGGTATTTACCCATTTGTGTTGGAAATTAATATTCCTGCACAAACCTGCACCAAACATTATAGTTACATGTTTCAAAGAGATTTTTATTTGAGAAGCAGAGACAGAGCCCCTACCCACTGACTGATTCCCACAAATGCCTTTGGTGGTCCACGCTAGACCTAGCTGAAGCCAGGAGCTGGGAACTTAATCCAGATTTCCCATGTGCGTGTAGCAACCCATGTATTTAAACCATCACCTGATGCCTCCCACAGGAAGCTAGAATTGAAAGCAGAGCCAGGACTCAAACACAGGCATTCTGATATGGGATATAGTGTCCAAGGCAGCATGTCCTTGAATACCATGCCAAATCCCCAGCCCCCATGGATTTGTTTTTTTATTCCTCAACTGTGTGAAAGCAGAAATAAACCTGGAGTTGGATAGCTTGTATGAGCAGATGAATTACCAATATTTCTGGTGTAACTCCACAACACCATTCTTTCCAAGATGAACTTTGTGGAAACTACTGGCTGACTTGTCTATGTTCTATGGGTGGTTCTGTTTCAGATTTATTGACCAGAAACGTCTCAGATCTGGGATTGTTCATTAAGAGTAAACAGCAGCTTTCAGACAACCAGAGGCAGATATCTGATGCCATTGCTGCCGCGAGTATTGTGACAAATGGCACTGGGATTGAGAGTACATCGCTGGGCATATTTGGGGTTGGCATACTCCAGCTCAATGACTTCCTGGTGAACTGCCAAGGAGAACACTGCACATTTGATGAAATTCTCAGCATCATCCAGGTTGGTGCCCATTTGCCCGTGTGTGTAGGTGATACTTTTGGCTCATCTAACAAGTTGTTGTTAAATATTTGTTTTTTCCTATACTTCTTTGCAAAACTTTTATGTCTGGGACAGAAATAAGAAGCGGAAGGGTTTTTTAATGCTCAGTATTGTGTTCTTTAAAAAAAACCACTTATTTTTATTGGAAAGGTAGATCAAATTTAAGGAGAGACAGTGAAAAAGATGTTCCATCTCCTGGTTCACTGCCCAAATGATCAGAGCTGAGTTGATCCAGAGCCTTCTCTGGGTCTCCCATGCAAATACAGAGTCCCCAGGTTTGGGGCCATTCTCTGCTGCTTTCGCATGCCATAAGCAGAGAGCTGAATGGGAACTGGAGCAACCCAGGTCACAAACTGGTGCCCATATAGGATGTTGGCACTTGCAGGAGGAGAATTAACCAATTGAGCCATTACATTGGCCCTAATACGCATGTTCTGATTTAGCACGTAATTGACTCATGAACAAGGCCATATCTGTCTCCGTGACTGAGGAATCATTACATAATTCCTTCTTCTCCTATTACCTATATCATAGTTTGGGTTTTCAGCTTCCTTTGTTATTGAACAAATAGTTGTTAGCGCCTACATTGCTGCCACAGTTCCTGCCTGGAGTAAGAAACAGAGTTGGGAAAAGCGGGAAGGATCAGAGCTCTGGCCCGCAAGGCAGCTTCCATTCCAGTGCTGAGGCAGCCAAGAAACAAAGATGGGCTATAAGGTCAGGTAGTAGTGGATTCTTAAAAGAATCAAGGCAAGGCTAGAGCGATGGTGGAGGGCTGGGGGGAAGGAATGAGCCGGGGCTACCGGGAGGAGCTGGCATCTGGACTGAGCCCTCACTGAATGTCAGAACTGAACAAAGAGCATCCCCGACAGGAATGGGAACAGCAGCAGCAGGGACAACATCAAAGCTGGTGTGTCTGTGGCCCCTCGGCCAGCTAGATCTCAAGCAGGTGTGCAGTGACCTACTCTGCTCAGCCTGTTAAACTGCCCTTCTAGAGAATAAGCTGTGCTGCTGAAGCAGTGGAAATAAAGGGCAGTTAGGAGAGGGTGGTGGTATTTATGCGAGAGGCAGGAGGGAGCAAGAGGCAGGCAGAGGGCCAGCGTGGCAGCATCCCATGCAGCAGAATGACTCATGGATCCTAGGACGAGGGAAGCCGGAGAGGACCACCACAGTGGGGAGCGCTGCCTGCAGTGCTGCTGGGTGCAGGTGCAGTACTAGGTGGTCTATGTGAATCGTCTCATTCTACCTGCCACCATGTCCCTGGCCGTTGCACTTACTGTCTCCACTATCACCTGGCTAAACCAATTCCCTTTCTTATAAATCAGCCTTATTCTTTTCTCTTGTTCCTTTTTTTTTTTCTCATAAATAAATCAGCTCCATGTAATAAACTCACATATAATGAATGTTTTCTTTTGGACTAAAAACTACCTCTTACCATTACATGACTAAATTAGTTCAAATATTTGTTTTAGATGTTTCCTGATGAAAACAGAACAGCTTTAAAAAATGATGTGGTGTTTCCCTCCTCCTCCCCACCCCCGCCCTGTGGTTTTCTTTAACTAAAGTGCACTTCTTTTTTTCTATTCCTGACAGAAGTTCGAGCCTACCATCAGTATGTGTCACCAAGGTCTAATGTCATTTGAAGGCTTTGCAAGGTAACTTTAAAAATATCTCTTGATCGTCTTTGACAAGTGTGCCTTTTCCCCACGCACACTTAAGAACATTTGTCTCATCTAGGTTTCTGATGGATAAAGATAATTTTGCCTCGAAAAACGATGAGTCGCAGGAGAACATCAAAGAATTGCAGCTCCCCTTATCCTACTATTACATTGAGTCTTCCCACAACACCTACCTCACTGGCCATCAGCTCAAAGGGGAGTCCTCAGTGGAACTCTACAGCCAGGTACCAAGATTGTCACTTGAAATGCGGTTTTCATTAATCCTGTTTATTTACGTAACTACCAAAGTCAGCTACCAAACAGCTACCAAACAGCTATACATCCAGCTCTTGTTTTGTTTCCTCCCTGTCTATACTTAACCTTTATTCTAAGCAAAGAAAAGAAAGTGTTTGTTTGAGACTCATAGCTTTTAGATCCTAATGGGTCTGACCTATTTCTACTAAAATTAGATTTTCTCATGGGAAAATTATCTAATCGTTTCACAAAATGCTAAATAAATCAATACATTGTAGTGGGAAAGCATAGTAGAAAAGGCAACTTTCTCCAAAGATAATGCCAAGATATCGTTTGTTTTGCTTTGTAGATGGTTGGACAATCAGTCCATCTCTATGGTAACCAACTTAAGGCAGAAAACATCTCCACGGACTGTGGGCCCTGTCCCTGTGCACCCAGGTTCATGGGAATGTTCTTTGAAAGCCAGGCAGCTCTCTGCACTGGGAAAAGCACATCCTTTTGACCTACGTGTCCAGCGGCCAGCAGTGCGCATGTCTGTTGCCTCACTGCCGTATTGTCTGCAGCTTCCTCAGTGCTGCTGCTCCTTCTCGGAACCCCTACAGGACGGATTAACCGGGAAGGAGCTGGGCTAGATCCAAGGACCGTAATCATCGTGGCTATGGGTCTGAGTTTGAAAACTTTGATTATGCTGCTGATACAACTACAGTGACCGTGGGATTCCTTCCTTCACCACATTGGTCCAGAGTGTCCTCAGAACAAGGAAAGGATTTTTGTCCCAAGGCTTATTTTACATAGAAAATATAGTTTAGGTTGTTTTCTAAGGAACTTTCATTAATGAATGAAGATGTTTCCATGTAATAGTGAATTTCTTTTTTTTTTTAAGATTTATTTACTTATTTTATTGGAAAGGCAGATACACAGAGGAGAAAAGACAGAAAGGAAGATCTTTGGTCCAACGATTTACTCCCCAAGTGGCCATAATGGCCAGAGCTGAGCTGATCTGAAGCCAGGAGCCAGGAGCCCAGAGCTTCTTCAAGATCTCCCACTCGGGTGCAGGCTCCCAAGACTTTGGGCCATCCTGCTTTCCCAGGTCACAAGCAGGGAGCTGGATGGAAAATGGGGCTGCCAGGATTAGAACTGACGCTCATATAGAATCCTGACACGTGCAAGGTAAAGACTAGCCACTAGGCTACCATGCTGGACCCATGTAGTACTGATTTTCAGAATAAAAGTGCTAATTAAGGGGCCTGAGGAGAGTAAGGAGCAGAGAAGAATGGGGCTCCTACCCTCTTCCACCACAGCTGCAGGGTAACTCTTGTATGTGCTTCTCAGTCTGTGCTTCCACTTGCACAGAGTTCCAAAGTCAAAAGAAGTTTGAAAGCCATCATCCTGTGGAAAAGAAATGAAATGCACACACGTACACACAGATACTATAGAGAGTTCATGTATATATGTGCCTGTGTATATATTCATAAAGTACATACATATATGCCTATATATATCCACATGGGTGTGGGTGTGTGTATTTCCCTGGAAAAATAATTGAGGCTCACTATCTCATCTTTAATTCCTGGTTTACTCCCCTGTCTGACTTTAAAGAGGCTTTTTTTTTTTAAGATTTATTTATTTGAAAGCTAGAGAGAGAGAGAGAGATCTTCCGTCCCCTGGTTCATTCTCCAAATAGCTGCAATGACCAGGGCTTACCAGTCTCCTGTGTGAGCGCAGGGGTTCAATCACTCAAGCCCACCTTCTGCCGCTTTCCCAGGCACATTAGCAGGGAGCCAGATTGGAAGCAGAGCAGCCAGGGCATGAACCAAACTGATTGTTAGTCATGTCTCCTGGAGCACTCAGAGGTGTGAGATAACACATCAAAGCTTAGCAGGCAACTGCACTGTTGTTGATTACCGACCGTCTGCACTGGGATGGGAGAGGGAAGGTTATGGAGGATTTGCCTTCTCTGCTATGACTGTTGTTCTGTAGGTAGATACCAGGCAAGGGTTTGATAACTCTTTGCTTCTGCTCTTCTTACATGTTCATAGCAAAGATATTTGTGGCTGAATTTGGGTCTTAGTGGAGGAGATTTTTATCCAGACTGGCTTATTATAAATGTTTAGTCCAGCCATTGAGGAAGGAGTGGCTCCTTTTCCTGTGAGCTCTGGTGTGGGCACTGTTGCTTCACTGACATCATACAGACAGAGCACTCAGCGGGCTCTCTAATTTCAAGTGTACCATTGCAAGGGACCCAAGTCATTCAGAAACTTGCCACGTGCTTCTGCCACATTTTACCTTCCAATAATATCCATTTCTGGTTAACACTTCTCCTCTTAATCTGTTCTCTCTCTTCCCTGTCCCAGATTGTTCATGGCCTTTGACCAAAATGCAGTGTTTGTTTTATGCCTAACACCTGTCACCATAGGCCCTGATGGTGGACACCTATGGACACACTGGACTGTGTGCTGGGCTTAGTTTGAAGCTTTAGCACCTGGTCCACATCTGGAATAAATTAATTTATTGATCACACAGGTCCTCTTGCAAGGCTGTAGGAGCGTGGAGTTGGACTGCTGGGATGGAGATGACGGGATGCCCATTATTTACCATGGACACACACTGACAACCAAGATCCCCTTCAAGGTAAGGGGAGTGTTCCTGAAGTCAGATCATCATCAGGCCTCATATTCATTTGCCATGTAAACCAGGGACTCTGCCAACTTATGCCTTTCTTCCTGGGTTCTGATGCTGCATATGAATGCAGACATTCTTAAGTGTGTGATATAATATGTGGGACATACAGTTGTTTATTTTTTTTTTCTGGGAGTTGATCTAGAACTTTTATTCTCATTTGACTGAAAATTTGTAACTATTACCTTAGGTTAGGTGGCATGTAAAAATAAAAACATTGTGATTTTTACAGGATGTGATGATATACAAAGGCAGAAACTATTATCTGATTAGAGGAATTAAAGGTCACTTGTCCTGGCATACAGTCGACCATGCCCAACATTGTCTGTTAAAACGCAGTTGAATAATTAGCATTATAAAGTAATGACAATCAGTCTTATCTAGGAGGACTAGTCTCATGGGCTTATTGTTTCAAATTTTGAGTAGCTTATTGGTTTATTATTTTTTAAGAGTCATTTTATTTTTATTTGAAAATAGAGAAATTTACAGAGAGGAGAATCCATTGGTTCATTCCCCAAATGGCCACAAGGACCAGAACTGAGCCTGTTAGGAGTCAGGAGTGCCTTGTGGATCCCCATGTGGATGCAGGACCCAAGCACTTGGGTCATCCTCTATTGCTTTCCCAGGCCAAAAGCTGGGAGCTAGATCAGAAGTGAAATAGCCAGGACACAAACCAGAGACCATATGGGATGCTGGCATCACAGGCACAGACTTAATTCACTACACCATAGTGCCTTATTAGTTTTTAAAAAACAAAAAAAACAAACATTTATTTTTAATGGAAAGGCAGATATACAGAGAGAAGGAAAGACAGGAAGATCTTCCGTCTAATGGTTCACTCCCCAAGTGGCTGCAACAGCCAGAGCTGAGCCAATCCGAAGCAGGAGCCGGGCTTCCAGATCTTCCACATGGATACAGGGTCCCAAGGCTTTGGGCTGTCCTCAGCTGCTTTCCCAGGCCACAAGCAGGGAGCTGGATGGGAAGCAGGGCTGCCGGGATTAGAACCGGCACCCATATGGAATCCTGGTGCATTCAAGGCGAGGACTTTAGCCGCTAGTCTATCAAGCCGGGCCCGCCTTATTGGTTTATTATTAAGTTAGTAGCCTAGTTGTACAATTACCCATGCAGAGAACCTCAGACTCTGTGATGTTGTTTTTCTCTGAACTGTGCCCAGGCTTGGAAGCAATGTCGTATTTTCATCTTGTATGTAGAGATGGTAGTAGCTAAAATATATTTTTCTCTTTAATCCTTAAAACTCCAGTAGTCAGTATCAGCTGATGACTGCATTTATGTCTAAGTAGATGTGATATATGACTTACTGGCTTAAGGTTAAACCCCTCGAAAGCACAGTGTCTCACTGTGCTTGATGCTGTAGCTAAAACAGTATCTGTAGCTAATCATACAGGTAGATGACAGATTCATTAAACAACACAGTGATCACTGTTCCTTACAGGGTATAGACTAAACTCAATATGAATAGCTTAATGTCTTTATACAAAATAGCCGTATTCTTGCATTTAACTTGAAAAACATACTGGAAAAGACAAACACTGCCTTAACTCGAGTCTGCTACAGACAGCAACTGAGAAGCTGTCTGTCTGCACGCCCGTGGCTTTCTGATGCCCCTGGACGGATACGTAGCTGCTAATGAGCTGTCTGGCTCCCACAGGAAGTCGTTGAAGCCATTGATCGCAGTGCTTTCGTTGCCTCTGACCTGCCCATCATCATATCGATTGAGAACCACTGTTCATTGCCTCAGCAGCGAAAAATGGCTGAGATCTTCAAGGTAAGGTCTCAGCTGAGAGAAAGGATGATCTTGGCCTTGACCTCACATCATCATGGAGTTTCATGTGGGCCCTTTGTGATCAGTACCACAGCTGGGCCTTGGCCACGAAGCAGGTGCCCATGCAGGCCCACAGACATGAGGCGTGGTCCTACCTCAGAAGCGGGACCCCTCTTGGGTGGTCCAGCTGTGGACCAGAGTGATACGGCCTTTGGTCTCCTTCCCCCTTCCAGAAAGGGTTAGAAGACAACACTGCCTAAGTTGGGGATACATAGCGTCACCTGTCATTTGTATTGAGGAAAAGCAGACGAGATCTCAGAACCATGAGATAAAGCTTCTAGTGGCTACACAAGAGCGTGGGGGATCTAGGGTAGCAAGAACTGACGTTAAACAGCTGGTGTGTTGCAGCTCTCCTGCAAGGGGGTTAGTCCACAGCACAAAGAATCTAAGACGCAGATTAAGGAGTGAGTGTTCTGTTACCATTCCCCTCTTCCTCCAGCGGCAGAGGCCTTTGTTGAAAGCTGACTCTGCCAGGGAAGGAAAATGACAAAAGACATTGTCCCCCAATGCTAATGCCGGTAGAACTGAACAGGCCGTCACATTGCCTTGGCCTAAGCATTGCTTTTTGGGTTTTTTAGTTAAAATAGCTAGAAATGGAAATTGCCATAATTTCTGCCCTCTCCTGATGTGTCACCCTGTGTCTGCTCATGTCCACCCACACATCCGCTTTGGAGAACACTGCTAAGACCTTTGTGGAAATGGCATGTGCGGTTTTTTTTATTGTAGTTTGGGACCAGTTGTCCTTATTTCCATCCTCTAAGTCCTTATGCTCGTCTGTAACCTACAAGGTACGGCCTCTGATGGGATCTCCTTTCTCCGTGAATACATCAGACCTCAGGACCTAATGCCGAAGAGCCGGCTCTTGAGCCATCTGCACAATCAACCGCTGTGTGTCCTCCTAATCCCTCCCTTCCCTCCTACAAGAAACTGCAGAGGAAAAAGGACAGCATCTTTTCTATTCCTCTTTTCTAGTTTTTTTTTTCTTAATTTATTCATTCAGAAGAGTTACTTAGAGGGAAAGAGAGACAGAGCGTTATCTTCCATCTGCTGATGGATTCCAACAGCCGGAGCTAAGCCAAGCTAAAGCCAGGCTTCTTCCAGATCTCCCACATGGACGGCAGGGTCCAAGCACTTGGGCTACATTCTCCTCTGCTGCATTACGCAGGCCATTATCAGGTGACTGGATCAGAAGTAGAGGAGCTAGAACATGAACCAGTGTCCATATGGGATGTTGGCATTGTAGGCAGCGGCTTTACCTGCTGTGCCCCAACACCAGCCCCATCCTAGGATTTTTTAAAACAAATCAGCCAGTCTGAACTAGCTTGTGTGTTTGTAGAACAGGGATTTCGTAGAAGCACAGATAAAAGGTATTCATTGTGGATTTTCCTTCATCCTTTTCAGACTGTGTTTGGGGAAAAGCTGGTGGCTAAATTCTTGTTTGAAACTGATTTCTCAGATGATCCGATGCTTCCCTCACCTGACCAGCTGAGGAGGAAAGTGCTTCTTAAAAACAAGAAGCTCAAAGCCCATCAGACACCAGTGGACATCTTAAAGCAGAAGGTACCGTCTTCTTGCTAAGCAGGCTATGAATGTGCTGTGTGCTTACAATAACAAAACTTGACCTCCCTTGAACTTTTCGTTCCACTTGCAGGTAACCATTTTCAAGACTGAGTTCCTTAAAGGATGTATTTGATTTTGGGTTTTCCATTTCACATGCCAGTAAACACTTATCCCCGTGGAGAATGCACAACGTTCTTTAATGATCCCAAAAAGGATGATATGTGACTGTAATCTCTGGACACAGGCTGCAGGGCCAGCAGTCCCACAGTGATTGCTCTAGTCTGTTCTGGAAAAAGCCTCCTTTAGGGAGACGCCTTGGAGTGAGATTTGTGGCATAAGGCCAGCAGGAACAGCAGCAGCCCTGTGACCCCAGTGTGTTTGCAGCCTGTTGACCACGAGGTGTCCCCAGGCCCACCTGGCTCACAGAGCTCGGAACCTTGGTACCATAAGCCTGTGTGTGCAGGGCAACCCTCAGCCCAAGGACCTGATGAGAGGTTCAGATCCAGTAAGTTAAAGTCACGTGCCAGTCCACACTTCCTTATGGTAGAGAGTGACAGCTGCTCAAACCATTTGTTCTATGTACTAGGGCACTGCTGGCCCTCATGCTGAGGAAACTTATAGCATCCAGGATCACAGCATGAGCCGCAAGCCACCCTGCAGTACCCAGAGCAAGTGTGCAGAGCCACGCCCAGGGCACAGCCTCGGCCTCGAACCTTTCATTCCTCCTTTTGGCATCACATCCAAGCACCAGTCCTATTCCAGTCCTGTAAAATAGTGGCTCCCAGAGAATGGAGAGTTAAGCCCAAGAGTTCTGGGGGCCCCACAAGTTTAGAACCCATGTCCCCAGGTTACTAGCGAAAAAGCAGTGAAGTCGAGGTGAGTCAATGTTCATTTGGTTTTGTTGCGGAGTCCACTTGAACCAACCATCAGTCCTCCTGACAGCTTTGATTGGTAGGCTTCCTGGGTAGGGCCTGGGCTGAAAGCCTGCAGGATGCTCAGCCTAGTGCCAGGGAAGTACTGACAGGTGCCAGGGTGCAGCCACTGACTACCACACACCACGATGGGACCGTGCGGCCATCAGTCTCTCTGGGCTTTGGAGCGTCATCTGGAAAATGGGTAACTGACCTCAAAGGCACTAGTCTCCCAAAAACCTCTCCCAAGGTAAACTGTGGACCTGTGAGAACAACAGACCATACAACCCAGGCTCCCCACATTATCACTGTTTCCCCCAGGCGGGTCTTGGAAAGCATCTTATTATCCCAGGGTTCCTGGATTGTCCAGCTCGGCCACAGTGGGAGGCTGGGTAACCCACAGGAGGGGCTCCTGAGGTCAGCAGGCCCCAGGATTATGAGGGGAGAAGGACAGTACACAGACTCCATAGTCTTTTTTTTTTTTTAAAGATTTACTTATTTTTATTGGAAAGTCAAATTTACAGAGGGAAGGAGAGAGAAGAAAGAGTTTCCATCTGCTGATTCACTCCCCAAATGGCCACAACTGCCTAGCTGAGCTGATCTGAAGCCAGGAGCCAAGAGCTTCTTCCAGGTCTCCCACATGGGTGCAGGATTCTAAGGCTTTGAGCCATCCTTAAGTGCTTTCCCAGACCACAAGCAGAGAGCTGGAAGGAAGGTGGAGCAGCTAGAACATGAACTAGCACCCATGTGGGATACTGGCGCATGCCAGGTAAGGACTTTAGCCACTAGGCTACAGTGCCATGCCCAGACTGCGTAGTCTTTATAAACCTCTGCTTCTGGTCACAGAAGTGGCTGCTTCTGAGAGGCCTCAAACCAGTCCAGCTTAACAGTTTACCCCTAGGTCAGGTTTACCCTAAGTGGAGTGCCTCAGAGTATCCTGTGTCCCCTAGGCCTATGGTCTTCAAACCCATTCATTCAAGGATCAGAATTTTGAAAAACTTTGTGCCTCTCATGTCTTTTACAAGGAATGTTAAAAATTGTATCATAAGTTTAAAAGATTTCTTCCTATTGTTTTATGCTGAGAATAGTAAAGGGGATGACATTGTGGCACTGTGGGTTAAACTTGCTTGCAACGCCAGCATCCCATATGGGAGCAGTGGTTCAAGTCCTGACTGCTCAGCTTACACTTCAGATTCCTGATTGTTCCTGGGAAGGTAGCAGATGATGCCCCAAAGTACTTGGGACCCCTTTCATCCATATATGGAACACCTGATCAAAGTTCAAGTTCCGGCCTTCGCCTGGCCTAGATGTTGTGGTCATTTGAGGAATGGCTTGTTTTTTTTTTTGTTTTTTTTTGTTTTTGTGAACCCATGCTTACTTGAGCTAAATCACCTTTTTTTTTTTTTTAAGCTCCCAAGAACCAACAAATAATACATTTAGAACTCTTGACACTGGCCACAGTGACATTTCCACAACCTACTTCTTCCTCTATGTGAAAGCCCCCATTCCCCATTGTCTCAAACAGTCCGGTCTGTGAAGCCCTTCTGGTGTCTGGCGGGCTGGTGATGTGGCCTCCGTGGAGGCTGGAACGCCTGGAGCTTCTGTGCGCTGGAGCCTGCCCTGGCTTAGGCCTGGGCTGCACACACACCGTGCACTTCCCTGCAGCCGGGAGAAGTAAACTCAGCGAGATTCCTGCTGTTATCCTTCACTACACTCCCCTCCCCACAAAGAATTCTCTAGAATTTTTGACCTTGGTTTCAGAACTTGAGCCTATTAGAAAGCTCACACTAGATGCCAGGCACTGGGAAGAAAGAGGAGTGAGAGCTTGCTCCTGCCTGGCCCCCTTGGAACCAGCCTTCTCTTCTCTCTGCTGACCATGGCTCTTGGATCACGCGTCCCAGTGCTTCCCATACTCACAGGTGTGAGCATCTCTGGGCCCCTGACCTCCCGTTTCTGACTGTCTCCAGCTCCTTGAATTGTGCCCTCACTCCTCGCTGTTCTCCCACTTTGCTGCCAGAGCCTGCGGTGGCTGCTTGCATCATCCACATAGACATGTGTGAGTGGCTCACGCACACCTTCCACGAGTGAGCCCAGGTTTCAAAGAGCTCTGATCGCACCAGACACTCGAAGAAAGGTGGGGACATCCCCCTGGTTACAGAAGCACAAGAAGTGCTGCCCTGGAGACAGACCTTTGAGGAATCACATTGCCCTGTAGCGCACGAAATGAGGGCTGTGTGAACCCCTGCAGAAGGGCGTGTCTCACTTCAGTCAAGCCATCGGAAAATTCCAGTGTTTTGTGGTTTCTGTAGTTCCCAGTTTTTCCATAGTAGACTGTTACACCCACAGGGTTCCCTAAACCCACCCTGAGAAACCCCAGCCCAGACAACGTTCAATTTGTGTAACGAGCCATTTTACAGAATACTTTATCGCGGTATAGGCATAACCTAAATATGTCCTCCTTATGTATACATTGTGTTATAAAGTTATCATAACCACATTTCACAGTAGGGGATTACTTTTAAACACATATATAATTCCAAGGTCAAATAGTCTACATCACAGGAATTCTTAATCTTGCTATTAGCTAGGGATAGAATTCAAGGAGCAGATGAGCCTCTGCCTTGGGCTGACTACAGGTGTGGGCAAGGGGACCGAGCGCGGCAGCCTTGGCAGTTTCCGTGCCTTTGTCACTGGTGGAAATGGGGCTACTGCTTATTACTTCGCAGCTGTTGCCAGGACTTGTATCTGGGAGAATTGTTCATGCCCGTTACGGTTTCATCATTACGTGATCCGCCGTCATTACGTGTGCATTTTGTGAAGACAGGAGACAGCATGCATTCTGAAAGCACGAAGGTGGCTTTTTCACATGTTGATGACCGTCAAACATTATTTCCTCCTGTAGTTGGGGTATTTCATGCACTGAAGGAATCCTAGCTCCTCGGACTGCCAGCGGGCTCTGTGACACAAGAGGTAGACAACCCTGGTGGCATTAACCTTGACTGGCCCCTTTATGAATGTCATTTTGTGTAATAACTGTATAGTCACACATACTGTAATGTGTGTGTATATCTACATATATAGGTATTAAATACACAAGTCTGTGATCAACAAATAATCTCCTGGCTGAGCACATCAAGTTCCCTAGAGTTTCTATGCCTGTTCTTGATTTACTGTACGGATAATATCCCTTTTTTCCTTTTTTAATTTTTAATTTTTTTAAATATTGTTTACATAGTTCAGGGGGATGCATGCACACGTGAGCCTCCAAGTAGGATGCTGAGGGTCAAGGGATGAAGGAAGACAGGTGGGACACATGTGTCAGTATTGTTCTTTTTCTCCTGTGTCCGCTGTGGGGGAAGGGAAAGGGGCAGCTGCTTGAAGTTTGAGAGGGAGAAGGAAGGGAGAGAGGAATAGAGAATATAAACCTTCTCTCTGCTGGTTCACTTTCCAAATGCCCACGACAGCCAGCTCTGGGCTAGGCTGAAGTCAGGAGCAAGGAACTCTACTGAGCTCCCCGACGGGTGGCACAGATCCAAGGACATCAGCATCATCTGCTGCCCTCCCAGGTGCATTAGTGGGAAGTTGGACCAAAGTATCCCGGAACCAGCACCCTGATGTGAGATGTTAGCATCCCAAGCAGTAGATTAACACACTGTGCCGTAACACCCACACTAGACCAACTGTCCTTTTGAACTCTTTGTCCATATGGATTGAGACATGACTCTGCAGGTCAAAAGGCTTTAAGAAGGAAAAATGTGGGCCCGGCGTGGTGGGTGACACAGTGGTTAAGGTCCTCGCCTTGTGCGCCCAGGATCCCATATGAGCGCCGGTTCTAATCCCGGCAGCCCCACTTCCCATCCAGCTCCCTGCCTGTGGCCCGGGAAAGCAGTCGAGGACAGCCCAGAGCTTTGGGACCCCGCGTGGGAGACCCGGAAGAGGCTCCTGGCTTCAGATCGGCATAGCATTGGCTGTTGCGCTCACTTGGGGAGTGAATCATCGGATGGAAGATCTTCCTCTCTGTCTCTCCTCTCTTTATATCCACCTTTCCAATAAAAAAATAATAAAAATAAATCTTTTTTAAAAATTAAAAAAATAAATAAAAAGAAGGAAAAAAGTTGGTTCTTAGCATAGACTTAGCATTGCGGCACAGGCGGGCTGAGTAACTTGTTCGGTCATTTGGGACTGCCCTTGGCTGTCCAGCACGGTAAAGGTTTCCCTCACAGGGTTTGCCCTGGAGACTCTGAGTAGTTAGGCACCACACAGGATCTCCTCCCGGTTGTTGCTAAGCATTCCAGGATTCCTCCTGCAGGTGGCCGACATTCCTCCAAGTGCTCATAGTGCATTTCAAGTGAGCCTAAATATTTTTCCCTATCCTAGATGAAATCAAATGGATTAAGCCACTGTTAATGACTAGGATAAGCTGTACATGGAAGTTTTGGCGGTTCCGAATGACAATTCAGTAGCTTCGCACTGAGATTGACATTGCTCTCCTCCAGGCACATCAGCTGGCTTCCCTGCAAGCACAGGCTTACAACGGTGGGAATGGCAACGCCCCAGCTGCCAGCAATGAAGAAGAAGAGGATGAAGAGGATGAATATGACTACGACTACGAGTCCCTCTCAGATGGTAAGAGAAACAGATCCTAATGCTGTGTGCAGGGGGATGCTTGGTGATTTCCTGGTTTCTGCTCATTTGTGTGCTTTTTCAAAAAGGTTGAGTTCCGCACAGACCAGCAAGGAAGATTCTTATAATTCTGTCCAAGGCTTTCCAAACTTAGTCATTTAGCAAGGAAGGATCACACAAGGAAAAGACTTCTGTCATCCGCCTTGATCAGAATATAAATGCATCATGGGGAGTGAGGTACTTGTGAGCCAAGGTCCAGGAAGAAGAGGTGGAATGGGAGCAGAGAACCCCATTTTTGTCCTCTCATTTTGCAGTGGCCCATGTGCTTGGGCAAGAATTGTAGTCTGTGACCAGATTTGATCTCTTCCCTAGCACCACCTGCAAGGGGGCAGCTTCTCCACACCCTGCTCTCTGCTTCTCCTTTTCTGCCTAGCCCTGGTGGTGTAGGGATGTAGAAAACTCATCATTTCCCAAGCCTATCAAAGCACTAACTACAGATAACTTGTGAACGATTCTGCTCAGATGAGATTTAAAGGTTATTTCATTTGCATTAAATGAATGGAGATTGCAATACCAGACTGCTTCATTTCGGTAGCTTCTAGAAGATAACTATATAGTAATAGGGAAATACCAAGCTTCCTTCTGGCATACACATTACCCATGTAGAGCATATTGTTTCTGTGCTGAATTGTTGTTTCACTAAATGTAGAGATCTGGCCAAGATCAGTGAGCCCTGGGCTCATGGGGAAGATGATGATGGAGGAGGAAGATTTGACTAAGTGGAGAAAAAAATAGATGATTGAGGCCAACAGGGAGCGAGTCCAATACCTTCTGCTCACTCTCTAAGCTGTCACTTCCAAAAGCCTCCTTCACTGTTACAGTCCCATCTTTGCCCTCAAATATGTCACCAGACTACCTCTGCTGCATATATGACCTTAGGGGTGGGCACACCTCACATATCAGAATGCCTGGACTCAGGTTCGGGCTCGGCTTCTGACCTCAGCTTCTTGCTAATGCGTACCCGGAGGAGCAGCAGAGCATGGCTCATGTGCTTCGCTTCCTGCCTGGATTAAATTTCTGACTCCTGGCTTTGACATAGACTAGCCCCAGCTGTTAGGGACATCCGGGGGAGTAAAGTAGCAGAGCGTGTGTGTGTGTCTGTCTGTCTCACTTGCTTGGCTCTTTGCCTTTCATATAAAGTGGGAAAAAAAATTTTAATTAACGTGTGCCCTTGATTATTGATTTCTGCTCATAACATCAACTGGAAAACTAGTTGGTCTAGAACTTCATGAGATAACACAAGGGCTAAATCTCAACATGCAACTGAAATGACAAATTTGCAACCTATAGCTGAGAAGCCATGGCAATGTGAATATCCTTATATTGACTTCTCCTTCCTGTGGATCTACTGTAGTGGGGGCAGTGTCCCAGAGAATAAAGTAATGCAGATACGAAATGAAAGCCACACGTAAAGATTTCTAAGGTTCTTGTGTTTCGCAGTCCCTCTGAGAAACTCGGATGATCACCTCCAGCAGAAGTAAAGGTGCTCTGAAAAGCCTGCATACAAGGGCAGGAGTTCCCCAAGTCTCCTGGGGCCCTGGCAGGCATGCCAGGTTTAGGTCTCGCTAAATTCAGGTGCCGAGTTTTCAGGAGGGAATGAACATCCTTGCTGCTTTTCGCTGTCAATCAACAAACAAATCCGTGATGCTGAGCCACAGAATGTATCCCCAAAAAAGTCTAAGGAGGTTGCAAAGGAAGTCATGTATTTTAGGAATTGTGGGCCTGCTTTTGGGTAATAAATTCTTAATGAGTACTTCTTTGTCTGAATTTAATGCTAGCAATGATGTCTTTTATTGCTAGTGATTGTACCCCCTTAATAGTCAAAAAATATTAGATCTCTGAAATATTTCTTCTTTACCTTGTAATCAAGCTATCATTATTTGTGATGCTTTGATACATATCTTTTAATTTATTTGGGGGTTTGGGGTCTTGATTTTGCTTTTTATTTCGTTGAATTTAATGAAAATCAGTAAATGCTTTTCTCCAGCATTTACCTTGACTAGTTTTGAATATTTACTGCAGCACAAATCGGAGCTTGGACCTCAGTGTGGGCATATTCTTCGGCAGTGACTGCACATTGCTAACCGACTAATCGATCTCTGTCCATTTGAAGTAACTGAATGACATGAGCGTCGCAGCCATTGGAGTGGTTAATGTTAACAATAATATCTTCTGTTTCTAATGACTGCATCTCTTAACCCTCGGCACATGGCCCTGTGCAGTGTCTCCCGTTTCATTTATCTTGTGTTCTGAGCTCTTGTTATTGACGCTTGGCTTCATCTCTTCGCTTACCCGGTCTGCCTGTTTGTCTGGCTTCTCCTCACCTTTTCCCCCTTTCCGATTCTGTTTTTCTGTAGCAGATGTCCCTCCCGCCCCCTGCTCGTAACCACCAGGAAGGTAAACGCCGCCCACCTGGCCATTGCAACTGCACGGAGGGCAGCATTTCACTTCCCGTGTCTCGGGCCTGATTAGCATGAAATTATGACACCTCTGTGAATGCAAATGTAGTCAACTGGTTTATCTCATCTACTTCCTGCTTCCCAGCGGCCTGCATGGCCGTGATCTGGAATGAGGCCACTCTGGTGTAAGCATTTGTGATCTGGTAGAATGATAAGCCTTGAAGGGAAAATTCACGTTCTGCTGTATCCCTTTTCAGAGAGTGTGACCACAATACATCTCCTACATTTTTAGAATCATTCTGAATAGAATTGCTGGGGGAAATAATTAAAATATAACAGTATCTGTCACACTTAGATATATGCATTTTATCACTTAATGAATAACAATCATGAAAATCTTCTTTAAAAAGATTTATTTATTTTTATTGCAAAGTCAGATATACAGAGAGGAGAAGAGATAGAGAAGAAGATCTTCCATCCGATGATTCACTCCCCAAGTGATGACAACGGCCAGTGCTGTGCCGATCTGAAACTAGGAGCCAGGAGCTCTTCCGGGTCTCCACACGTATGCAGGATCCCAAAGCTTTGGGCCGTCCACTGCTCTCCCAGGCCACAGGCAGGGAGCTGGATGGGAAGTGGAGCTGCCGGGATTAGAACCGGCACCCATATGGGATCCCGGCATGTTCAAGGCAAGGACTTTAGCCGCTAGACCACCACACTGAGCCCACAATCGTGAAAATCTTACCTTCCAATTAATTATAATTGTAAATTTTTTATTGTATATAATAATGTTTTCCCCTCTGGTTTGGCTTTTCTCCAGGAAAAAGAAGTGAATAGGTTCACTTTAAAGAGTGGTTAAACCTGGAAGTGCTTCATCCACCAAATCCTTCCCATAGTTCTGTGCTGGCAGCTTCTCAGTACAGGATCTCTCCCGTAATGACTGCCCAGTTCTCACCATCTGTACGAAAACGAGCAGCCCCATTTACATCTTAACTTTATGGTGCCAAAGCTATTGGCAAACGAGTCAAGCTAAAAACAAACACCTGTCCCCGAGTTTTAAAATGCGCTTCAAGCCGCCGTTTAGTGTGCGCAGCCAGAGCGCCCATCTCATCATGAGTATGAGCAGTGAGTGGCTGTCCTCACAGTGAGGAACACGAAGCCGTGGGGTAAATGATTCCGTTCCTTTTCACTGAAGCCTGCTAACTGATTTCCAGACAACATTCTGGAAGACAGACCTGAAAACAAGTCCTGCAATGACAAGCTTCAGTTTGAGTACAGTGAGGAGACCCCAAGAAGAATAAAGAAAACCGATAACTCTGCTTGCAACAAAGGAAAGGTAAGTGCATCTTCTCTGCTCAGCGACACTTGGCGGTGATGCACCTGTCAGTTTCAGGTGGGGTTCAACATCCACCCAGTCTCTTCCTCTCCCCTCACGTTGCCTCTGGAAGGTGGAAGTGTGGGAGACAGCCAGGTGGCACAAGCCATGGTTAGTGAAAGAGACAGACCTGTCACCAGTGCTTATGTGCTCTGGGTCATCCAAGAGTCAGGGACGGGCTCGTGGGGAAGGAAGATCTGACCAAGTGGAGAAAAACGGAGCATTCAGGCCAACGGGACAAAGTGGTACATGTAAGGAACTGCAAGAAGCTTAAAGGAACGTTCAAAAAGATGGGTGGGGACTGGTTGGGATGTGTAACAGCGATGGCACTGATGACATGTGGAGAGGAAGATCCTGTGGCAGCCAGACTCTTGTTGGGAGTGGCTCCCAGCACACAGACTGTGGTAGCATCTCGGACAGGTGCAGTGACCCAGCTGCAAGAGAATGAAGCACAAAGACCTCACAACCTTTCACCCCTGAGGCTAGTCAGTCCTCCACTGACTGCACCAAGAAGACCATGGAGTAAGCCGTGGATCATGCCCAAGGGAGGAGGAACCAGGCTCACGCCTTGCCCTCAGAAAACTGCCACTCCAGGGAAGGTGTTAGGGACGGGGGCAAATGTATGAAGAGCAGAGAGCGGGTCGGGGCGGGGAGGTGTGTGACACTGCTAACACCAGAGAAGGGCAGGTAAAGAACTTTGGGAATTCAGGGGATTGGGAATTCAGACCTTCCATGTAAAATAGCGTCATTTCCCCTTGACAGGTTTATGACATGGAGCTGGGAGAGGAGTTCTATCTTCCTCAGAACAAAAAGGAAAGCAGACAGATTGCACCTGAGCTCTCTGACCTCGTCATCTATTGCCAAGCCGTGAAATTTCCAGGTAAGAGTCCTGGCTGCCGTTCGCTGTAGGGCTCATGAGGAAACACAGCACAAGCTGTTCTCTTTCCAGATTGACCAGGACTTTCCCTTAATAACTAATGATAATACAAACAACAAAGTCTGATAATTGAAATTTATGAACTACTGAAGTATCAAGAGTTGTGCTACATCTTCTATTATTATTATTGATTCATACTTAACATTTATTCATTTTTATTGGAAAAGCAGATTTATCGAGAGGAGAGACAGAGAGATCTTCTGTCTGCTGCTTCACTCCCCAGTTGCCCTCAATGACCAGAGTTGAGCCAATCTGAAGCCAGGAGCCAGGAGCTTCTTCCAGGTCTCCCACATGGAGGCAGAGGCCCAAGGACTTGAACCATCCTCCACTGCTTTCCCAAGTACATTAGCAGAGCTGGATTGGAAGTAGAGCGGCCAGGATTTGAACCAGCGCCAATTAGGGAATACCAGCACTGCATGCAAAAGCTTAATCAATAGCACCAGGCTCCATCCCGGAATGTATCTTAAATACCAGTTCTCTCTTTGTGCCTGGAAAATGGGTCAGAAATCTTAGCCTAGTAAGCAAACAAACGAAGGAAATGAGGTAGAACCAGCACAGTGACTCAACAGACTAACCCTCAGTCTGCAGTGCCGGCATCCAATATGGGCATGGGTGTGAGTTCTGGCTGTTCCACTTCCTATCCAGCTCCCTGTTAATGGACTGGGAAAGCAGCAGAGATGGCTGAAGTCCTTGGGTCCCTGGATCTACATGGGATACTTCACTGAAAGAAACTCCTGGCTCCTGGGTTTGGATTGCTGAGCTCTGGCCATTGTGGCCATTTGGGGAGTGACCCAACAGATGGAAGATGTGTCCATCTCCCTCTCTCTGTAAATCTGCCTTTTAAATAAAAATCTTTAACTTAAAGTTGAGGTAACAGTGGCCTTTTCATACACCAGAGGGGAGACAATAAATAGAGCTTTCTTAAGTTTTCTCTTGTAAACTACCTTTAAATTTTTGGCAGAAGCTGTTTTACGTCTGTCAGCAAATCTTATCCGGGAAGATATGAGTGGATATCTAGCAAGTAGAAATACAAAGAAATGCAAGGACCTAGCCTTGTCAGATTAGTTTCCAAGGTCATGGCTTCATATCACACAAGTGCATTTGGTCATATTTGCAAATAGAGAAAGTGTTTTGATGATGGAAGAAAGTCCCTCACTTGCCGAAGAGCACTGTGGCTGGCCCAGCATGGCAGTGGGTTCAAGGGTGGAGGGTGTGCTGTTCCAGGGTCCCCACTCCTGCAGCTCTGATTCCTTAGAAAAGCAGCAACCCCCCAACTGCAACTTTGTTGCAGATTCTTAAGCACAGAGTAAATGAGGAGCAAGGATTCCCAAAGGTACTTGAGATCCACGTGAAAGATAGAGATTGTCAACAGATGGAGGATCATGGGAAGGTCAAGAGGTCTCTTGCTGTGCCTTTGGACTTGAGGCATAGGCTAAGCACGTGGTGTTTTGACTAAAACACTTTCTTCTCATAAGCATCTCTGTGCTCTGCAACCAATCAGGTGTCGTATGAAGGGTTTTGAGGTTATGAGCACGTAGTTTTGGCCACAGAGATGAACACTTGGCTGCAGTTGCCCTCAGGGCTGTTGTTAATGATGCCGAAAATGCTGGTGGATTTTCTGTGCTGGGTTCTAAGGGGGGTAGTAGAATTTCAGAATAGACATGAACAGGGATGGAAAATGTTGAGTTCCCTTGCCTGGCGTTTTTGGCTTATTTATTTTCATTTTATGGGAACAGGCCTGTCAACTCTAAATGCATCTGGCTCTAGCAGAGGAAAAGAAAGGAAAAGCAGGAAGTCCATCTTTGGCAACAATCCGGGGAGAATGAGCCCAGGGGAGACAGCACCGTTCAACAAAACATCTGGAAAAAGTAAAGTCGCCTTCTTACAGTAACGTTGCCTGATTCTGCATACACCAGGGCTCAGATATTTCACTGCCGAAGCACTCCCTTGAATGCTTTAATTTTTCTTTTTTTTTTTTTTTTTACTTTCATAAGTGTTTTCATTAACCAAGTGTGCTATAAAGGTTTTTAAATCTGCTAATTTACACTTTGAACTTACTAAAAACAACATTTCCTTGGACATGTTCTACTGCTGTTTGCCTCAAAACTAAAAGCTAAAGGCGCCTTGGAACATCCTAGTGGTTTCTGGAACTGTTCTCTTAGCCGTCGTAACTCCAGAAGATATATCCATTTTATTTCTAATCACTTTTTTGTTGTGAAAGTAATAAATTCTCATGGCTAAAAGCTCAAACAATACAAACTATTATTAAAATTCCTTCCCTCCCTCAGTGTCCTGGTGCTGTGCCTCAGAGGTAAGCACTGTGAAGTTTATTGTATTTTGTTCAAGAAAATGAAAAGGCTTTTTAAGTGGATCCAAATGGAACATGACTGAACATACTTGCGCAACGTTTACGCTTGCTGTAACTTTTCACTTTCTATACATGTGTCTGCCTCACTCTGTTTAACACCTGTGTGGTATCCCATTGGCTATGTAGTTATTTAACTGTTTCATGGATTTAATGGCTTCCTTACTGGTCAGATGCTTGGGTTGCTTCCTGTTTTATATTTTTTCATTTTGCTGTGTATTTGTAGGTATATACCTATGGCACAAGTCAAAGTCCAAAATCAAGGGACATCAGGCTTTCATTCATATCAGAATTGCTATTCTCATTTTATTTTAAAAGATTTGTTTATAGTTAGAGACAAAGACCTCCCATCCACAGGTTCACTCTCCATTTGGCCACAATAGCTGGAGCTGGGCTAAAGCCAGGAGCCGGGAACTCCATCCAGGTCTCCCGTATGAGGATCCCAGGCACGTGGGCCTTCTTCCACTGCTTTCCCAGGTGCATTTGCCGGGAGGTGGATCAGAAGTGGAACAGCAGGTCCTCCAGCCTGCACTCCTGTGGCATATGATGTCACAAGTGGTGGCTTAACGTGCTGTACAATACTTGTCCCTAGCTGTACTCCCAATTCAGTAGCCAGGTGTTGCTTCAAGCTGACAAATGACCTCACAGGTTATATCAGGGTGTCTTCTGTCTTCCTGTGTCACACCTGTTCGCCAGGATGTTTCTGGGTTCTAAGTGGGAAAGAAGGTGGAAGTTTTCACCACTAATCAGAGGCTTATCTTTTTGGGGGGGTGGGGTTAGGTTTCTCGGAAGGAATTCGACAGACCTCGGAGGAGACTTGCTCCTCTGTGAACCCAGCCACCTCCCTCAGTGCTCTCATCAGAACTCCCAGATGCTACCATATCTCGTCGCTGAATGAGAATGCCGCCAAACGGCTGTGCCGCAGGTATTCCCAGAAACTGATCCAGCACACCGCCTGCCAGCTGCTCAGGACCTACCCGGCCGCCACCCGCATCGACTCCTCCAACCCCAACCCCCTCATGTTCTGGCTCCATGGCATACAGCTCGTGGCCCTCAACTACCAGACGGACGGTAATGGACCGCAGCCTGCCCTCTCTCCCTCGTGCCTGATCTTTCTTCAGTCAGTGTGGCAAACACTCACCACTGTGTGAACAGGGCAAGGTTCTAGATGGGGCACATAGTAAAGAGAGCAGAGAGGATGAGAAATAAGTACATTTGATGTCGAACCATGACTCTGGCACTTCATAGTTCAGGGGATTGAAAAGAACCTTGGAGGAGCTGCCAAGGTCTCCTGGTTCTGTCTCCTCTCTTTTCCTACTGATTTGTTTGAGGCAGAGGAAGAAGAGGCTGGGAAACAGAGGCCCTATCTATGGGCTCATCCCCAGCTGCTAAGATGGCTGGGGTGGGAGCCAAGCATTCAATCCAGGTCTCCCAAATGGGTGCCATCAGCGCTGACTGTCAACATGAGCCTTGGCAAGCTGAGAGCAGAAGCCGAAGCCTGGAGCCAACCTTAGGTATGATGGTGGAGCAAGTGGGCATCATCAGTGCTTTTTTAAAGGTTTAAATTGCTCTAATTTGAAAGGCAGATTTATAAAACGGAGAAACAAAAAGAGGAAGATCTTTCATCTGCTGGTTCACTCACCAAACAGCTAAAATGGCCGTAACTGAGCTGATCCAATGCTGAGAGCCTGGAGCTTCTTTCTGGATCAAAAGATTAGCCTCTCACACCAGCATGCCAGCCCCAGAAGTGAGCACCGTAACCACTAGATTAGACAACACCCTGGTGTCTAATCCTTTGGCCTGATAACATGGCTCAAATGGCTAACCCTCCCTCTTCAAGCACCAGGATCCCATATGGATGCTGGTTTGCATCCCGGCTGCTCCACTTCCCATCTAACTCCCTGCTTGTGGGCTGGAAAAGCAATGAAGGATGGCCCAAAGTCTTGGGACCCTGCACTCAAGTGAGAGAGAAGTTCCTGGCTGCTGGCTTAGGATTGGCTCAGCTCCAGTCATTGCAGCCACTTGGGGCATGAACCAACTGATGGGAGATTTTTCTCTCCATCTCTCTGTAAATCTGCCTTTCCATTAAAAATAATTAATTGCTTAAAAAAAAAAATAAACACCATCCTGTATCTTGCAGTTTGCCCTCCCCTTTAAACACACTCTGGAGCCATACCCACTTGCTTGGGGAAGTGTTCCTGGGCAGGGCTTTCCTTAGGCCGCTTAGAACCAACCTCACTATACAATTACTCTTGCAGCACTCCAGAGCATCACTACAACACTGTGTGTGTGCGTGTGTGTGTGTGACTTAGCACCACTCTGCCTTCTCATCACCCCTTTTCACACATGAGGCAGAGAATAATGGGTAGTTTCCTACAAGTACCCACCCAAGGAAGAAAACGAATAGTGTTCATGACTCCATCGTCCATGGCCTCTCACTTCAGGCCTGATGCGCCAGAGCAGGAACTACCACTTACCACACACAACCTGGGCACCTGGCACAGGACTGCATACCTGACCCTGCTGTCTCGTTTGGTTTTCATAATAACCCCAAGAGTGGGTATCTATGATCCCCATTTCTCAGATGAGCAAACTGAGGCACAAAGCAGTGAATTAGCCCAAGGATGCAGGATAATTTACACTGCAAGTTCCAGGGCTCTGGAAGCTTGAAGGGTAGAGCATGGTATCTTTGTTTGGCTCTTGGGAGGGAGCAGGGAAGCTCTAGGAAGTAAGGACTCTATAAAGAACGTTTTCTAGAATCACATTCAAAACCACACTGTTTCCTTTAAGCAGTCAAGCAGGGAGCAGCCCTTATCATTCATCTCACGTGAACTGAATCAGACACTGACTGACTGTGCCGGACCAGAAACCACAGCACAACCCTGGCGCCTGCTGAGGTCAAACCACAGCTTTAGCCCAGGGACCAGCCAGCCCCACAGCGCTGATGCCAGTAGTACCCAGCTGTGGCTGACCTCAAAGGCACATGATTAGAGATAACGGTCTTGTGTTTTTCTTGCCTTTGCTATGTTTGCACCTTTATAATTGAAACGAAATGAGATGATCCAAGTGAAGAACCATACGTGCTTAGCATGGCTCTTGGCATACTGAGTGCATTCCACAAACGCCAACCATCATTAAGTGTGCTTGATAAATTATAAAAACAGCTTGATTTGGACTCACAGATGGAAATAATAGTGAAATACTTTCAAAGTTATGAAAATTGTATTTCCATTTCTTTTCAATATTCTCCCAAGTGGCTTGTAGGATCACATCTCTGGCTCTGTCTGTGGTTTTGCGTTCGCTGGCACTCTTGATAATGAAATATTTTCAGTAATTTGAAGTCATTAGCCAAATGGTTTTATCAAGCAAACAGGGATGCGTTTGGTTTGGGATATGCCCAGGCAACTGAAGTGCCAGGGACAGTGCAGACACACAGGCCCCACTGATGGCATGGGGTCCTCGGCCAGATGGAACGTGGGGACGTGCCATTCCTTGAGCCATTCTGAAATCCAGCTCTGAACCATGTCCACTTAAAACAAGATTCAAGGAACAGAAGGTGGCATGCTTCGGCACCGTCAGCATGCCTTGGAGTTAGAGCATAGGGTGACACTGGTTCATGCATGCTCTCTCCCTCGGTTAGAAGAGGGCTTTTCAAATTGTAACCTCCACGAATTTCTGGAGCCACTCCCAGGGGACAGGAGGAAGGCTTAATGTGAGGCTTCACCTTCATTTCAAACCACATGACTCAACATGGGTCAGAGTTGCCTATTGGGTCACTAAATGAGATCTCAGTCAAGAAAGCATGCTTTAAAATTTTGGAAAGCTATTAGGACAAACATGGAACTAATGAAATTAGACTTCACACTAAGCACCATGATCATAACAAAGTAATTATCATCCATTGGGCACCAAGTGCTAGAGTGGACATTTTTATTATGTTCTCATTTTGTAGCCCATGTCAGGGCGAGCAGTGTTGATTCAAGCCTTCTGGGTTGGAATCCTTGCTCCCAGTATTTATTAGCTGTGTGCCTTGGGCGTTTCTATTTTCTTGTACCTCAGTGTTTGCTTCTGAAAAAATGGGAGTATTAGAAGAATCTACTCATGGGAAGCACTTGATGCATATGAAGGACAGGATATTGCCTAGTCCTTAGTATTCCCCTTAATTTAATATACAAAGGTTCTTTTAAAAGTTTGTGAAAACAAATATTATGAAAAAAAAAAAGCCTGGATTTCAAAAGTTTTGATATCAAAATATATGTTTGAATTCCTTTGAATTCCATATTCCACGAGCTTTGGAAGTATTCTTGCATGTCCATTTCATAGTTGTTCCCTTCTCCTGAGCAAGTCGGCCTCATCCTGTCATTCTAGTCACTTCCACGTACCTGTCCCAGAGTGGCCGGAGAGGAGCATTTCCTCCCATTGCAGGGGAGACTGAGGGCAGCCAAGAGTCAGTCCCATCAGACCTTAGAGAAAGATGGGGTACAGCGCACTTATTTGACACCAGAGACCAAGGAGCTTTCGAATGCCTGACATCTTAACCCAGGAATCCCTGCATAAGAGCCAGGCCAATCTCCCCACACACGGAAACATTTCATGCAGAGGACACAAAAGTGGGGGCCAACTTCTCGTTGCTCCAAGGCACTTACTACACTTTTCCTTGATGTCGGTCCATGGAACAAAGTTCAGGCCATCCGTGGAAGGAATATATCAGAGGGAACAGCCAGCAGGTGTGTCTCATAAACCTCCTTGCTCATTTGGGAAGCTTTTGTACAGACTTGAGCCATCAGATGAGCATGTGAGTGTGCAAGAGTCCAGAAACAGCGCAGGCATCAGATCATTCATCAAAGAACTCTCTGCCAAGTAAAATTTGGCCACAAAAGACTCAAAGCCTTTGTGAAAGCTTCTGAAGTTTATGGTTGAGAGAACTGTGGACATGATATAAATCATATGTGATGATTTTTTTTCATATTTAACTGCAACTAAAAAAGCATTGTGGGTAAAGGATTGAAATTGATATTTCAAGGAGAAATTGCTATTTTCTTTGCTTTGTGTATAATTAAAACTTCTTTACATTTGATCTTTTAAATATTGTTAGGAATTCATTTTAAAATGCACTAATACAGAGGGAGACCTTCCACCTACTGGGTTGCTTCCCAAAATGCCTACAAAAAGCCAAGGCTGGACCAGGCTAAAACCAGGAGCCTGGAAATCTATCCAGGGCTCCCACGTAGCCTCCCAGGATACAATGGCAGGAGGCTGGAGCCAAAATGGAATAGCTGGGACTTGAACCATTGCTCTAAAAGGAGATTTAGATGTCCTAACCCACTTCACCACAATGTGGTTGCCTGACCATTTAGCGTTCAGTATGTATTGTGCTGAAGCAAGCACAGGTCATTCAGCTTTGAGATAACAAGAGCCAGCCATACAGTTGTCCAAATGGTTTGGTGTTTGGTGATAAGGAAATACCATTATTCCTTTCCAAAATTCAGTTTGAGATGAGGTGATGCACAAGGCTTTCCAAATGAATGGGTAAACTGTATTTGCAGGAGATTTTGGTGGCAAACATGGTTGTGATTAGGGGCAATGGATTCCTGCCCAGTCTGTCAGCTGTACCTGCACGGGGATTTGTCTGTCTTGTTCCCGGCTGACCTCCAGTGCCAAAAGCACACAGAATGGGCAGAGAGGGCACTCCTCGGTCTATGAGATGAGTGGATGAAGATGACTTCTTTGGGCTCAAGCTCAGGGAAACTCGATACAAGGTTCTCTTGAAAGTTAACTCTCAAGTGACAGACTAACAAGAAATCCTGGCTAACTTTGTTTTGCAGATCTCCCTCTGCATTTAAATGCTGCAATGTTTGAGGCGAATGGTGGCTGCGGTTATGTTTTGAAACCCCCAGTTCTGTGGGACAAGAGCTGTCCCATGTATCAGAAGTTTTCTCCACTGGAAAGAGATCTGGACAACATGGAGCCTGCTATCTATTCTTTAACTGTGAGTAGGGTCCCTGTTGTCACCCCAGAGTGAGGCGGATAAGGCTCCCTGAATTATATTAAAGGCGCTGTGTCACCAGGCATGCAGATTTAGTTGCCCTGACGATTTCTGGCTAGGCTTGTTGTCATCGGGCACTGGATTTGCCAGGGTCAGATAGATGGGGCTGTGAGTTTCCTGCTTCACCTGAGGGACTGATGCTGCTGATTCTCTTGCGGGGTTCACAGCTCCGAGTAGAAGGCCATTAAAGCTGAGCTCCTTGTTAGGTCAGTTCCTCATAAGCCCCAACAAGCTCCAGCATCAGACGTACTGGATCCATAGACAAAAACAATGCAGTATCTTTCCTCCTTTGGCTAATCTTTGTCATTCCTGAGTCTGTCTGTATTGCTTTTGTCACTTCACTAACTTATTAAACTCTGCTGATCGTATCTAAGGACACAGGAATGGAACTCTTCATTCAGTTTGCTTTCTCCTAGCAGAGGGGGAAAAAAAAAAAAGCAATATGGGAATTGCAAAAAAGAGGGAGGGTGGTCAAGGTCAATTCTTCCCTCCTTCATTGGAGCTTATCTGTACTTTCCAAGGGACAGATGCCAAGCAGCCCTCTCTCTACTCGTGACACCCCAGGCATTGGGGCACCCCATTTTCAGGTATTCCTGCCACCAAGCTGTTTTTTCTCTCCCTAAGACCACAGGGCAGTAGCCCCTTTTCTCTTGGACCAGCTGAAGTAGAGCGGAGTGACATCTGTTCACAGAACGCTCCAAAATCATTTTAAACAACATACCCAGTGACTTGTTTCAAAACTAAACTATGCAGGAAAAAGATATTCCATTGTGCACTATCCTCCTGCCACACTGAACCATAGTCTCAGTAACCCAGGTATCCTGTTCCTGCACCTCTGTCAGAAACCTCACTTGGAAGATAGTGGAATCTTGGCAATGCCAAGGTCATAGTTGAGCGAATGCTGTTGACGCGTGATTTCAGCCATGTGATGACCTGATTACAATCAGAAGGTTTTCTTTACTCGGCAGTCTTATTCATGGTTGACCTTGTCCCATCTGGTTTTCCTCATGGAGGGAAGTAGTGAGGTGCAGAGGCTGTCTTTGCTTTTCTTCCATCAAGAGACTTTGACTCTACTTTTCCCTTCTTCAGGTTGTTTCTGGACAAAACGTGTGCCCCAGTAACAGCACAGGAAGCCCGTGCATTGAAGTGGACGTCCTGGGCATGCCACTGGACAGCTGCCATTTCCGCACCAAGCCCATCCACCGGAACACCCTGAACCCCATGTGGAATGAACAGTTTCTCTTCCGGGTTCACTTTGAAGATCTTGTGTTTCTTCGTTTTGCAGTCGTGGAAAACAACAGTTCAGCAGTGACAGCCCAGAGAATCCTACCACTCAAGGCTTTGAAAAGAGGTAGAATAAAATTCCCCCAGAGCACCCACAGTCAGCCCTGGCACCTCTAATAAAGCGAGGACTGACGTAAGGAGAGGACCCTCAAAGGAAGGTGTCTCAGAGTGTGGCTACTGGTGTGAGTGAGCCATGACTGGGTACCTGCCAGAGGTGCAGCACTGAAAGTGGGGGATGAGTGTGAGGTGCAGACTGGGGTGGGCGGGGAGGGAAGGGAGAAACCCAAGCAAAGGACTGAGCTGTTGGCTTGCGTGTTGGCTCTGTGGTGGCACTCTAAGAAATTCTGGCCTAGTGCTCCTGGCCTGTGCTTTGCTTCTCAAAATTTGATGTGTGTAAAAGTCCTGTGAGGGGTTTGATAGTATGCTGACCCTGATTCTGCAAATCTGGGGTAAGACTTGAGATTTTCCAACAAAGCTCCCAGAAACACTGCCTCTGATGATATACTCTGAGTGCCAGAGTTCTCCCACAGCCATACTGCCATCCCCCCAGGCCTCACAAACACATCACAGTTCCCTCCTTCCGATTCTTCTCCTTGTCCTCTTGTCCAGTGTGCTAGTAGCACCCACCACTGTATCTGTTTGCTGGGACCTTCCTAACAAAATGCAGTGACGTCAATGGTTTTCTCCTTGCTCTGACGGCTGGCATGGCAGGCATGGCCTCTTCAGAGGCCCTCCTCTCTTGGCATGCAGGTGGCCACCCTCTTGTCTGTCTTCTCATAGTTTTTGCTTGACCTGTGTGCACATCTGATGTCCTTAGCTGTGTCTATAAACTGGTGTCCTTCTTATAAGGACACAACTCATTTTGGATTAGGATCCACTCTAATGACCCCCATTTTAATGTAACTACTTAGGTGAGGCCCTTCTCCAAATAGTGACATTCTGAGGTCCCAGGGGTTAGGCCTTTGGCATAGGGGTGACAGAGATGGAAATGGGGGAAACACAGTTCAGCCTAATAGTTATTACAAAAATGTATAAAAATAGAGATGTAAAAACAGTTTTTAGAAAATCAATTTTTCCATCTTCTCAACATAACCCCTCCTGATCTGTACCTTTTGCGAGCTATGCCTGCCAGTAACATGGCACATGAGCACACAGGTGTGTTCGGAATAGACGTCCTGCTGCGACTTTTTGTGTTAGAAACTACATCAACATGACTGCTTTTACTGGCTGCATATTTATTATTCCTTCTTGTACAAACAGTACTCACAGTATGACTTAGTGAACAAATCCGATATTGGAACATTGTCACTCAAGCGTCTTTATGCTGGAATATTTGTGAAATAGACTCTGTAGATGCATCAGTAGGGGAAAAAAGTTTTCTTACTACCTTTGGAGTTTAAGTTAAAAACAGCAGCACCTGGACAAATTAAACATCATTGGAGAACTCAAGACCCTCCCCAGATGGCAGCACCCTCCTGCCATCTGTTGGGTGCACATTTGTCGGCATCCCCTGCCCATCCTAAGGTGCTACTTCTACCTGTCCTTTTTTTAAACCTCATCAGAGTATTGTCTGAGCAGAACTCTACAGTGTGTGTTAACCAGCTTTTCCCAATTGTGCATTATTCCAGGATATCGACATCTTCAGCTGCGAAACCTCCATAATGAAGTCTTGGAAATCTCTAGTTTATTCATAAATAGCAGAAGGATGGAAGAAAATTCCTCTGGCAGTGCCATGCCAGCCTCTTTGGTAATTAAATTCTATTTCATTCAGTATATTTATGGAGACTGCTATCCTGAGGTGGGCTTTTGTTGTTGTACAGCAATATGGCCAGTGAGTCATGAATTAGGCAGCTATAGAAATGAGAACAACAGTGGGAGTGGGCTGTTAGCCTAGGGATCAGGATAGTCAAGTGCCTGGGTTCCATTCCTGGCTCAGGTTCTACACGTCAACTTCCTGCCAGTGTGGAACCTGGAAGGCAGCAGTGATGGCTGTAGCAGTTGGGTTCCTGTCATCCACTTGGGAGAGCTTGAGTGAGTCCCCAGCTCCTGGCTTCAGCCCCTGCCCAGCCCCAGGTGTGATAGACATCTAGGGGCTAAACCAAAGGATGGGAATATATACACACTCCTTCTTAAATCTTTTTTAACTTCTAAAGCAGAGGCTAATGCTTGACTCTAGGCATTTTACATATGTGCTAACTCAGTCAATCCTCTCAGTAACTTCAGGAGGCAACGAAGTATCCTCTCCCTCTTACAGATAAGGAAGATAAGTGCTAAGCAGACTTTAGGTCACACAGCTAGCAAGCAGCAGAACAAAACACAAGACCATTAGTACCAAATCGCATGCTTTTAATGTGCCTGCTAGGGTAGCTAGCCAAAATGAATAAAGCGGGGCAAAGCTATTAACCAGATCAGTCCAAATGAATAAAATGGGAGAAAGGCTAATTGAGCAAATCCCAGTAGGATGCACCTCAGTACTTCTAGGACTTTCAGACTAAGCCAGAAAAATTACCTGCTTGCTTCAGAAGTCCAGGGGCAGAAGTTACAAGCAGCACAGGCTGGGGTGTGCAGTAGGAATTGCAAGTGATGTGCAACTGATGCCTGCAGGACAGGCATACTGTACACCCATGGGAAGGGGAGAGGGAACACGCCACCATTGCAGAATCTGAATGGTAACCAGTTCCACACAGAAGTTCTGTGCCTGCTAAAGTTTAAGTGCTCACCCCACTAGTGCAGGTGGCTTCACTTAAACTTTTGTGCATTTAATAATGTGGCCCCTATGGTGTCACTCCTGTACTTCAGCATGTCCTAAGCAGCTCTGGAAACTGCACTGACTTGGACAGCATCCACCGCCTCCTAGCAGCCAGCCCTGCTTTGTTCTCAGGCTCCTTCCTCCTTCGCTCATCTCCAAACCCCCATTCCTGCTCTCTGTCCACAACCTTGTTCCCTTGGGGTTTCCTCCTTTCTACTTCCTTGCTGTACAAAACCTTTGGCTGTACACCTGTGCCACACCCCACACTCATGAATCCACAATCTCTCGGGGTAGGAATCCATATTTTTAAAGACGGCCAAGTGATTGTGGTGGGCCAGCATGTCTGAGAGCTGCACTCTTGGCTAAGGTAGAGGACGACGGGGCTGCACGATGTGCAGAGGACTGACAAGCAGGGACTGTCCGGCTCCAAAGGGCAGGAGGCCTCATGTGCTTCATGCCATCTCTTTCTGGAGAGTCCACAGAGGCCATGAATGAGCTGGTGACTTACACCACCGCCACACCAGAAGCCTGCTGTCTTTCCCCACCATTCCTACAACTCTCAGCACAAACTGGACCCTGTCTCCTCGGAGGGAGCGCCACATCCCACACACTCAGGATCAGGCCCACTTTACATGACAGTCACAAAATCCCAGCTTATCGTTCTGACTTCTAGCTGAGCAGGCATAAACCCAGGAAGCTCCCACACTAGACTCACTGGAGAAAATACTTGGCTTCCTATTGCTGCCTTCCTGTAAGAGGTGCAACTCCAGATCAGTGTAATGGAAGGGATGCTTAGCACCGATGGACCAGACATGTAGGTCGTCCATTCCCTCGCCACACCACTCACCCAGAACCTTGGTGTGTTCACCCACCTGGAAGCTCTAAGAACTCCATCAGGATTTCGGGGGGTGGGATCCATCGTGTAGACATGACTGACCCAGTCACTGGCTGAAGCTGATCCACTCCACCTCCAACCTCTGTGCTTTCCTTGAGGTCTGACGGTAGGATTGATAGTTCTACCCTCCCATCATGCATTGGTCTTTCTCAGCCACTAGTTAGGTCTTCAGCAGCAACAACAAACCACTCTGCTCTATAGATTACAAGGCTTGGAGGAGCTATGTACTAAGAGTTAAGGATAAAGACCCAATACTTGGTTTTTATTATATCACACTGTGGCATCCTTGGGTCTCCAGGCAGCAGCATATATGCGTGTTAAATATGCGTTCTTTGGCTGTGGAGTGTATCAACCTCCAAAGTCAAGGTTACAAGGTCATCCTTGACTTCTCGCTCTAATGCCTCCCATTTTTTTAAAAAAGATTTATTGGAAAGGCAGATATACAGAGGAGGAGAGACAGAGAGGAAAATCTTCCATCTGCTGGTTTACTCCCCAAGTAGCCACAATGGCCAGTGCTGTGCCGATCTGAAGCCAGGAGGCAGAAGCCTCCTCTGGGTCTCCCATATGGGCATAGGTCCCAAAGCTTTGGTCTATCCTTGACCACTTTCCCAGGTCACAAGCAAGGAGCTGACTGGGGCCACCAGGACAAGAACCAGCATCCACATGGGATCTCAGCACATGTAAGGCAGGGACTTTAGCCACTAGGCTACTGCAACGGGCCTCCGCACCATTTTAAAAAATATATATTTATTTATTTATATTGGAAAGGCAGATAAGATTTACAGAGAGGAGAGACAAAGAGAAAGAGTTTATGTCTGCTGGTTCACTCCCCACATGGCCACAATGGCCAAAGCTGAGCTGATCCAAAGCCAGGGACCAGGAGCTTCCTCTAGGTCTCCCACATGGGTGCAGGGCCCCAAGGACTTGTGCTGTCCTCGACTGCTTTCTCAGGTCACATGCAGGGAGCTGGATGGAAAATGGAGCAGCTGGGACACAAACCAGTGCCCATATGGCCATATGGGATCCTGGTGGTTGCAAGGGAAGGATTTAGCCATTGAGCCATCAGACTGGGCCCCGATTTAACATGTGATGATTCTGTTTCCTCAGTATCTTTCAAATCCATTCATCTTGCTCTATCCTTACTACCTTGGTTGTCGCTCACTGTCACCTCGCTTGCAGCAGTAAGTCCCTAACTCATCCCTTTTCCTCAGAATTTGTCCCCTTCTGTCCTACATTAGGTTCTCCCAGACAGTTATATCTCAAACTCCATCCGATTATATCACTTCTCTGTTTAAAAACCCTCCCTTGGATCTCCACTTCCTCCAAGGTAAAGCTCACTCCAGAGAGAACTAAATCCATTGTTGCGTTAAGTGAAAAGGAGATGATGGAAATGCCTTTTGGGGGCTGAGCCAAGACTGGAAAGCAGAGAGAGAGCTCATGGGTCATTTAGAGACAGTGCTATCCAGCTCTCAGCCCCAGCTGTTCGCTGCCACGTAATGTCAACAGATCTTTTAGATTTTTCAAGAGAATTGGATATCCTGATTTCTATAAACATTGGCAGCAGCTATTTCACCAGGGCAGGTGTTTGTCCTGGAAGTTAAGATGCCCACATCCCGTACTGGAGCACTTGGCTTCCATCCCTGGCTCTAGATGCCAGTTCCATCTGGGAGGCAGTGGTGACAATTAAAATGATTGGGTCCTTGTCATTGATGCAAGAAACCTAGATTGAGTTCTGAGCTCGCTTGCTCATTCTCTCTCGTTCACTCTGTCTCTGAAACACATACAGACATAAAGTGACTTACTGTTCTTATGTTTAAATCACATGATATGTAAATGTGGGCCCAGCCCAGTAACCTTGTGGCTAAAGTCCTCACCTTGCACATACCGGGATCTCATGTGGTTTGTATCCCAGCAACCCCACTTCCCATCTAGCTTCCTACTTGTGGCCTGGGAATAGTCGAGGATGGGCCCAAAGCCTTGGGACTCCGTACCCATGTGGGAGACTCAGAAGAAGCTCCTGGCTCCTATGTTCAGATTGGCTCAGCTCCAGCTGCTGCGGCCACTTGGGGAGTGAATCAGCGGATGAAAGATCTTCCTCTGTCTCTCCTCTCTGTATATTTGACCTTCCAATAAAAATAAATCTTTTTTTAAAAAAATCACATGATGTATAAATCTTAACAAAACTAATCAAGTTAAAACATGTACAAATATGACCAAACAGCCAGAATCTCTTCCTCACTTGAAGTAAAAATAATATACACACTAAAACACATAAACCCTCCAGTCACAGTTTTGCCAGAGTCAATCTAAATTTTGGCCAGTTTGGCAAAGCTCTGCCTGATTGTATTCTTGCTTGCATTTCTAGGTTCAGTATCAGTCACAAAGCTCACCGAGGTTCCATTTGTCCCAGAGTCCTCAGGGCTAGGCAGAATGTCTGATTCACTGTTAGCAAACCATAAATGATTTTCTATTTTGAATGAATTAATATCCTTTTTAAAAAAGATTTATTCATTTTTATTACAAAGTCAGATATACAGAGAGGAGGAGAGATAGAGAGGAAGATCTTCCGTCCAATGATTCACTCCCCAAGTGAGCGCAACGGCCAGTGCTGTGCCGATCCAAAGCCAGGAGCCAAGAACCTCCTCCAGGTCTCCCACATGGGTGCAGGGTCCCAAGGCTTGGGGCTGTCCTCAACTGCTTTCCCAGGCCACAAGCAGGGAGCTGGATGGGAAGAGAGGCTGCCAGGATTCGAACCAGCGCCCATATGGGATCTTGGCGCGTTCAAGGCAAGGACTTTAGCCACTAGGCCACGCCACCGGGCACAAATTAATGAATATATATCCTAATACAACGATATTTCAGAATTATGGAAAACTGAGTTTATGAAAAAAACTATGTAGTTTGTAAGTTTTTGCACCAAATATACTTTCTAAAACCATGTTTACTTCATTTGCAAGGCAGAGAGTGAGCTCCTGTATGCTGCTCTACTCCTTAAACATCCACCACAGCTGGGCTGGGCCAGGCCTACGCCAGCAGGCTGGACCTCAGTGTAGACAACTGAATGGGTGGCAGGAACCCAGTCACCTGAGCTACTACATGCTGCCTTCCAGAGTGCGCATCAGCAGGTGGAACACGGAGAGATGCTCCAACCCAGACACGGTGGTATGGGATGCGGGTATCCCAAGTGGCATGTTAACTCCTATGCCAAGGGGCCAGCCCGCCCTGAATGCTCTGTGACACCATCATCCACAAGATGCTTTGGAGCTGCTGAGTTGCACACCTACCAGGCTCTTTCAGACAGACGTACTTTCTGTAACATGATTAAACATGTTTCTGGATGTTGAGTTCTCCAAAGGCAGAGCATTTTATTTATCAACTTTCTATCTAAATGTTTAGCCCAGTGTCCTCCAGCAAAATGGAATACTGTAGAAGTCATAGACAAAGACTAACTTGAATTTCAGATATGTCTCCAATTAAGATGGAAACAGACATTGTGATTTAAGACAAATTTCTACTTTGATGGTGTACTGCTACATACCCTCATTGGCATATAGAGGAAAAAATAAATGTACATTTAATATATATATTTACATGTATACCCCCCACATATATTTTTTGGAGTAAATGAGAGACCATGTGGTTTTCTTTGACAGATGTTTAACACAGAAGAGAGAAGATGTTTGCAGACTCACAAGGTCTCAGTGCACGGGGTCCCAGGCCCAGAGCCCTTTGTGGTTTTCACTATAAATGGAGGTACCAAAGCAAAACAGCTTCTCCAGCAGGTGAGTTCACAGACCCCGTGGTGGGAGAATCCAGTATCTCATTATATGGGGTGTATGTGTATGCAAAGTACATTAGTAGATATTCGCACTCATGAGATGCATCCTAAAAATGATCTGTGAGATCTTGGTCCCGTTAAGCTAACTCAACCAAAGAAAAGAACGTTTCACATTTTTTAGGCTACATAAAACACTGGACTATGGAAGGACAAAGACCAGAATGAATGGCCCTGCAACCATGTATGTGCTTCCCCTCCATGCTGGGACATCGGCCTCATCTCGTTTCAGAGCTTACTCATCAATTGGGGTTGACAGCTGAGCTGAGGGAAGTCCATGTGCATCCTAGGAGTTGAATCAAATTCTTGAGGCATTAGCCTGGGCCACATGGCAGCTGTTGCCAAGGGCTTTGTTTTTTCAACTTCATTGTCCACTACCACAAAGCACTTGTTGAGGGTGTTAAGGTGTGGAAACGTTTCCCTGGGCCACCTGCAAAAAGGCAGCCCATTACTCCACTGTCACCCCATGCAAATGAGCACAAAGACGGCAGGACAGAGGGCTAGCTGGCACTGGCCCCCACATGCCTAAAGGCTTGAAGTCCTGGGTTTTCCTGTTAGTAGCAGCTATCCTGTTTGCCTGCCCACATAGTTAAATGTCAGCACGGCCTGTGTTACAGTCCACGGGGTGGGGAGGGAGTCTCCCTGCCCCCATCCTTAGCACATTACTTCGTGCTTTTCCTCCGGGGAGGGGCCGGAGTTCACCGTGGTCACTGTATCACTGGCAGGAGCTTGAGACAGAAGAATGTTTGCTTAACCTAGGCCAGACAGTGGCAGCTTTCTCGTGGCCCCCTCATTGCATTGCTTCTCCCGGGAAGGCAATGAAGGGAGTTTTCTCAACGTTACTAATCTTTACTCCCAGGGTCAGACTTTATAAGCAACATGTGCACTAGGATTGAGAAAGAACACAATGAAAGTAGCCATAATAACGCTAGTATCTGTTGAGTTCTCATAATATACCCATGTTTTAGACTTTCTGCTCAGTTCTAAAAATTATAGTTACTAATCCCATTCTTAGGTGGGAAAAGTGAGTCTCCAAGGGGTTAACTATTTTGTGCGGTGCCTCACAGCCAATAAATAGAGGTCAACTATAAACCCAGGTCAGTCTGGCTCCAGTCTCCTCACCCATTTTGTCTGCACAGGCTCATTCTCAAAGAACCCTCCAAGCTCCCTGCTGATGATCTAAAGGCAGCCCCAGAACATGGCCCAGGTGTTTAGGCCTCTGCACGCACATGGAGACCTGGATGAGTCTCCTGCCTCTGGTTTCAGCCTGGCCCAATGTAGACCCCTGCTGCAGCCATCTAGGGAGTTGGGATCTCTTGGTGTCTCTATCCTCCCTCTCTGTAAGTCATTCTGAAATAATGGATGCCTTTTAAAGAAAATAAGGGTGGAGGAGGGTCTGGCCCTGGGGCGTAGTGAGTAAAGTCACAGGCTGCAGCACCAGCATCCCATATGGGCTCTGGTTAGAGTCCTGGCTGCTCCCCTTCTTACGGCCTGGAAAAGCAGCAGAGGATGGCCCAAGTGCCTTGGGCCTCTGCACCCACATGGGAAACGCATAAGAAGCTCTCTGCTCCTGGCTTCGGACTTGCCGAATCCCAGCAGCCATGTGGGGAGTGGATCAGAGGATGAAAGATCTGTCTCTCCCCTCTTTGTCTTTCATAAATAAATAAATCTTTAAAAAAAAAAAAAAGAAAAAAAACTCTAAGCAATGTCAGGAATTAATTGAAAGAATTCCCATAAACTTGGGTCAGATGAGAATTGGTCCTGTGTACGTACCATGAGAAGACAATTATTTCCAACATGAGAAAAAGAATTATTTTAGTAAAACAAAGATGAACTTGCTTCTTTGCCCTTGGTCCTGTGCTGGAAGATGACAAAGGGCTAAATTCATGGAATGCGAAACCTACAATGTTTGATCCAGTCAGTTGTCATTCCAGCAGCGGGAGAAATAGTAATGCTGTCTGGGGGTTTTGGATGAGTTGTTCTATTGCTCAGGGTGGACACAAACAATCCTCTTGGAGTTGAGACAATGCTCAGATCTCCCCAGCAGAGTGACGCAACCCTCCCCAGGAGGACCCACTCGTCAACTGCCCATCAAACCTCTCTGAGCACCAAGAAAACAGATTTGTTTTGATGTTAAGCATTTGTTCCATTCTTCAGAGGTGTGCCTAAATGTGCCTTTGCTTTTTCAGATTCTAAAAACTGACCAGGACACCAGACTTGTCACCGCAGACTGTTTTTTGGTGGAAGAGAAGCATTTTCTGTCTAAGGAAAAAAATGAAAGCAGGAAGCAACCGTTCCAGAGAGCCATTGGTCCAGAAGAAGAGATCGTGCAGATCCTGAGCAGCTGGTTCCCGGAGGAAGGCTATGTGGGCAGGATTGTCTTCAAGACCCAGCAGGAAGTAAGTGTGTCCAGGCGCAGCCTCCACTGTAAAAGCTCAGTGTGTCAGAACAACCTCCCTAAAGCTCAGAGTCTCTTCTGATCACAACTTGGATTATATTAAGTAAATATGGAGGCATGATTGTATTCTTCTACACATATACAGAATGTTGTCTCTAGATAATAGCTACTCTTTTTAACAAAAAAATCCCCTATAAAACACAGGGAGGAGGGGCTGGCTCTGTTATCAAAGACAACAGCTGTCCAAGTCCTAGCTGCTCCTTTTTCCATCCAGCTCCCTGCTAATCCAGCTAGGAAAGTTGTGGACACCCATGTGGGAGACCCAGATGGAGTTCTCGACTCTAGTTGTTGAGGCCATTTGGGAATGAGATGGCTTATAGAAGATTTTCTTCCTGTCTTTCCCTGTTTCTGTAATCCTGCCTTTCAAATAAATCTTACCAAAAAAAAAAGGGAGCAAGAACTTTAGGAATTGCTTACACACGCCTTCAGCTACCGGTCCAGGATTTACCTGTGTGCAAAGCTGTCATCCCCAGAGTTCCATTAAAGTATACCCCATCCCTAACCCATGAGGGGTATATGTCAGAAAGTACTACAGACAGGGACCAGCCGTATGACGTAGCAGGTGAAGCCTCTGCTGGGATGCTGGCATCCCATATGAGTGCTTGTCCATGTCCTGGCTGCCACACTTCTGCTCCAGCTGCTTGCCAATGTGCAGGAAAAGCAGCAGATGACCCAAAAAACGTGGGCCCCTGCCACCCACACAGGAGCCCTCAAAGAAGTTCTGGGCTCCTGGCTTTGTCATGGCTCAGCCTTAGCGATTGCGCCACCTGGGGGAGCAAACCAGTGGTTACAAGATTCTGTTGTCTCCCTTCTCCCTAATTCTTCTAAATAGATAAATGTGAAAAAGCAAAACCGAAAGTACAGACAGGACAAAATCCTACTCACAGTACTTCCACAGACCGAGAGCCCACCTGGTGACCAGTCCAGCTACTGTGTGGCCAGGTTCTGGACATGCTACGCAAAGGGATGTCCCAGGTAGAGAAGAGCAGGCTGGCATGACCTTCCAGCACACTACTCACAGTGGAGCATAGTTTAAACCTTATGACTTGCTAATTTCTGCAATTTTCATCTACTATTTTTGAGCTATGGCTGACAGTGAGTACAAACATAGAACAAAAACGCACAGAGCGAGCTGCTGTACTGCACAAAGCCTGTAGGTATTCTCCATCTGGTTTGACTAGGCAGTCTGGTTTGACTCATCAGTGCCTAGCTCACTCAGAGTTTGGGTTTTTCTCAGGATTTAGCTGAAAGGCAGCGTTACAGAGATAGAGTTACAGAGATAGAGGGGAGGCAAAGAGAGAGCTATCGGCTGATTCACTCCCCACATGACCACAGCAGCCAGAGCTGAACAATCCAAAGCCAGGAGCTTCTTCTCACATGGCTGCAGGGCATAACCACCTGAACCACCTTCCACCGCTACTCAGGCCATTGACATGGAGCAGGATGGAAAGTGGAACCAGTGGGGCTCAAACGGGATGCCAGTACCACAGTATGTGGCTTTAACTCCACAGTATGTAGGCTTTAGCTCATTTATAATGTGTCAGCCTTTCATACAACTTTTTGTTTTGAAGATATATTTACTTGAAAGGCAGAGCTAGAAAGGGAGAGATAAAGACCTTCCATCCACTGGTTTATTCCCCAAGACGTAAGGAGACAGGAACCCCAGCCTTGTCTCCCACAGGGCAGCAGGGTCTAGCAAAAGTGATTTGAAAAGAAGAGCCAGGGGGAGGGGCTGAGGAGATCTTCTGCCGCTTCCATCTCCCCAAATGGCCAGATCCTCACCAGGATGAAGTCAAACCAGAAACCCCATCCACATCTCCCAAGCAGGATCAAGGACCTAAGCACTAGGGCCATCTTTTGCTGCCTTCTCAGGCACATTAGCAGGGAGCTGGAGAGGAAGCAGAGTGACTGGGACTCAAACCAACACTCTCATATGGGCTGTCGTCATTACAAGTGGTAGCTAAATATGCTATGCCACAATGCTGCCCACTCTTTTTTTCTTTTTTTAAAGATTACTTGATTTGACAGGCAGTTACAGAAAGAGAAGGAGACAGATCTTCCATCCACTGGTTCCTCAAATGGCCAGAAATCAGGGGCTCTCACACTTGGGGAGCAAAGGCCCAAGCACTTAGGCTCCCTTTGCATTAGCAAGGAGCTGGATTAGAAGGCCACAGAGCAGCATCCAGTGTAAAACACCAGTGACACAGTGGTGATTTAACCTGTTACACCACAACACTGGGCCTGGTCAGAAGTCCGTGTGGGAGAGCCAGAGTGGCGCCTGGCTTTGGCCTGGCCCAGTGTTGCAGGCATATCAGGAATGAACCACATGGGACTTCTCCCTCTTCCTTTCAAATTTAAAAATAAATCAATAGCTGAGAAGGAAGTACTGTGGAGGTCAAAGGTGCCCACATACAACTTTGTGAAAAAACTAAAAGGTATTAAGTTTATTTTTGATACAAAAAAATTATAAAGATTTTTATCAAAAGATATAGAGAGGAGAGAGAGGAAGATCATCTGTCCACTCCCCAAGTGGCCGCAAAGGCCGGTGCTGAGCCAATCAGGAGCCAGAAGCCTCTTCCGGGTCTACCACACACATGCAGGAATCCCAGACTTTGGGCTGTCCTTTACTGCTTTCCCAAGCCACAAGCAGGGAGCTGGATGGGAAGCAGGGCCGCCAGGATTAGAACTGGTGCCCATATGGGATCCTGGCACATGCAAGGATTTTAGCCACTAGGCTACTGCGCTGGGCCTAAAAAAAATTTTTTTAAATCCTTGCTCTTTTTGTTAGGTTTTTAATGACTAAAGTATATCTTAAAAGACAACAGATCATGTTTAGCATATGTAGGTTGGGCCCCCACACCCACATGGGAGATTCGAAAGGTCCTGGCTTCAGACCAGTCCAGCTCTGACCACTGTGGTCATGCGGGGAGTGAACCAGTGGATGAAGATCCTCTTCCCCCACACCTCCAGTCTTGCCTCCTCTCTGTTGAATTTTGCCTTTCAGACAAAAATAAACCATAGGGAAAAAGATGTTTATAGATTTGGAGCTCTAAGTTTCCCCATTTATTCTGTGGAACTAGTGAAATATGCAAACAGTTTAGCCACACATTAAATCTCCAAATTGTGATCTCATCTCTCCCCTCTGCCTTTTATCATTTATTATGAAAACTGGCATGTACTTATCTTTCTCCTTTCTACCCACCCCCCTTTTTTAACAATTATTTATTTGAAAATTAGAGTGGTCATTTTCTATCCTCTGATGCACTCCCAATATGGCTGCAAAAGCCAGGGTAAGGCCAGCCTAAGGCCAGGAGTCTCATCCAGGTGACCCGTGGGTGGCAGTCCGAGCTCTTCCACTGCTTCTCTAGTGCATTAGTAGGGAGTTGGGTTGAAAGTGGAGCACCCAGACTCAAAGCAGCACACATATGGGGTGCTGGCATTGCCAACCGCTACTGGATTAGAAACTGACAATTTGGGGCCCTGAAACATTAAATAATCCTGAACAGGTCACCTAACTTCTATAAACCTTGGTCCCCTAATCTGTGGAATCTGTAATAGAAATTGCTTTCCTGCCCCCAAAGCTGTCAGGAGATGAATGTCAAAAATGCAGACAATGATGGACATTTGGTACAGTGACTGAGCCACCATTTGGAATGCCTGCTTCTAGACTGTCAGGGTCCGAGGACCAATTCTGCTCTTCCTTCCAGGTTCCTGCTACTACACAACCCTGTGGGGCACAAGAATGGCTCCAGTACTAGATCTTTGCAACTCATAGAAGACCCAGAAGTCAGGGCTCCGGGTTTCAGCTGAGCCAAGGCCTATGCTGTTGGCAGGCTTTTGTTGTTGCTATTACTTGAAGCGAATCAACAGGTGGAAAATCTCTGTGTTTTTGCCTTTCAAATAAGTATTTTTAAAATGAAGAAAATGTTCAGTGAAAGAGCATAAACGAGGTCTGCTGTTTTAATCTGTTTACAAACATGTGGCTTCTCACATAGCCGGAAAAGCCAGAAGTGAGACAGTTCTGAGTAAGGCTACAAAGCTCACCTCTTAAAAGTAATGACTAGTACATTATTGTCATTGGAATATTTCGTGTGATAACTTAGAACCCTTTGTTTTATTTCTTGCTTCCTGGGTTTTGGTTTCCCCAGCTTCTGTCTCCGGATAAATTAGGATGACCAATGCAATGACATATCATACAGCTACAATCTATTATGCAGCAAGACCTCCAAGAACGGACATGAAACAAAGAACACTCTTAAGTAAGGAGAAAACAAAGTTGTAGAACAGTATAAAGTAGAAGGGGACAATCTCATTTTGTAACTCCTAGCAATCGATGCTTGCAAATTGTTATGCCCTGGTTGCAGGAGTGATGGGCTCAGGCCGGAGGACCCTGTGTGGGTCGTTGCTGGTACTAGCTAGCTTGGCGCCACCTGGAGGCAGTTATTTACTTCAATTTTAATAACAGTGAAAACAGTTGTTATATGGCTGGCTGGTTGAAACTTCCAGGACAGTGAAAAATTGTTAGCTTTCTCTAATTCGTTCACACCATTTCAGCAGCCTGGCCTAAGAAGAAAATGCTAAAATTCTGGAGATTGGAGGTAAGTCCCCGTTTCTGAATGGGTTTACCTACCATTTACTTTCTCAGCACTCCTACCCTCTAAGTCCACCTTTTAGAGATTGTCACTTCCATTGTAAAATGTTATAAAGGACAGGAGCCCATGTGACAGTTCCATCTCAATTCACATCACTCCGTGGTTTTATTGTATACAGTCATATGTATTCACATTCAGGATACACACAAATGTTCCTATGTGTGTCAGTATTTGATGTAGCTCATATGCAGCCAGTCTCATCCCTTTCATGTGGATTTTGGTTCCTTCAACCTGTTTCAGCTGTTTCACACTTAAGATGTCCAATATATCCTCTATGCTCAGTAGCTACACAGAAATGAGAATTATCTTAAATGGACACCACTGTGATTTCATCTGGTGTTTGACAATACCAAAATGGTATACTGTTTCTTACAAATTTACTGTAGGTGATGTGGACTTTCCAACAAGACATCCCGTGTGAACACTGCACAGGACGTCATTCAGCAGTATATGTCATTGCACTGATCACCCTAATTTTAACCAGAGACAGAAGCTGGGGAAACCAAAACCCAGGAAGTAAGAAAGCATAAAGGGTTCTAAGTTATCACATAAAATATCCCAATGACAATGAACAGGCTTACTGTGGGCCAGACCTCATGGGTCTGTCAGTATCAGGAGAAATTCAGTACTTTCTCCCTCCTTTACAACAGTTTATGAAATGCTAACATGAGAACAGTTCTTAAGTTATAGATCGGTTCTTTTATACTCTTTCTTTACTCTGAATTTTACCATTTATTCACACTTTTCTCCCCCTTCAACAAAGACCCCAGAAGAGAGATGTGCTGTTCAAGATGACAGAGAGGTGATCCTGAGCTCAGAGGAGAGCTTCTTTGTCCAGGTGCATGACGTTTCCCCGGAGCAACCGCGCACAGTCATCAAGGCACCCCGTGTGAGCACTGCACAGGACGTCATTCAGCAGGTAACAGCCTCTCTCCCTCCCTGACCTTAGCCCTTTCTTCAGCATCAGTTGTTGGAATTCAGCAGCTATTTATACAGCAACAGTTCAATCTATGAATGAATTTCTAGAAACATGGGGGAAAGAGGAAGTATGTCTGATGGCTGAAAGCTATTAGTTCAGTCAACACACACTAAGATGTGTACATGTCGTGAGCCTGAGACACCTCAGTCAGTAACTTGCATCTCTGATCACAGACAGGCTTAGGGAACTCCGACTTCCCTCCTAGCCAGATGTGAAGAAGAGACAGTGTAACTGTTCACAAGCTATATCAAACTGGCTGCATCTTACTGCTGAGATCCTAAAAAGATCCTGGGTCTATGCTTCAATCCAGCTCCCTTTAAGAGGGGGAGAAACAGTGCCCAGCACAGTAGCCTAGCAGCTAAAATCCTCCCCTTGCACACACTGGGATACATATAGGCACCAGTTCATGTCCTGGCAGTCCCACTTCCCATCCAGCTCCCTGCTTGTGGCCTGAGAAAGCAGTGGAGGACTGCCCAAAGTCTTGGGGACCCTGCACCTACCTGGGAGAGGCTCCTGGCTTCGGATTGACTCAGCTCCAGCCATGGTGGCCACTTGGGGAGTGAACCAATGGATGGAAAACCTTCCTCTCAGTCTCTCTTCTCTGTATCTGACTTTCCAATAAAAATAAAACAAGGGGGGGGGGGGGTGGGGAACAAAAGCTTCCCTGCTTTGTCTCTTATGGAAAGACTTCTAATTTCAGTTTGCACCAACACATTACAACACGTACATACAACATGATTATAATGCAACAGAACTTTTCTTAAAAGGCCACTGCTGAAGATAAATATTTGTAATGTGCTTAGCACAATTCCTAGCACATGGTTAACACTACTATTATTGCTATCCTTCCTGTATAATTTAATATTAACCTCTTAATCCTCTCTGAATTCCAGACTGGCCAGATTCCATCTTTCTTTGGTTCACCTGTTCCCCCACAATGCAGGTCAACTACACAGTAGGTCCTCACCAAACATGTATGAATGGATAAATGCATATTCCCGTATTAACAAAAAAAGGCAATTGGGGGAGGGTAGCCTGTGAGCCAGAGAAGCTTCCGAAGGGTCAGGATTGTTTTCCTTGTATCATCATCTTCACTCTAGAGCTTTTCTGTGTGAATACTCTGGACTCTACTTACCTTCTAGAAGCTTAAGTTTCTTCATTTGAAAATAGGGATGATAATGCTTAAGTAACAGCCTGTTGAGATGCTTAAAGTGATGGAGCACAGTATGTTACAGCTATAATTACACAAATGTAAAACGAGCCAGATGCGTTGCTCTGGAAAAGCCCTTAGTTTCTTTTAGAATGAATGTAAATGCTGCAGAGCCCGTGTCTGTCTGTATGCAGTTGACTGTAACTTTTCTTTCAGACCTTGTGCAAAGCCAAATACTCCTACAGCATCCTGAGCAACCCCAACCCCAGTGACTATGTGCTCCTGGAGGAGGTGGTGAAAGACACCAGCACCAAGAAGTCTTCTACCCCAAAGCCCTCTCAGCGAGTCCTTTTGGATCAGGAGTGTGTGTTTCAAGCTCAAAGCAAGTGGAAAGGGGCAGGAAAATTCATCCTTAAGCTAAAGGAACAAGTGCAGGTAACATTTTACAGTTATTTCCCTTTCATTATAACCAAATCACAGTCAGATTTGAGAGCCAGCTTTGTCTTCACTGTGGAGTAGAAAAGTCTATGCTCCCCTGACAGTCGTCCCTCAGTCCTTTCCAAAGCCCTATGTAGCACTTTCATTCTGAAACAGTGCCATGTAATTGAAGGCGCTGAGTTTAACCTCAAACCAATGGAAGACTTCTTCCCACAGGCATCCCGAGAAGACAAAAGAAAAGGCATTTCTTTTGCCAGTGAACTCAAAAAGCTCACCAAGTCAACTAAACAGCCTCGAGGATTCACATCGTCTTCTCAGCTCTTGGCCTCAGAAAACATTCAAAATAAGGAGGAGAAACCCATGACTGGCTTGTACTCTGGGGACACAACGGATTACCGACAGTGACCAAGGGCGACATGCTTTACCCAGGTATACTGTCAGTTGTGCCTTAAGTTATTCTGCAAGGCATGGTTAATACAGTACCTTTTGTCTTTTCCAAGAGGAGAGTATTGCCAGAAGGCAGTTAACATGGAAAGAATTCTAAAGATATACAAGCATGCTTCAAAAAGATCATGAAAAATGAAACTGCAAGTTTCAGGGCAAAATATTTGAAATCTATGCACATGTTTTCTTCAAAAAGTTCATCTAAAATTATTTTGAAAAATTTATGTATGGATTTCAAAAATTTTGTACCAAAATAAAAAGTACTTTTAAAATTAATTTTTCCACAAACCTTCTGAAGTCTCCTCATACATAACTTGAAGTTACGTTAGACCTTATTTTATAGATTAAGCTAAGGACCCCAAGAAGACAACCTTCTCAGCCTTATTCAGCAGTCTGGAACTGTGCTGATAACACACAAATGTTCTTTCAAAACTGTATGGATCATTCCATGTTACATGCTTGCTTCTATTTTGTTTTAAAATCAAACATCTCTTCCGCATCAATTTTACAAAGCAAAAAAAAGGAGCTGGCATCCAGGAGCTCATGGTTAAAAAGAAAGCACAGCAATTTAACAGCCTCTTTCTTAAATGAATTACAGTTAACAGCTTCAGATACCAGCCCACTGCTTGGTATTCACATTAACTTTCATTCTGTTTGAATGTTGGGAACCCAACATAAGCTTATTCTATTAAGTTTGTTTCTTTATTCGTATTTATGTTATTTCAGAGACAGAGTTGGATAAACAAAGAGCTCTCATCAGCTCAGTCCCCAAATGACCACAGAGAGCCAAAGCCAGGAGCCTAGACTTTAACCCAGGTCTTCCATGTGAGTGACAAACAACCCAATTAGATGAGTCCTCATCCCTGCCTCCCAGGGTCAGCATTAGCAGGACGTGTGAGTCAATAGCCAGAGCTGGGCATCGAATAAGTAATCTGACAAAGGACACAGTATCTTAACCGTTGGGCCACTCACCCATCATTTAGTTTCTCAATGAAGAGAAAAATCAAAGCATAACTGCACCTATTCATTGTAGTTTTAAGATTTAAAATACATGAGACAATCATAGTACAGGCACTATGAATTACACCAGAGCATCAACATGTACCTTTAGCAGGAATTTCTCAAAGACGATTACAAACCTTGACAAGACCATGTCAGGTCGGATGGGTTCAAGTCCCAGCTTCCTGTTAATGCAGACCCTAGGAGGTAGCAGTGATTGCTCAAGCAGTCAACCTGGGGTGAGACCTGGAGTGACTTCAAAGCTCCCAGTTTTATTCTGGCCAAAGCCGCAGCCATTAGGGGCAATCAGAGTTATGAGCCAGTAGATGAGAACTCTCTCTCAAATATTTAGTTACAAAATTACCTCTTCATGGAATAAAACTTGATTTCTAACGTCCCCTAAAGCAACCCACTATCCATTAAAACTATTTCTGTATTTCAGAAACAAATCCTAGAATAGTGCCTCATATTGTACTTAAAATCCTTCAAGTGTAGTATGCAAGGTTGGTGAGGTTCTCTGTGTAGACTTACTGACAGTAATCTGCGTCAACAGCTTCAGGAAATGTCAAGTGTGAGCAGAACAATGAGCTCTAAGGGTGTCCAGCACCCTTTTTCTACTGAGACACATCTGGTATCTCCATTATTAAAGTTCTAGACTGTCTCTTTTGCCCCAGTATTGCTGAATCAAACCTCATCCAAAAAGCAAAGTAAGCCTGAGGCCTCGACACTAATGTTGAGCCTCTCCAACTGTTAGGAAATGACTGAGAGCATGACATAATGACAAGTCAGAATCTGTTGCTTTCCATACTCCTAACACGTCTGTGATTTATTAGGTGCTAAGTTGTACCATATCAGTATTGCAGCTCTCCTAGGAATAGGGTACTTTATACTAATGTCCATAAATGTGGGTGCCGTTCTGCCATCAGGAGCCCTTACTACAAGATGACATTGAGTAGGTAAGGTAGTCCTGGCTACTCCACTTCAAATCCAGTTTCCTGCTAATACTGTGCCAGAGAACACAGTAGATGGTGGTCCAAGTACTTGAGTCCCTGACATTCCTGTGGGAAATCCAGATGGAGTTCCAGGCACCCATCTTCAGCCTAGTCCAATCCTTTTAGACATGTAGAAAACCAACCAGTGGATAGAAGATCTCTCTCTGCCCACTCCCTTGTCACTCATCTTTTACACAAATACTAAAAGAGAAAATACAACTCCACTAGAAATCTGAATTAAAATATAATGCTGAAGTTTTGTTTTAATCTATTTAAAGGCAGAGTTACACAGAGAAAGAAGGTCAGAGGAAAACAGATTTTCCACCTGTTGGTTCAGTTCCTAATGGTCACAGCAGCCAGGGCTGGGCCAAGCAGCAGCCAGGAGCTGAGAATGCCAATGGAGTGTCCTGTGGAAGGGACTCAGAAATTTGGACCATCTTTTGTTGCTCATCCAGGCACATCAAGAAACTGGACTAAAGTGGCACCACCAGGACTAATTAAAAAAAAAAAAACAGTATCCAAATAGGATGTCAGCCTCACAGGTGACGAGCACAGCATCAGCACCTGTGATGAACACTTCTGAAAATGGGGAGAGGTGCAGTAAATGAAATGATTCCCTCTGGGATTCCTGTGGCATCACTCATTTGACATATTTCATGTTATATGCTATGAAATGATTACACCCAAAGTTAAAATGACAAGAATTTCTGAAATATACATTCATCTTACTGTTATCTGAATGCACAATTAAAAGATTACACTTCCTCTTCAAGTTGAAGAGTTTATTTGAACATAATAAATTTTTTCCCTACAGTATATAGTGCTCCAGGGCAAAAATAGCTAATGTTCTAACATTTAAACTCCTAGTCACCATTTACTGGGTTTCTGTTGGTTAAACAACTCTGAAAAAGAGCTATGCTATCTATAAAAGTCTGCCTCAATAGATTAATTATCTATGTGTATATTACAGGCGAAGATCTCCCAGGAAGAAGTTCAAGAACAAACACAATAGAAAAAAATAGAATTACCTTATTTTGTTAGCCTTAAAACTGGAAACTGATGATTTCTGAAGTCTTCACCCTACGTAAGGTCCATGCTGAAGGCAAGCAAGATGGCACAGGATGGTAACTACCAACCAACTTACTAACAAAGGAAGGAAGCCCAAGGAATTCCCATTATATAAATGTAAGCAGTTGGAAAACCATCACCAAGCTTGAAGTAACTGATTTAGAACAGGGGTCAGCAAGCTGTATCTGTAAAGGGCCAGATGATGGATACTTTACAGTCGGAGATGACATGATCTCTGTTCCAACTCCGCACCTCTACTGATGTAGTAGCCACAGACTATGACTATATATATATATATATACACACACATATATATCAAATGAACATGGCGAGAGTCTGGTAAGACTTCACTGATGGACACTGAAATTGAATTTGGTATGAATTTCATGTATCTGCTAGAGTTTCATCCAACCATTTCAAAATGCACAAGCTGTTCTGAAAAGGCCATATAAAAACGGGAGGGCTGGATTTGGCCCCAGGGCCTTACTTTTCCAACCTGAGAACTGAGAACAAGGGGTCAGAAATCAGAAAACAAAAAAAGGCTAGTGTAGCTATTCATTGTTTGGCTGAGAATTGGAAGTTTCTGTGCACTGCAAATGTAAATATGTCCTATAAGAGTCATTAAAAGTAATTCAATACAGTTCCTAAACTGTGTACAATAATGAACTCTTTAGAATTTTTTTTACACATAGAAAAAAACTTTTTTTTTAAAGGCTACTGTTTATATATATACTCAGATTATTTCCTTTTGGGATTTCATAAAATGAACTTAGAACGATGTGTAATTTATATCTACTGAGATGTGATGTCATAAGGAACCCCTAACCGTTTTGTAAAATCAAAAATAGATTGAGCTGGTAAATTTATTTATTTTATAAGGTTTGTAGTGACACTATACTTATATTTATTAGACATAACTTCCTGGATAGTCTATGGATTAGATGCATTTATCGTTCAATTTCACTATCTGAAGATAACTCTCCTAAAATGAAAGTGTGCTCTGAGCATCTGAACTGGGCTAGACTTTCATGTAAGAGCCTCAGCCTCATCTTCATTTCTAATTAAGAGCTACTGATCCAAGCAACACTTGCCATTTCACGTAAGTTTCTTTTAAAACTTTCCTGTACAAAACTATCAATCAAATGTAAAGGACTCTTATTCTTGGTACAAAACAAATTACAACTTAAATGAAACTTGTTTTTCTGATGTAAATCCCAAGTTACCATTATACTGCTATTAAATTTTAACAATTTTTACCAATTATAAAAACAAGTAAAACAATTGCCATGCTTCTTGTGTATTCCAAAAACATGCCATGTTGAAAATGTACCACATGGTTTTCATGTCACTTAAAGATCAGTGAGACAAGGCCCTCATACTAGATTCTAGATACTACAGTTTGTACATGTTGTACAGGGCTACTGTTGCCTTTTAAATGTAGTCTGTAACAAATATACAATGCAACATTGTAAGAACATTCCAGAAATGCCTTATCAAGCCCTTGACGGGTCAAATGGCTGCGATAAACTACAGCAAATCACAACACTAGCGGGTAGACAATGCCCTCCTTGTGGTAAAACCTCTTTTTCCTTAGGAAGGAGAAGTTACCTGCAGTTCTCCGTGGAGGCTCATTAATGAAGTATGTCCCCAAAGATGTGCAGTTTCCTTTTTAACACCTACCCAGACACGCATGGACATCACTTTCTGGTCTGAACAAACCAGAATTAACTCATGCACACAGCTCTTAAAGATGTGCTTCCATGCCAATGAACAAGATCCCGACTTTCCTCTCCTGTGATCCTACACTAGTCAAGACTAACAAGCATCCTGCAGGGCAAGTGCTCTTAAGATGGTCCTTTCCGAGTTCAGGAAAAGAAAGTGCCTGGTCCCCCAAAGTTATTAAAAGACAGACTGCCTTTTATACAGAATCCAGATTTGGGTCAACACATTTTCTTGCTGCACTGTCAATAATGTATTATTCACCACATCTAAGTATAAATTTCCCATGTTAAATACTTAGCCACCAGCTAAGAATTGCTTATAATATCTGAAATGTGTATCTCTGAAACAGTCTTAGAGTCAAAACATACCATGTCCCAGCCTGTCACCAAGTAGTGCTTGGAAACCATCCCTATTTCATGACGTACACCTGAACTATGAAGCAATCCCAAACACTGACTTAGGTGATGTTGACTTTTTTAAAGCACTCTGAATGAGGTTGAGGTATCTATGTGAATACTAATGAGTACTACATTTAGTTCTGAAAAAGAAACTCATGGATAATCATATAAAGTTAATGCAAAAATATATTTCATCATCAAATTCATATAGGACATTCAAATACTGGATGTATAATTATGGTTCCCCTATAACTACACACATTAACAAAGTAGAAAGCATAAGAAAAACAGCTCATTTTTCACCTAAACTACAGTTTCTGCTGCCAAAATATAAATGCACTTGTATATGTTTGGAAAATAAATGATCTGTGATATAGTCTGATAATTTGTGCTCTGATGGAAACAGACCCTTGGTTATCCTCCACAAATTTGTAACAGGCTTTGTTTTTTGTTTCTAAAAGATGAGTTCTCTGCAAGCTAATATTTATAAGCTGAGTCACACCTTTATCATAATGAAAAAAGCCCAAAAAGTTTGATCTCATTATATATTTGTATATGAAATATAAGATTATTTTTATCGGAAAAGCAGATATACAAAGAGGAGAGACAAAGATCTTCTGTCCACTGATTCACTCCCTAAGTAGCTGCAACAGCCAGAGATGAGTCGACCCAGAAGCCAGGAGCCAGGAACTTCCTCTGGTCTCCCAGGTAGGTGCAGGGTCCCAAGGCTTTGGGCAGTCCTCGACTGCTTTCCCAGGCCACAGGCAGGGAGCTGGATGGGAAGTGGAGCAGACAGGACTCACACAGCCACCTGCAGTATTGGCATCCTTGATGGGTGCCTATATAACTTGCTACACCACAGTCCTGGCCCCTATATTGCTATTTGCTTTTTTTCTACTCTCACAATAAGCAAAGACATTTTGATTCAACTACTAACAGAAAAAAACTTACAACCTAATCAATGCAACACAGATGTCATTAGTTACTCAGTGTTTGAAAAGCTACTATTAAAAAAACTGTTAAAGCAGGCATTTTACCAGTAAAGAGAATAAAAAAAATAAATGAAGCCACAATAGGTATAGCCTTTATCCCTGCAACAGCAATTCTTCATTATTCTCCTGGTCATGTCACAAAATGCGAAGAACTCCAGAGACTAGACTCACAATAAAACCGTCTTTGAAAACAGCTACAATGAATAACTGATTCTTTTTTACAAAAGCCAACATAGGGGTCTAGCGTTGTAGCCTAGCAGCTGAAGTCCTAGCCTTGCACATGCTGGGATCCCATATGAGCGCCGGTTCTAATCTCGGCAGTCCCGATTCCCATCCAGCTCCCTGCTTGTGGCCTGAGAAAGCAGTCAAGGACGGCCCAAAGTCTTCGGACCCTGCACGTGCATGGCAGACCCAGAAGAACCTCCTGGCTCCTAGCTTCGGATCAGGTCAGCCCCGGCTGTTGCAGCCACTTGGGGAATGACTCATCGGACTGAAGATCTACCTCTCTGTCTCTTCTCCTGTCTATCTGCCTTTCCAATAAAAGTAAAATAAATCTAAAAAAAAAAAAGGCCAATTTAGGCAGCTTCTCAAAGTACATTATTTAATGAACCTGGGACCAATTTCAAGCTATTTACTTTTTCCTTCGAAAAATACCATTAGGTTGTTTCTCTTTTCCAGCTATGATTATGTGACAAATATATTTGTTTATAAAGAGTAAATAGCTTAAAAACAATTTTGATAATCTTGATTTTTCTATTCTATATAGAAACTGTATTCCGATAAGATTCAATCCAAGTTTTTTTTTAAAGAATACTGTAACTTAATATGTACATTAAATTTTTAAAAGGCAACATGATGAAATTTTCAAATGCTGTCAAGGAAAGACTTTAGATCCTCAATGAAATGTTTTCAGGATGTCACAGAAGCGGTAATGTGTCCTCTAACCATTCTTAGGACCTTTCTTTTTACAAGGAGAGTTTCCTAAGTAGACAGCATACCTTGACATGTATTCGCGCACACACAGTCTAACAAAGTTCACTTCATCATTTTTACTGCTGCAATGATGTTGTCAAATGCTTGGTGAAGTCCAGGGGTGACTGAATAGCAGCTTCATTGCAATGTCTTTTGATTAGTTGATTTAGATCTTCGTTTAAAACTGAATCACCTTGTACAACTTTATCCTGGAAAACATTAAAGGTATGAGTTGGGCTTCTGCTCATGGCCTAAGGAAACCCTACCTGTAGGTAAAGTGGAAAACAGCAACCGCTAAAAAGAACATGGGAAAACTAACGACAGATGGTTGGTCAGGCCCTGGACATTTCCTAAACATGACTATCTCTGTGGCATTCTAAACCCATCCATCTATTCTACTATAAACTCCTAAACATGAAAAAAAGTCTATATATAAAACAATCAAGTTAGAGACATTAATTTGATTAAATCCCCCCCCCAGAGAAATAGAGGTAGTAAGTTGCCACATGAATTGCTCACATCCTATATTAGAGTTGCTGAATTTGAATTTCAGCTTTGTTTCCAACTATAGCTTCCTTGCTAATGTGCATCCAGAGAGCAGCGGGTGGGATCTTAAGCACACGGGTTCCTGGCATCCACTGGTGTTCCAGGCCCATGTGAGGCAGGCAATAAATGGGAGAGCTCTGCCTACCTTTCAAATAATATTTAAAAGGTAAAATGGGGCCCGGCGCGGTGGCGCAAGTGGTTAAAGGTCCTCGCTTCGCACTCCCGGGATCCCATATGGGCGCCGGTTCTAATCCCGGCAGCCCCGCTTCCCTTCCAGCTCCCTGCATGTGGCCCAGGAAAGCAGTCGAGGACGGCCCAAAGCTTTGGGAACCTGCACCCGCGTGGGAGACCCGGAAGAGGCTCCTGGCTTCGGATCGGCATAGTATCGGCCCGTTGCGCTCACTTGGGGAGTGAATCATCGGACGGAAGATCTTCCTCTCTGTCTCTCCTCTCTGTATATCCGCCTTTCCAATGAAAAAATAATAAAAATAAATCTTTAAATAAAAAGGTAAAATGAATTAAATACCTTCTTTTTAGCATGTGAAGATTCAACAGGAGGGTTGAATGTCATTGTTGCCATGCTGTAAGTCTCAAAAAGTTCAGATGCAGATCTGTAATTTCAAGTATGAGAAATGCAGAGATATCAGCATAACTGTGTAACTTGAAAATAAGTAGACTGAATGCAAAGACGGCTTCATTATTCTAGACCCATATTAAGGTATAACATTCCCCTGCTTTTGAAACCAACAAACCACCCATATACTCAAACCACCGGCACCTTCCACCTCCTGGTCTGCTGTCTTATAAAGGGGACTTTTCACAGTGAGTGGCTACGAGCTGCAGGCTGTGGATAAACACGGCAGTGCCGTCACTACCTTCGGCTCAGCTCGGGCCTGAGTGCTTCAGAGCCTTCAACAGGTGCACCGGCAATGAGGTGTGCTGCGTATCTACGCACTATGGGATGATAGTGTCTCTGCAGAGAAAACAAAACGAGCAGCTTACGTAGGTCAGCACTTGACAATACAAGCATTTTTTCACAACAAATCTTCTCTTTAAAAACCACATACATATGTAATTCATTAGAATATTATACATAAAGAAAATCTTTGCTCACAGGAATAAAATGCCAATCTACTGGATGAACAAGTTAATACTCACAGCACTTGGTCTTGCTTTTAGAGCATTTACCTAATGCTAGTATTTCCTATAAAAATCACCCAGCTGCTGTGCACACTGCAAATTACCACATGGAAGGAAGAAACCAGCTTGAAAAACAGGGCCAACTGGGCCCGGCGCAACTGCGTGGTGATTAAAGTTCACACCTTGAACACACTGGGATCTCATAGGGGTGCCGGTTCTAATCCCGGCAGCTCCACTTCCCATCCAGCTCCCTGCTTGTGGCCTGGGAAAGCAGTTGAGGACGGCCCAAAGCCTTGGGATCCTGCACCCGTGTGGGAGACCTAGAAGAGGCTCCTGGATCCTGGCTTCGGACTGGCTCAGCTCCAGCCGTTGTGGAGTGAATCACGGGATGGAAGATGATCTCTCTTTCCTCCTCTCTGTATATTTGTCTTTCCAATAAAAATAAAAAACAAAAAAAAACAGGGCCAACTGAGCCATCCTGGAATAGGATCCAAGACAATGTAACTGATAACAAATCATCTTCCTGTTATTAGGGAAATTTTTCATAAAACCACCTACAACAGGGCCTGGCGCGGAAGTGTGGCTAACACCCTTGTCTTGCACACTCCGGGACCCCATATGGGCAACATTTCTAATCTTAGTAGCCCCTCTTCCCATCCAGCTCCTTGCTTGCAGCCTGGGAAAGCAGTCGAGGATGGCCCAAAGCCTTAGGACCCTGCACCCACATGGGAGACCTGGAAAAATTCCCGGCTTCCGACTGGAGCAGCACGGGCCATGTAGCCACTTGGGGAGTGAATCAACAGACAGGAGAGCTTCCTCTCTGTATATCTGACATTCCAATAGAAATAAATTAAAAAAAAAAAAAAAAAAAACCCTTCTACAACCTGCCCCCACACAACTGTAACTATTTTTCTCTGTTCTGAATTGCTGGTAAGAACAATGTATAAAAGGGACATACTACAGGGCAGGCTTTCTGGCAGGCTTGTTTGGTTTCTGGCACTGTCGGGTGGAGGGCAGGGGGGCAGGGTGGCAGGGTGGCAGGGTGCAGAAAGGCTTCTTACCCGCAGTGCATGCAGTTCCCACAGAGCGGTGTTCTGAGCATTACAGTATTCAGGTTCATCTAGCTCAGGGAGGAAAACTCCACTTCCTTGAGATTCATTGTCAAGCAGCAGATCTGTTTTTGGGAAAGTCTACAAAATACATCAAATAAGAATTAATTAAATGAATAATATTATTTAAAGAATGCTGATGCAGGCACTGTGGAACAGTAGGCTAAGCTAACGCTGGGCAGCCAGCATCCTATGTCAGTGTTTCTGTTCAAAGCCTGGCTATTCCACCTCCAATCCATCTCCCTGAAATTGCATTTGGGAAGCACAGGAGATGGCTCAAGTATGTGTCTTCCTGCCACCCATGTGGGAGATCGCGGTATTTCTCACTCTTAACTTCAGCCTGACTTAAACGGAGCTATTGTGGCACTGGGGCAATGAACCAATTAAAGAAGTCATATCCCAATCACCTTCCTCCAATACCTATCAAATAAACCTTTTTATAAAGAATAATTTTATTGTTCTGCATTTGTATTTACACTGATTTTATAAGGACTATAACTAGAGGCAGATGCTATGTTGTAGTGAGTAAAGCTCTCACCTGCCATGCCAGCAATCTCATATGAGCCACAGTTCTCATCCCAGCTATTCCACTTCCCTTCCAGCTACCTGCTGACATGCCCAAGAAAGCAGAAGCACCAAAACCTTGGGCCCCAGTGTCCACGTGGGACACACAGAAGCTGTTCTCGGATCCTGGTTTCAGACCAGCCCAGCTGCACCGCTGCAGCCATTTGAAGAAGTACATCACATAATCACACTCTCCCTCTCCTAACTCTGCCTTTCAGATAGAATAATCTTTTTTCAAAAAAGTGATAAAGATAAGGTCTTTAAAGGCCTTATCTTGTAGTTAGTTCTTGTTGTAAACATGGTGTATTATACATGCTGTATTAAACATGGTGTATTATACAAGGTAGAACGTTCTACCTTGATTTACATCCAAAAAAATACATACATATAAAACACTCCTGGGCCAGCAGTGTGACACAGCGAGCTAATGCCCTGCTTGCTGGCGCCAGCGTCCTACATATGTGCCAGTTTGTGTGCCAGTTTGTGTCCCAGCTGCTCCACTTGTGACCCAGCACTCTGTATGGCCTGGGAAAGCAGCAGAAGAGAGCCCAGGTCCTTGGGTGCCTGCATTCACACGGGAGACCAAGAAGAAAGCTCCTAGCCAGAGCAGCTTAGCTCTGGCAGTTGCGGTCATTTGGGGAGTGAAGTAGCAGATGGAAGACTTCTCCATCTCTCCTTCTCTATAAAATTTGCCTTCCAAATTAAAAAAAAAAATCTTAAGAAATGTACATGTAACATTATATTTAGCCTATAATCCCATTGTAAAAGCTCTTACAGAAATATCTGTAACAGGTACACATAAAAAAGACACTAAAGTATCATCTGTAGTAACAGAAATAATCTACATCTGTCATTCAAATAATGGTGTTAAGCTTCAGGCCAAGCAGCTAAAAGGCCTGCAGGGACAGAGCTCACTGTGCAGTACATTAGCTCGAGTCCTAACTTGGTTCCCAATTCCCTGGTTCCTAATGATAGAGACCCTAGAAGGCAGCAGTGACAGTCCAAGTTGCTGGGTTTCTGCCATTTAGATGGGAGACCTGGATGAATGTTCCAGTCCCAGGATTCTCATCGAGGCCCTAGCAGCTGTGCATTTTGCATTTCTCTCAGCCTCTAAAATTTGGGGAAAAAAAAAAAAAAAAGAGGGGAGAGCAAGCAAGAGCACCCCACAGAACTATAAAAGTCTGTCTAAATTTTAATTACAGCTCCACCTATTACTAGCAGCATCACTCCAAACTACTTACTCACACTGGATCTTATTTTTAAGTGAGTTGCCTTGTTATTAGAGTAATTAATTTTAAGTGAATTGTTATCTATTTGAATTAAAGGCAGGTAACTGAAAGAAAGGAAGAGAAACAGATATTCCATCTGCTGGTTCACTCTCCAAATGGCTATAATAAAGCTAGGGCAATGCCAAGAAGAGATAACAGTGATATTTGCAATGGCAAAAAAATGTGTACACCACCATTAAGGTTTTTTTTTTAAGATTTATTTATTTTTATTGCAAAGGCGGACATACAGAGAGGAGGAGAGACAGAGAGGAAGATCTTCCGTCCAATGGTTCACTCCCCAAGTGAGCGCAACGGCTGAAGCTGAGCTGATCCAATGCCAAGAGCTCTTTCAGGTCTCCCATGTGGGTGCAGGGTCCCAAGGCTTTGGGCCGTCCTCGACTGCTTTCCCAGGCCACAGGCAGGGGAGCTGGATGGGAAGTGGAGCTGCCGGGATTAGAACCGGCGACCACATGGGATCCCGGCACGTGCAAGGTGAGGACTTTAGCCACCACGCTATCGTGCCAGCCTCACCATTAAGTTTTAAAAGAAACTATACCACGATTAGCACTGTGACCTAGCACAATGGGCTCTGATGCACATCCCTGCTGCTCCACTTCCAACCCAGCACCCTACTAATGGACTGGGAAAAGCAGCAGAAGATGGCCCAAGTGTTTTGGCCTCTGTCATCTATGTGAAGACCTGAATGAAGCTGCTGCCTCTAGCTTCAACCTGGCCCAGCCCTGGTCACTGCAGCCACCTGGAGAGTGAACCAGAGGATTTAAGTTCTCTCTCTCCCTGTGAACTGATACACGCACGTGCACGTGCACGTGCACAAACACACACACACACACACACACACACACACACACACACAACATGACTGCACTCAGAGTTGGACTCTGTGGAACTCTATTACTACTTACATGCATTAATATCCTGGTAGTTGCCAAAATGCCAATGCTTGAATTTGGAAGAACGTGAAGAGCAAGGGTACAAAGACGTTTGATGAAGGCCAGGGCTCGCTGTTGAGAAACTTGCTTCCTGCGCTTGGTTAGCATGACATCAAGACACTGGAGTACAATCCCTACCCCTTCATTGGTAGCACCTGAAACAGCAGACACTTCAGCACTGCTCTCTTCCTTTATACAATTTCAGTGAATTCAAGAAAAACCCAACATGAACTGCTGCACTTAATGCCAGTTTCCTGCCCAGTAAAGTAATACTGGAGAATTACTAAAAGAAGCTCTGGGCTATAGTTACTCCATCTCCAGGCAACTCTGAAACTCTCCAAGTGCTACTAGGCCTAAATACCCACGTGCAGCACTGGAAGGCCAGCAATTTACGTAACACTTCTTCTCACATCTTTAACTGTTGTTCTGGTCATAACATATCTTTAAAGATAAGTTCGTATTAAGGAAATAACTAAATACACATACCTGCATGTAACTTGAACAGTGTCTTGTAGAGATGTGTATAGAATTTCATTGGATCAATATTCAGAACATCACCTTTCAAATAAAAAACAATTATGTACGTTGTTTACAGCTTCCAAAAACAAAGCAAACAAAATTTAATTTTTTTCTAAAAAAACAAACAAAACTTACCTTGCCCAGAAAGAATATGAAAAGCAGTCTGCACACAATGAAGGCTTTCTTGATAACTCAGATTCTTTAAAAAAAAAAAAAAAACATTAAAAAGTTATAATAAATACTAATACCTTTAAAAAGTAATCCAAAAATACTTACACCAGATTCAATGAGAGTATGAAGAACTACTAATAAATCATCAAAAAACTCGACATTGATAAGGTGAGCAAACCTGAAATCAAACAAAGCTTAGTTAACAAAAAACTTCAAAGCAGAAATAAAAGCAGGTAAAATCAATTTCTAAATTGTTTTAATATTCTATATTTCAAAAAGTGATGACAATTATTAATAATTATTGATAATTTTCATTACTTCAGATTGGCGTGGCAAGACACACACTGAACACTAGAACACATGAGACATTAAACAGATTAGCACTATCTCAAAATTAATTCTGCCCCTGGTGAGCACTATGGCATGGTGGGTAAAGCTACTGGTTACTGCACTGGCATCCTATATGGGCGCTGGTTTAAGTTCCAGCTATTCTACTTCCAATCCAGTTCTGTGCTAATGCATCTTAGAAAGCAGAAAGATGGTCCAAGTCCTTAGACACCTGCACACAATTTAGATACTTGCAAAAAAAAAGACCCAGAAGAAGCTCCTACACCCTGGCTTTGGAGTAGCTCAGCTTCAGGCACTGCAGCCAGAGGAGTGAACCAGCAGAGGGAACATCTGGCTGTCTCTCCCTCTCTCTCTGCTACATTGCCTTTCAAATAAATAAATGTTGAAACAAACAAAAACTTCTGCCCTGAGAAATAAGCTACTCACAGTAAACCTTCCTTGAGGTTTCTAGTGCAAGATTTCTAGTGCAATTCAGCAGCCAGTAGCATCAGCTTCTAAGAAAATCGGTGCTAATGAGAAAAGAGGTCAGACTTGCTATTTATAAAAATACAGTCTGAGAGAGCTTTAAATCTGAAATAGCAAGTACGCATTTGACAATGCAGTAAGACACAGCTGTGGACACCTGCATCCACGGGACAGCCTAGGTGTGAGTTTTGGCTCTGCATCCTCCTTGGGAGGCAGCAAGAGCTGTCTCGTAGCTCAGTCTATGCCACCCACCCTGCTCCTGAACTCGCTAGGAGATGAATCGGCAATTGGAAAGTGTCTCCCTCCATCTCGTCCTTTATATTCACTTGAAAGGTAGAGTGACACACCGAAGAACAGACAAATGAGTCCTCCATCCACTGACCTACTCTGTAAATGGCCACATCGGCTAGGACTGGTCCAGGCCAAAACCAGTAGCCAGCTTCATTAGCGTCTCCATGTGGGTGGCAGCAGTTGGGCCATCTTCCAGAAGGCAGCACTGCAGGTGGTGGCTTTAACCTGCTATATCACAGCACTAAGCCCCTCTCTTTCTGCCTCTCAAATATTTTTAAAATAGCAATAATAACAAATCTGGTATCTAGCCTAGGCTCTACCACTAGTTACCTATGTGCTTCCCAAAGAAGTTACTCAAGCATCCTGGACTTCCATTTCTAGAAATAACAGAGCACCAATAGCATTCAAGACAAAGAATCACCTGGGCTACGAAATACGAGTACTCTGCATAATTAACCAGACACTGAGTAGAACAAAGTCAGGACATCCTCCGGCATTAGTGAAGAGTCTTTAACCCTATGTAACTCTTCTGGGTCCCCAACCTGGGCGCAGGGGTCCAAGCACTTAGGCCATCTTCCACTGATTTCCCAGAAACATTAGCAGGAAGCTAGATTGGAAGAGAACAGACAGAACTCATATAAGTGCCAGCACTGCAGGCAGAGGTTTTACTTGCTAGGCGACAATGCAGGCCCCAGCCATCTGTTCTAATAAGACCGAAGCACAAAATACACAGACACAGATAAATACATGCAAAAGAATATTTAGGTGTAACATAAAGGACTGGTCAAATGATATAATTCAAATCCATAACAGACTATTACTATTAACCTGGAAAGATATCCCAAGTAACTGATTATCAAAAAGAGGGTAAAAAACCAAACTACAGAACCTCATACCTAGCATGATTCAGTCCGAGAGATAAGAAAGGCAGATAGGCACATGTGTACACAAAAGATCTTTTTCAAAAAGTTGTTGAAAAAAAGCATAAACTACACAGGAAGCTTCAAGAATTTTAAACCAAAATAAACCTTTTAGTTCACTGTATTTAGTTTTATGCAGACTAGGGAGATGATGTGCAAGCTGGGTTGAAATGCACAACCATGACTGGCATGAGCCACTCAAAGTGTGATGCTAGGATCCAGCATGATGGCTCAGTGGATAAATCTTCACCTTGTAAGCAGTGGGATATGGGGACTGATTCAAGTCTTAGCTGCTCTACTTTCAATCCAGCTCTCGTATTATGGCCTGGGAAGGCAACAGAAGATGGCCCAAAGCCTTGAGAGGCAGTACCCATGTAGGAGACCCAAAAGAAGCTATTAGCTTCAGATCAGCACATCGGCACAAGGGAATGAACCAGAGGATGGAAGATCTTTCTGTCTCTTCTCTCTCATTAATCTAATCTGCCTTTACAATAAAAATAAATAAATCTGGGTCTGGCACAATAGCCATGTGGCTGCAAGTCCTATCCTTGCACGTGCCAGGATCCTATAAGGATGCTGGTTCCTGGTTGCTCCAGCTCCCTGCTTGTGGCCTGGGAAAGCAATCAAAGATGTCCCAAAGCCTTGGGAACCTGCATCCACGTGAGGGACCCAGAAAAAGCTCCTGGCTTCAGATCAGCTCAGCTCCAGCCACTGCAGCCACCTGGAGAGTGAACCAGCAGATGGAAGACCTCTGTCTCCGTATCTCCTCCTCTCTGTAAAATGTGACTTTCCAATAAAAATAAATAAATCTTTAATAAATAAATAAATCTTTAAAAAAAAAGGTATGATGCTAGAGAAATATAAATTACACAGTGAAAAGAACCAAGAGATGAACCTTAGGGATGCCTGGCATTCACTGAGCTGAAGAAAATAACTACAGCAGATGTTAAAAACACTGTTGAGGTGAGAAAATCAAGAGTCCACTGTTACAGATGCAGTGCTACAAAGAGGAAACAGAAGCGAGGACCCTGGATTACCAGTGAAACTTCTAAATTTCTGGATTACCTTGGCTTTATTAAGTGATAAATCAAAAAGGTTTTAACCTACACAGCCCTTACTTGGCAAGACCTTCCAGCACTGCTGGCAGGAGAGGCGATCTCTGTGCCTTCTTCAATATTCTGAAGTATGTTACAAACACAATATTCAGAGTTTCTGTGTGCTGGCAGATGAAACAAAGTAATGTTAGCACAATCTGGTCCATTTTCTCCTGAGTTAACAAACAGCCGCTTTCAGAGCCTGATCTTGTCTATCCCTCCCACCTTTCCCTGCAAGTCAGTATTCGGAATTGTAACAGAATGAGCATATTCTGTAACTTCATAAAAATTACACTGATCATACCATGGTTTCTTGCATATCATAAAATTCACATACCTAAGTCTAATGAAGTAAACCAAAATACAACTAAAAATTAAGACAACAAATTTATTGCTAAAACCAGAACATTTTTAAAGTATACTAGATTGTGAAACTGCCTACCAATTTAAGTTTCTTCTCAGTACTCTCTGAAGCTTCCGCCTCCAAAAGCTCCCGCTCTAGTTTCTCTTCTGCTTTTTTCCACTGAAAATAGATTTGGGGTGGGGGGAGTGAGGAAGAGTACGTACCACTAAATGAAAACAGCAGAGTACGCAAATGTTAAAAAAAAAAATTCAATACTACAACATTATCTATAAACGCAAATGTAAGCAAAATCAGAAAAACACAGTATGTATATACAAACCAAATTAATGTGGTAGTTTCAAGCAGGGATAATGTCCACCCTTTTATACATGACTTATTTCTTTATAATAACTGAATCTATTAATAACTTCTCATTCTGAATGGTTGTTATGAGATATACTAACACTTCCTACAATTTCAATTTAAAATTTTCAGAGTTAAGCCCTAAAATAATGTCTACAATGAAAATAATCTAGAACATGGAAGCCAGCTGTCAATAATACTTTCAGCCTAGCCTTGTGGTACCTCCTGTTAAGCCATCACTTGCAACATTAGCATCCCAAGAGAGCACCTTTTCAAGCCCAAGCTGCACACCTCCCACCCATCTTCCTGCTAACATGTCTAGGAAGGTAGCAAACCATGGTCCACGTGCTTGGAATCCTGGCACCCACGTGGGAGCCAGGCTAGAATCCCTGCTCTTCGATTTCAATCTCACCCAACCCTGGCTGCTGTGGGCATTTAGGAAGGAAACCAGCAGACAGAAAGATCTCTGTCTCCCTGTCACTCTGACTTGGAAATAAATGCATCTTTAAAAAAAAAAGTACAACCATATACAAAGAAAAAAAAAAACCCAGACACTTCAGAAATTCAGTAAAATACTTCAACTTTTGAATGCTGTAAGAGCAGCAAATAATGGCTGCTAACCTCAACTAGTAAAGTTCTTTCACTGTTAATATCTCTTAACTCCACTACAAAAGTTTTCAATACATGCGCTGCTGAAGCAAGTACTACCAAAAAGATTCAGTGTTGGGCCTGGTGTGGCAGACTAGCAGCTAAAGTTCTCGCCTTGCTTGCACCGGAATCCCATATGCGTTCCAACTTGTGTCCTGGAGACGCTGCTTGCCATCCAGCTCCCTGTGACCTGGGAAAGCAGTCGAGGGTAGTCCAAAACCTTAGGACCCTGCACCCACATGGCAGACCTGCAAGAAGCCCTGACTCCGGATCGACTCAGCTCCGGCCACTGTGGCCACTTGGGGAGTGAATCAGTGGACAATAGATCTTCCTTGCTGTGCTCTCTGTGTATTTGACTTTCCAATAAAAATAAATGAATCTTTAAAAAAAAAAAGATTCAAAATGCTGGCATGTTCTTAATCTTTGCAATTTCCTTCACAATATCCAAATCTATTAATACAATAGGTATAACTGATACTACCTTCATTTGCTTGTAATCATTAAAATGTCTATTTTAATGACTTTCATATTTTCCAAAATTTATTAACCCAATTTGAGTAGATATCCATAAAAAATATTTTGTATCAGCACAAAGCAATTAGATACAGCAAACTGTTTTGATAAAACAAAAACAGCAATAACAATGATGCTGAGATAGCAACAACTGTTCATAAAACATGCTAGGCTATACAAATACTAAATGATTTCTACACATTATCGCAAACGCATAATCATCAAGCAACATAGCTATGACTATTATTTGCTCCCTTTCCTGAAAAAAAAAAATTAAAATTTCAGTGAATAAACAAAGGCCTGGAATTTTAACACAGTTTAAAAAGCAAGCCAATAAACAAACATGATTGAGTTCCCAGCAGTTCATTTTGCAGCCACCTTCACACGAACTCATGCTCTCTACTGAGCAAAACTGTGTTCCATGGGATTCTAACTTGATCTAAAGACCTACGTATGACAGCCACATGGCACAGTGACATTCACCTACTGCTCCCCTGCCAGTAATTATCAGTTCAAGTTGAGTCAAGGAAACACTTCATTGCTGCTGTGAGGGAAAAATTATATTTCAAAATTTTTGTTTTTATGATTTAACTGAATTTTACCCATGCCAATTACAATTTTTGAGACTTTTTTCAAAAAACACACATATATTTTTTTAATTGCAAAGACAGATTTACACAGAGAAAAATCTTCTGTCCACTGGTTTACTCTCCAAGTGGCTACAACAGCTAGAACTGAGCTAATCCGAAGCTTGGAAATTCTTCAGCTCTCCCACACGAGTGCAGGGTCCCAAGGTCTTGGGCCATCTTCTATTGCTTTCCCAGGCCACAAGCAGGGGGCTGGATGGGAAGTGGAGCAGCTGAGACATGAATCAGAACCCATATGGTATCCTCGCAGACATAAAGCAAGGACTTAGCCTCTAAGGCTTTGGCGCGGGGTTCTAAAGATTTATTATTTGAAAGTTTTATAGGAGAGGACTGAGAGATCTTCCACTAGCTGGTTCTCTCCTCAGATGGCTGCAATGTCCACAGCAGAGCCAATCTGAAGCTAGAAACTTCTTCCAGATCGCCCACGAGGTGTCCATGTCAAATGATAACACTGATAGCATAACACCAGTCCCAAATACTATGATTTTAAGCCAAGATCCAACCAATTAAGCACTTAAATGCTAGGATGCCTCACTATGTGGAACAACTGTTAACAGATCTGAAGGAAAATACAGACTCTAATACAGTGGGAGTCCTTGAAAATGCATTTGCCCCAATGGACAGATCGACAAAACAGAAACTCACCATGAAAACAAGAGATCTCACCCAGACAATAAAACAAATGGACTCAACTGACTGGTCTTCTGCCTGTAAGGAATGGCAACCCATTTGGGGCCATTTCATGTACCAGCTGTTCCATTTCACATTTGGGGAGTGAACCAGCAAATGGAAGATTTTCCTATTTCTCCTCCTCTCTGAAAATCAGCCTTTGCAATGAAAACAAATATTTTTTAAAATAAAGTAATAAAAATGAAAACAGATGGTCTTAATTGATATCTACAGAACCTTTCATCCTACAGACACATAACACACTTTTATTCATCAGACATGGAACTATTCCAGAACTGATCACATTATAGCACCACAAAACAAGCATCAGCAAATTTTTAAAAACTGAAATCATGCCATGCATCTGCTCATGCCAGCAGGGAAATGAAACTAACAGCAAGTCAAAATATCCCAAAAATGTACAAACACGAGGAAACTAAACATTCTGCTGAATGAACAATGGGTTATATTATAAACCAGAAAGGAAATTTTAAAAAATTTCTTGGACTAAACGAAGGCATCAACAAAATGTATTAACACTTGTGGAAAATAGCAAAGGCAGTCCTGAGAGGAAAGTTCAGCGCAGTCAGTGCCTACATTTGGAAACTAGAAAGACTCTAGACACAAGCTAAGTATAAATCTGAAGGAACTGGAAAAAACACAGCAAAATAAGCCCAAGATTAGCAGAAAAGATGAAATAATTAAAATAAAATAGAAAAGAAAAGAACAATACATAAGACCAACAAAGAGCTGGTTCTTTGAAAAAAATCTGCAACACAGAAACACCACTAGCCTGACTACTCAGAAAGGAGAAGAAAAAAATCAATAAAATCAAGAAAAAGGAAATGTAACAGATACCTCAGGCATACATAGAATAATCAGGAACTATTAAATAAATTCTGATATGCCAACAAATCAGAAGACCTAGAAGAAATGGATACATATCTGGATACATACAAGTTAACAAAAACAGAAGGTAACTGAAATCCTAAACAAACTATAACCAGGACAGAAATTGAATCAGCAATTAAAACCCCCCTCAGCAGGCCCAGCACAACGGCTCAGTAGCTAAATCCTTCCTTTCTATGCGCTGGGATCCCACATGGGTGCCAGGTCATGTCTCAGCTGCTCCACTTCCCATCCAGCTACCTGCTTGTGCCCTGGGAAAGCAACAGAGGATGGCTCAAAGCCCTAGGACTCTGTACCTGCATGGGAGACTCAGAAGACACTTCTAACTCCTTGCTCCTGGCACCTGGCTTTGGATCAGCTCAGCTCCAGCCACTGCAGCCACTTGGGGAGTGAACTAACAGAATGCATGATCCTTCTCTCAATATCTCCTCTCTGTAAATCTGCCTTTCAATAAAAATGAAAACATCTTTTAAAAAAAAAAAGTGCAAGACTGCATGCCTTCACTGTTGAATTCTACCAAACATTCCAAGAAAAATGAACCCAATTATACACAAACTATTCAAAACTATTCAATCTTTCCAAACTCTTTCTATGATGTCAAAATCATCTTAATATCAAAGCCAGACACAACAGAAAAAGAGAACTACAGACTGCTATCCCTGACACACAGACCCAAAAATCAACAAAGCAGCAGCCAACAGATTCCAACAATACACCAGACACATCATTCACTGGGACCAGGCGGGCTTTAATCCTGTAGTGCAGGGTTGATTTAACATATGCAAATCAAATAAACATGACACACAATAAAATGATTAAAAAGTTTATGATCATCTCTATAGATGCAGAGAAAGCATTTGATAAAAATCCAACACCACTTCATACTAAAAGCTCTAAGCAAGATAGGCACAGAAGGCATATTCTACAACAGAATCAATGTAGTATGTAAAAACCCAATGCCAGCATCATAATGAAATGGGAAGAGCTAGAAGCCTTTCTACTAAGATCTGGAACTCGACAAGAATGTCCTCTTTCATCACTGCTATTCAACATTGTATTGGAAGATCCAGCTAGAGCTAACAGGAAAAAAAAATTTAAGGAATTCAAATGGAAGAGGTGAAAGTCAAATTATCCTGCTACACAGACAACATGATCTAAATATGCGAAAAGCAAAAGACTCAACTAAGAGACTACTGGAACTCAGTTTGGTAAGGTAGCTGGATACGAATATAAAATGGATTACTTTAATATACACAATGACATGGCTGAGAAAGAAGCTCTAAGAACGGTCCCATTCAGAAAGAAACTTAAATACCTTGGAATAAACCTAAGCAAAGATGTGACGGACCTCTACAATGAAAATTAAAAGACACTAAAAGGTGGGAGAAATGCACCATGCTCATGGATCATGGAACGGCAAAATTAACATCAACAAAATGTCCATATGACCAACAGTAATATATAGATTCAGTGCAATCCCAAAGAAAATCACAGCTTTCTTCTTAGAACTAGAAAAGAGGATGAAAAAATTCATCTGGAAACATAAAACCAGCAATAGCCAAAGTAATCTTGTTAGCTCAAACAACAAAAAGAAAATTGGAGGAATACTATATTAGATTTCAAAACACAGTACAGGGAAGCAGCAACCCTAACTGGTAAAAAGACAGAGATGATGACCAAAGAAACAGAACCCACACAGGCACAGCCAACTAATCTTAGAAAACTGAAAATAACCCGAAGGGCAAGGTCACTTTCTTCAACAAATGCTGTTGGGATGATTGGACACTGGCTTGTAGAAGTAACAAACAAGAGACCCACCTTTCACTCTAAACAGACCAAGGACTTAAATCTGTACCCAGAAACCATCAAATTACTAGAGAATAACACAGGAAATGCTCTAAGACACCGGCCCACGCAAAGATTTTTAGAAAAGACACCAAAAACACAGGTAGTTAAAGCCAAAACAAATGGGACTACATCAAAGAAGCTTCTGTACAGTCCACAAAGGAAAGACACCCAACAGAACGGGAAAAAAATTTACACACTATGCAATAGCTAGGAGACCAACACCCAAAATCTACAATATGAGCCAGCGTGACAGTTCAACTGTCTAATCCTCCACCTTTAAGTGTCAGCATCCCACAGGAGCACTGATTCATGTCCCAGCTGCCCCACTTCCCTTCCAGCCCCCTGCTCATGGCTGGGAGAGCAGTAGAGGACAGCCCAAAGCCTTGGGACCTGCATCCATTGGAAGACCAGAGAGAAGCTCTTGGTTCCTGGTTTTGGATTAGCTCAGCTCTGGCTGTTGCACCCATTTGCGGAATAAACCAACAGATGGAAAATCTGTGGCTCTGTCTCCTCCCTGTAAATCTGCCTTTCCAATAAAAATAAATTTTATTTTAAAGATTTATTTATTTTTATTGGAAAGGTGGATATGCAGAGAGTAGGAGAGACAGAAAGGAAGATCTTCCATCCAATGGTTCACTCCCTAAGCGGCCACAATGGCTGGAGCTGAGCCAATCCGAAGCCAGGAGCTCTTCCAGGTCTCCCACGCCGGTGCAGGATCCCAAGATTTTGGGCTGTCCTCGACTGCTTTCCCAGGCCACAAGCAGGGAGCTGGATGGGAAGCTCCAGCTGTTGCAGTCACCTGGGTAGTGAATCAACAGATGGAAGATCTTCCTCTCAGTATATCTAACTTTTCGATAAAAACAAAATCTTAAAGAAAATCTACTCAATGGGTTAAGCTGCCACACCTACTGGCATGCATGAGAACCAGAATGGGTGCAGACCAGCCAAGCTAGGTCGCAGCATGTGGCTGCCAATTACTGGGACTGGGTGCAAATCTTGTCAGGCTGGACCTCAGTACACCCGGCCAAGCACAATATCCTGCGCTGGGAGCAGGCCTAAAGTGCACCTCCTGCTAGGCTGCAGATTCTGCTGGCAAATGAAAGAACCAGGGCTGGGGTCAGGGCAGGTTAGACTGGGCAGCAGCACCCTCTGGCATATGTGTGCACTAGATCTGAGATGGGTGGTGCTGAGGCTGCAGCACCCATGGGTATGCACAAGAGCCAGATGTGATGCAAGACAGGTTGGGCTAGGTCACATCACAAGACAGCACACGCACCAACCAGGACTAGGGGCAAGCCTGGCAGGGGTTATGAGAGGTTGCCCCAACTAGGCTGCAGCTCACTGGTGTGTGTGAGGACGAGGCTTGTGGTGGTCGGGCTAGGCAGTAGCACCCATTAGTTCACATGAAAGATGAGGTTAGTGCCAAACTGACCAGGCAGCTGCATCCACCAATATGTACATTGGCTAGTGTGGCTGACAGACCAAACCTGACCATTAACTAACTAGCACACATAAAAGTCTAAGGTCACTCCAGGAGATGTCTCTTCAGGGACCTCCCAGCTAGATGGCTGGACTCAAACTCTAGCCAGAGAGAAAATCACAATATATGTGGTCCAATCTTGGAGTGCATGTATTAGAACTGAGCCTCCTTGGTTGCTAAGTGTGCAGTAGACAGCATTCCCAAATGAACATGCGGTACATGAGTCCACTCATCTAGGCCAGCAGAAGACACAGAGCAAGTTGTCAGAGGATGGAAAGCAGAACAGGTTGGAAAATTATCTGACCAAGCTTTCCAGCAAGTGTCTGGGTCTGTGGATTCACTGAAGCGGACTTAGCCAAGAGACCTTGGCAAGATTTACATAACCCTGGTACAGCAAAGCTGATGACATCTCAGAATTATCAACACCACCCCTGAAACATTCTTTCCACATCAGGGTCTCTAAAGCGTCATCAAATGATCACGCCCCACCCCAATGCTGACGTAGTTTCTCAGCAAGGAGTGGACCTCTTTCCCACTGTGGACACTGGAGGGAAAAAAAAAACTGAAAATTTTGTCTCACATTTTCTTCCATACCTCGACTCTTCCCACCCTATCAGAAACCCACATGGCATGCACCTCAACCTTATAAAAACACCAAAAACAAAACTATTTTTTTAAATGCGTACGTTCCCTAGCTATTAGGGAAATGCAATAAAAAATGGCCTGCACACAGAAATGAGGAAACAACAACTGCTGGCAAAGATGTAGGTAAAAAGGAATCCCAATCCACCATTGGTAGGAGTGTAAACTAGTGCAACCACTATGGAACTCAATATGGACAGTGCTCAGACAACTGCAAATTGGTCTGTCATATGACCCAGCTTTCCCACTCCAGAGAATATATCCAAAGGAAATTAAATCTGCACAGGAGAGAACAATCTGTAATCCTATATTTATAGCAGCACAATTCACAAGAGCAAAGACATGGGAACCCAGATGCCCTTCAACAGATAGATGGATAAAAATACTGTGGTACATCTACTCTATGGAATACTACTCAGTTGTAAGAAAAATGAATGCAATCCTACCATTTGTAACGAAAATGGTCCCAACTAGAGACCATGATGCTTAGTGAAATATGCCAGTCCAAAAAGGACAAATATCACATGTTCTGATATAAGACAGATTTTAGGCAAAGTGCAAAGTAAAAGTATTCAAATATATACACATATTCCCACAGATGAGAAGTATAACAGACTAACATATTGTGAAGTCACATTGCAGTGGCGTCTCTACTTCTGAATAAAATCAGGACTCCCATTTTGAAACCCAAACAGCATGATACTAGTTCTTGTACCTGACCTGTATCTACCACATAACGACACATTTAAATAGCAGAAAGTTGATCTTGTAGCTGTTACTAAGGGACTATACTACTACTATAATTTTTTTTGGTTTTTTTTTTTTATTTTTTTTTAATATTCTGACAATGTTTACATAGTTAATTAGGGTAAAAAGGTTCAAGGGCTACAGGAAAGTGGATAAGACTATTATTTTTCCCATATTGTTTCCTTCATGTTTAAAGGGGGGTATTAAGGGAGAAGGCCCACCCAATTTCCCACCCTCCCCAGGTCCCGGATGTAGGGTATGCTCTGAGGTTCTTGCTCAACAGTTATGAATCGTTGCCAATCTTGCCACTCCAAGCACTACGAGGTCCTTGAAGAATCCACTGATTGACATAGTCCATCACAGAGTTACTACTACTATAATTTGAGGAGTAATAGTGGGATGATGGGAAAATAGGGAAGGAACGGGAGAAATGGAGGGTCGGGAAGATCCCCTATACCCACAAAACTATATTGTGGTAAATAATAAATAGACTTTTTAGAAAACACTTTTAAAAAAATAAATCAAACCTTTCTCTGCATTCGCGATAGCGTTTTTCTCTTCTCCTTGAAAGTCATGAACTTTTTTGGTTTATTAATGTCCTCAGTATCTTTCTTTACTTCTACTTCCTTTATTCTTAGGCACAAAAATGTTTTTAACATCTAAGGTAGAAAAACAATACAAATACATAGTGTAATATTTGTTATGTCATAAAAATGAATACAGAAAAATGCATTTCACAATGTTATTTTCTTTATCCATACACCATGCAAAAACTTGGAAAGATTTTTTTTCACACTGTAACAGTCCTTACTGTATTAATCATTTTCAGTAATTTCTGTCTATGAAAATAGTATCTGGCTAAAAAAATGTTTGCAGTTTAATAGATATAAAGACAATACATTATCTGGCAATGGTGGTCAGAACTATGAAGAATTATGTAGGTCAGGAAAGGTCTAGTCACTATGGAGGAGACAACAATGAACACACTTCTAATCTAGCTTTAATTTACGAAATTAAGCACGCTCAAAGATCCAATATGAAAAGCAGCAAGTTGTGTTCACCTAAGCCACAGAGACGAGCAATGAGCACATTCCCAGGGAACTGGCAGAGAAGTGACAGACCAGAAAATATGTAGGTCAGTAAGGAAAGAGGACAAACACGTTGACATGGCCAGCTGTACTGCCAGCCAAGCCTGCATCTCACAACCTGCTGGGAAATGCCATCTTCTCAAGGCAAGGCAGGAGAAGCTGCTGTGGCTTCCTGCCACCCATTCCACAGCTCCCCACTGACTGAGGAACTCATTAGGGTCAGAGTGGCTATGCTATTCTGAACATAAAAGCCACTTTGCCTCCCTTCCTTCTTGCACTCAGCTGGGTTTGGCAGAGTCCAGGCTGAACTCTGCTGTTCTGCTCTGACTCAGTAGACAGTACCCCATCACACCGCTGCCACTTAGGGCAACTCACAGAGCGAAGAGCAGATCCCCTACCTCCTAAACTGGGGTGCTCCCAAGGCAAGCCCCCTACTGTGCTCACTCACTCTACATGATCCAGGAGTTTCTTGGCTAGCACCAGTAGAAGCCCATAAAAACACAGAATTGACCTCCTCCAGACCCTGGCACGGCACTTGCACAGTGCAAGAGAAAGGGGGTGGGCAGGGGAAGCAGCTGCACCCAGGTTTTGTGGAACCAGGACTGCTTATGTTGGGTTTTACAATTTCTGGAGTAATCGGCCCTTACTCCGGGTATCTACAGTACTCCACTACAGCTTCCTGCCTCAGGCACACGGTTACCATCATCCCAAACACCTGCCTCTCACCCTGAGTGCTCTGGGTAACAATCCCAGTCTGTCCTGCAACACCAAGACTGTGTCAATCATTACTAATTTCCTCCAACTCACTGGAACCTAGCTGATGGGACATATGGCGAGACCTGCCGGTATTCTTCATCTCTGGATCCATACCTCAGATACACACCAAACCTTACCAGTGCTTTTATTTAAAATATGACTTGCTTTTCCCTTTTACTTCACACAAACGTATTAATATATGCTACATTAATAATTGACTATAATTTAAAACAAAAAAACTGCAAAGTAGGGAAAGAAGGCTTACCTCTGGCCTGACTTCATAATTTCTGCCCTTCACAAAACCAGAAATCACTTTAATTACACCAAGAGAAGCTTGGCCTAATTTATCTTGTTTAAAAAGTTTCTTTACTGCCTCACAACACATTTCAGACACCTGAAAAATAAAATGTGACTTTAAACCAGGGCCTCTCAAGCTTGGACATACTGACATTGGGCTGAATGCTTCCTGCCTGGGGAAGGAGTAACTTTGCCTTACACTATGTTCAATAGCCTCCCTGGCCCTCACCTAGCTGACACCAGCAATTTCCCTCACCCAACCAGAACCAGGACGAACAAAAAGTCTCTTGAACCCTGCCCAATTTTCCCTGGGGAGAAGAGAGGGGTAAAAATGCCTTTTGTTGGGGCCCACTACAGTAAGTTTATGTTCAAAAGGCAGTTTTCAGAGCCAGAGTTTGGCTGAGCTGCTAGGCTAGTTGATATTCCCAGTGTCCCCCCAGTGCACTATCTGGGTAAGGGCTGGCTCCAGCTCCTGAATCCAGCTTCCTGCTTATGCAGACGCCAGCAGGCAACTCGCAGCTCAGGTGGTGGGCTTTCTGCCAACTACGTGGGAGACCTGGATGGCATTCAAAGCTCCAGGCTTTGCCCCAGCATAGCTCCCATTATTGCAGTCTTTTGAAGAGTAAACCAACTGGAAAAAGCTCATTCTCTCAAAGAATTTAAAAAGACACAGTGTTTAATACATTGACACTATTTAACTAACACGCCATAGTTCCAAAAAAAAACTTTGTGGAAAAAACAAATCACAGTCTATACTTTTCTATTAAGGACAACAGCAGCATTCACTTAGAAGCAACCTACCGATTTGGACACATCATTCATGAGAGGGACAATTAATACAATGATGTTGTTGTGAAAATTAAAATGGGGTAGCGCCACCAGCAGCTCGCACAGGCTCTTCACAGCCACTTCTGCCAGTCCTCGGTACGCCTTTAAGGAAATGACATTACTTTTCTTCAGCTTCCTTTGCTTCCAATCTGAAAGATAACTACAGTTCCTCACTTTCTGGCAAAACCTCAGAACAACTGATATAACAACAAATGCTTGCTTTACTAAAATTTTTCAAAGAAAAATTTAAAAAAAAAAAAAACACATTGAGGGCCAGCACCAGGATCCAATTTTGAGGCCAGTTTGGATCTTGGCTGCTCCACTACAGGTCCAACTCCCTAATGTGCCTGGAAAAACAGTGGAGGATGGCCCAACTGCTTGAGCCCCTGCTATCCACATGAGACACCTGGCTGAAGTTCTGGCCATCAGCCTGGTCCAGCCCCACCTGCTGCAGCCATCTGGGGAGTGAACCAGCAGACAGAAGAATCCTTCCCTCTTCTCTCTACCTTTCAAATAAATAAATCCTTACAAAAATAAAATTAAAACTGCATAATGGCTCAGTCTGCCCAGGAATGGTTCACATCTGTCTGTCCTAGTCCAATGTGGATAGTAACTGAGCCTTTGAAGCATGACTAGCCCAAAAGAGTATAAAGTGTAAATATGCACATTTTAAGCTTAGCACAAAAAAAAAAAAACCTAAGACATCTCACTAATTTTAAAAAATCTAACTCCATGTTGAAATTACAATACACAAATTTACTCTTAACTTATCTCACTATGTTTTACATGCTTTTCCTCCCATGACTTTTAAATTACTCAAGTAGTTAGTATTTATGCTGAACTGCATAAAGCACCCAGGCCTATCTTTGGGAAACAAAAGCTATGTTAGTAGGCAGGTCCTGGATGGAATGTCAGGGCACAGAATAACTCCCATGCCATCCACAGCCACTGCTACCCTACTATATTCTACCACCCTACCGCCTTTCTTAGGCCAACAGGACTCAACAGTTCTGTTTCAGCAGATAGCAATTAGGTGTCTTTGAGGCCTAGTAATAAGTAAAAGAGGCCAGGCAGGTCAAATGAAGGCACTGGGCCTAGGTAATCAACTCCATTTCTTCATGCATGTTTCAAGTTGCTGCTATTACCTGTCTTATCTAAAAAGGTTTGACAGACTAATTTGTCATGTTGAATAACTGACTCATAAGTCCATTTTTAAAGCACTCACATTTCTAATTATCTTTCCTCCCTAACATTTTCAAATAAGAAACAGGAACAGGGCCCGGCGCGATAGCACAGCAGTTAAAGTCCTCGCCTTGCACATACCAGAATCCTATAAGGGTGCTGGTTCTAATCCCGGCAGCCCCGCTTCCCATCCAGCTCCCTGCTTATAGCCTGGGAAAGCAGTCGAGGACGGCCCAGAGCTTTGGGACCCTGCACCCATGTGGGAGACCCGGAAGAAGTTCCTGGCTCCTGGCTTTGGGTCGGCACAGCACCGGCCGCTGTGCTCACTTGGGGAGTGAATCATCGGACGGAAAATTTTCCTCTGTCTCTCCTCCTCTCTGACTTTGTAATAAATAAAAATCTTTAAAAAAAAAAAAAAAAGAGAGAGAGAGAGACTTGAAAGAGCTCCAGCCATTGTGGCCACTTGGGGAGTGAACCATCGGATGGAAGATCTTCCTCTCTGTCTCTCCTGCTCTGCAAATCCGCCTTTCCAATTTAAAAAAAAAAAAAAAACGGGAACAAAGCCCTCCTGTTCGTAATTCAAGAACGTATAATTACTTGCTAGCTAAACAGCCTACAGCAAAAACATTAATACTAACAACTGATAATATACACTAGACAAAGTTCTAAATACTCTATACATATAATTCAATTACTTGTACAATAATCCCAAATGAGTAAATTCTACCATTGCTACAAGACAGAAAAATACAGCACCGAAAGCAATCTATCCATGCAGGGGTGGTGGCTGGTAAACCTAGGATTTGCATCTAGGAAATCTGACACTATACACCTGCCTCACACTACACAAAACAAAATACAAAATTTACCTGCACGATCAAGGTTAAGTTACATACTTCTAAGATATACTTAATATACCTTTAATCATTTGCTCCAGATTTTCTAAATAAAATTTGTACTGGCTAACCAAGCCTTCTTCAAATTCTCTTAACTTCTGGGTTTCTTTACGGATCTAAAAAGAACCAAAAGATCAATCATTTTTAAAAATCATAAATTTAAAATCTGTTAACACAAAACCTGAGAGGCCTACTATGTCAAGTGCTGATAAAAGAAGGTAATACAAGAAAATCTAACTACTTCCCTCCCCAAGATTTCACTTTTCACCTTCCTATAATCATTACCCAGGATTACCTTGGAAGATTTTTCTGCTTCTGTTAGGGGTCGAATTTTATAGGAAGGAGTAACATCCTTAAATAACTCCATCAGAGAAACGATTACCAGCTTCCGAACAGTAACAGCCACATCAGGATCTTGTTCCATTAGCATGGACCGTAATTCTTTCAGTTTCTTAATCTGTTAAAGAAACAATTTATAAGGCTGATGAAACCACGGCAGAATCATCATGAACAAACAACACAAGAGCACCACATCAGCTTTGACAGGTAGAATTCACACGACTCAATGACTCTGACTAAGCCATACAAAACTTCAGATATTCTTTACCAAAAGATTTATCACTGAAGCTTTAAGGTAGTCATTTTTTAAATGATTTTTTTAAAGAATTTATTTATTGGAAAGTCAGATATACAGAGAGGAGAAGAGGAAGATCTTCCATCCGATGATTCACTCCCCAAGTGAGCGCAATGGCCGGTGCTGCGCTGACCCAAAGCCAGGAGCCAGGAACTTCTTTCGGGTATCCCACATGGGTGCAGGGTCCCAAGGCACTGGGCTGTCCTCAACTGCTTTCCTAGGCCACAAGCAGGGAGCTGGATGGGAAGCGGGGCTGCTGGGATTAGAACCAGCGCCCATATGGCATCTCGGTGCATTCAAGGTGAGGACTTTAACTGCTAGGCCACGCCACCGGGCCCTTAAATGATTTTTCTTATTTGAAAAGGCAGAGTGACAGAGAAACCGTGAAGGAGATAGACAAAGCCGGCTTCTCACTGCTGACACACTCATGCCTAACTAGTCACGGCCTGGACAAGCAGGGCCAATGAGCCTGGAACTCCATCCAAGTCTCCCTCGTGGGAGGCAGGGGCCCAAGTACTTGGGATATCTTCCACAGCTTTCCCAGCAGAGAATTAGATAAAAAGCACAGTAGCCAGAGCGTAGATATACGATGCAAACATTGCAGGAGGCAGCTTAAACTACTGCCAACTAATATAAGAAGTGGGTAATCATGTATTATGTAAGTAAAATTGTGTATATAAAATATTTATAAAAGTATAAAAATGATTTTCCAAAGGCAGTTTAAATCTGTCAGCTTATCTATTCAGAAATTATATTTGAGCAGTTTTTCTTAAAAACATTAGACAAAGAGTGACAGACAAGCTCCTATCCTCGGTTTCACGTCACAAATGGCTGTTAAGGTCAGGGCTAGGTAGGGTCAGAAAGTCTGAGCCACAGTCACCATGCAAGTCTGCCATGCGGGTGGTAAAAATCCAGCTACGTTGAATGGATCAAAGACCTAAACCTACATCCAGAAGCCTTCAAACTCTTGGAAGAAAATGTTGGAAATATCCTGCAAGATCTAGGAGTAGATCTTGACTTTCTAAAAAGGACACCAAAAGCAATAGCAATCAAGACCAGAATAAACAAATGGGACCTCATCAAACTAAGAAGCTTCTGCACCCCAAGGGAAAAAAGCAACCCACAGAATGGGAGATCTTCGCGCACTATGTAGGTGATAGAGGGCTAATCTCCAGAATATACACAGAACTACAAAACAACCAAAACACCAAAACAAACAAACCACTCAAGAAATGGGCACGGGAAATGGGCAGACACTTCACAAAGGAACAAACCCAAATGGCAAACAAACATACGAAAAAATGCTCCGGTTCCCTGGCAATAAGGGAAATCCAAATTAAGACATTGATGAGGTACCACCTTAACACCAGTAAGATTGGCTCACATAAAAAAAAAAAAAAAAAAAAACACCAACAACCTTGTTGGCGAGGATGCGGGGAAAAGGGAACCCTACTCCACTGCTGGTGGGGCTGCAGGTTGGTAACAGCCTCTATGGAAATCAGTATGGAGAACACTCAAGTCAAAATCTGCATACCATATGATCCAGCAATAGCACTCTTGGGAATATATCCAAAACACCTGTCTCATGAAAAACCAATATGCACCCCTATGTTCACTGCAGCACAATCAGTAATTGCAAAAACATGGAAGCAACCAAACTGCCCATCAGCAGAAGATTAGATAGGAAAGCTATGGTTCATCTATTCCATGGAATACTACTCAGCTATTAAAAAAAATAAAATGCAGTTCCTTGTGGCTAAATGGGCCAAACTAGAAACCATAATACTTAAGGGAAATGAGCAAATCCCAAAAGGTTAGATACCACGTTTGCCTTAATTTATGATGAAATGATGTCAGTATGAAAAATACTACCTGTAAAATGTAATTTTTTTTTTAACATTGGTTACTCAATACTATGTCCACTAATTCCATGACGTTGTGGATTGTTGCGGATGTTACGTTGGGGCTTCTGATTGGTCGGGATAACACTCTGCCGGCTCTACCTTCAGACCAGAGAAGGTCTCCACAAGAAGCCATTGAACTTATCTGGACAATAAGATGCTGGAGTCTATGGTTGGTATATGCTTGCAATGAAAGAACCTCAACTGACCTTGAACTGTGGCAATGCAGCAAGGTGGAGGAATCCACCATGGGGGAAGGGTTGGGGGAGGGGGAATCCCAGTGCCTAAAAAACTGTGTCACATAATGCAATGTATTAAAAAAATAAATAAAATAAAAAATATTTTTAAAAATTTTTTAAATCGAGCTACGTTGGACCTATACCTGTTGCCTTCCAGGAGCTACACTGGAAAAAAGCTAGAGTCCAAAGCCAGAGCCAAAAAGCAAGTCAGACACTTCAATGTGAGACACAGGCATTTTAGTCACCAAGATAAGCACTCATTTCAACGGAGTTTTCTTATACCACACATGTCCCATTTTCCATAAAATATGCTTTAAAAATTAAAATTAACTATTTATAAGGGGGCAGCACCATGGCATGGAGAGCTAAGACCAGCTGCTCCACTTCCCATCCAGCTCTCCGCTTATGGCCTGTGCACAGAGGAAAACTCCAGTCCTTGGACCCTTGCACCTATGTGGGAGATCTGAAGGAGGTTCCTGGCTTCAGATCAGTTCTGCTCTGGCCATTAAAGTCATCTGGAAAGTCAGTGAACCCAAGATCTCTGTCTCTCCCTCTATCTCCAACCCTGTCTTTAAAGTGAAAATAAATTACTATTTCTTTAAATGTTACATACGAGATATAAATTCATTATGAACAGCCTGGAGTGGTAGCCAAGTGGCTAATGTCCTTGTCTTGCACACACCAAGATCCCACATGGGCACAAGTTCATATCCCAGCTGATCCACTTCCCATCCAGCTCCCTGCTTGTGGCCTGAAAAAGATGTCGAGGACGGCCCAAAGCTCTGGGACTCTGCATCCACATGGGAAACCTGGAAAAAGCTCCTGGCTTTGGACAGCTTATCTCCAGGCACTGCAGCCACTTGAGGAGTGAATCAGCGGATGAAAGACCATTCTGTCTCTCATCCCTATAAATCTGACTTTCCAATAAAAATATGTAAATCTTAAAAACAAAGAAACTGCAACAAATCCCTGCGCAATTTTCTTAAGCTTCAAAGTTTTCAACTGTAAAATGAGAGCACTATTTATTACTGATATGGCTCTCTAATGAGCCAACACAATCATTCAACAGAGAAACTGTTTCATTTCATAAGATTTCCTATGTATTTTATCATTTAATCCTCACACAGGACATTTCTGCAGCACATACCATTCCATTCTCCTTTGGAAATACATATATCTTCGGTAAAATGATTTACGCAAATCTGAACAGAATCAACCTCGGCCAAGCCTGAATCTCAGGATTCTTAAGCTCATGGACGGGGACTGTTTGCCAGGATACACACTGGCCCAATATGGCATAACTCTGGTTCTATTCTCCTCAGGTATGTTCCACTCACAAATATCCCTGAATTTCACTTACTTCCATCTTATATGTTCCTTATTGAAAAAAAAAATATTAACCAGGCAAGCAAATTTGCCGGCAGTTTCTTACTTCTTAAAGCAACTGATTTTACAAACAACTCTTAATGTTACAACAGTAAGTCCAATGCCTCTATTAAAGTGAGGAAAAGATTCAATGATTTTTCTAAGATGACAGAAAAATTTACACACATGATCAAGCCAAGATTGTCATCTAATTCAGCTACAATGTTAACACTTTCTTTCTGGATATACTTACAAGCAACAAAAGAAATTCTTAATCTATTAGACGTGTACACAACTAATTTGAAGCGCCTAAAGGATCTGTACTACTCACATTACTTTCAGGATCTGATACGATGGCAGAGGCCAAGGCTGCAATATGCATTTTCTTCTCTTGTAATTTCTTCTTCCGCTCAGCCAAGTGCTCCTCCACAGTTAGCTCTTTAATGGGATTCTCCACAACTTCTAAAACAGAAGCGATTTTCCTCTTAAACATGTCTTTAGTTATAAGCATGCAAAACCTTAGTTAGGGCCCAGCACAATAGCCTAGTGGCTAAATCCTCATGTTGCTTGGGCCAGGATCCCATCTGAGCACCAGTTCTAATCCCGGCAGCTCCGCTTCCCATCCACGCGGGTGCAGGGTCCCCAAGCTTTGGGCCGTCCTCGACTGCTTTCCTGGGCCACAGGCAGGGAGCTGGAAGGGAAGCGGGGCTGCCGGGATAGAACCGGCGCCCATATGGGATCCCGGGCATGCAAGGCGAGGACCTTAACCACTTGCGCCACCGCGCCGGGCCCCCAGTCACATCATTAGAAAACACTCAGCATCACAAAGGGGTGAACTGTCTGTACATGAATAAACAAATTCTCCATGAAATTATCCTGACTAGGGAAAAAAAATGCAAATCAACTCCCAAAGGTATATACTGCATGATTTAATTCATATAACATTATGAAAATGAGAACATTCAAAAATAGACAACAGGTTAGTAGTTGTCAGCGGTTAGGGAGAAAGCGAGCGGGGTTAACATCAGGATAGAAGCAGCTGCAAAGCAATGTGGTAATGAAACTTTTCTCTCTTCATCTTCAATGTATCGATGTCATTATCCGCTTATCATATTCTATCGACCTGTCTGTATGGTGGGAAACTGAGTAAATGCCGTAGAGGATTTATTATTTCTTGTAACTATCAATCTATAATTATCTCAACACGTAAAATTAAAAACATACTATGCAGTTCAACGGCAGGGCCATGACACGCTAAATTTCCCCCACAGGGCTAAATGTTTTACACATATGCATTTAAAATACATATGTATAAATTACATAAGTTTTAAAGTATGCATTTAAATACTTTATAAATACATTATATTTGCACATGATTTTATTTTTGAAAAAACATTCCTAGGAACTGGAACACAATATAAGTAATGAGCTTACAACGGATGATTGAAAAACAGTTTACTTGCAATCTCATTTACACTAGTAAGGAGGTCTGTCATGATGAATTCAATCAATGTGTTTTTCCACAAATTCCAAAACAAGTTTCAACCAATAAGTTTTTTAATTTAACTCTGATGAAAGCTCCTCTAGCCAGGCAGCAGTAGGTGGGTCCCCGGTGCGAGCCCAGTCAGGGGTGACCCACCAGGGTGGCCCGGCCTCACAGGCTGCAGGGTTGGTCATTACCCAACAGTGTGTGTGAGGCAGCTGCGGCCGCAGGCCCACTGGCAGTCCGCACCGCCCTGAGCACGCTTCTCCACGAAATGAGCATTTCCAACAGTCACAACCTCCACCAGAGGATCCGCGTGTGCAGCAGCACGCCGGCCACTGCCCAACCAGCCCGACGCACGGGCCATGTTCTCCAAGCTCATGCCGGCGACAGCTTGCACAGCAGCAACAGCCCAGGACAATCACCACCTGCCCCCTGCAAGCTTCAGGCCATGCTCAGCCCGCAGGCACCCTGGATGCCCCTTCTCTCCCACAGCGTACCCACAGCCCACAGCCCACGAGACAGAAAAACACATCAGCCACAGATGGCCAGAGACTAGAAGCCTGGGCGCTGAGATGGAACCACGGGCAGTCCGGGGTTGCTGGGCCACAGGAAAGAGGGGGCATCCTAAAGATGGCACTAGAAGGTTTTATAAAAATACTCTTTTGTGGGGACAGTAAGCTTCTGGGTCACTTGGATCCTTCAGGAGTTTTTCTTTGGGTAAGCTCTACTTCCATTTAATATAGAATTACAATGTTAAAAAAAAATTCTCTAGCTTTTACAAACCCAATTATATTATGAAAAACAGACATGCAACTATACAGAGAACTTAGTTAATGCTATTCAGAACAAACCAAATGACTTCATTATCAAGTTATAATTTGAAGCTAAAAAGTTAATAGCTTTAGGGCCTGGTGCAATAGCCTAGCAGCTAAAGTCCTCGCCTTGCACACACCAGGATCCCACATGGGCTCCAGTTCTTGTCCTGGCAGCCCTGCTTCCCATCCAGCTCCTGGCCTGTGGCCTGGGAACAGTCGAGGACAGCCCAAAGCCTTGCGACCCTACACCCAAGTGGGAGACCTGGAAGAAGCTCCTGGATCCTGGCTTCGGATTGGCTCAGCTCTGGCCATTGTGGCCATGTGGGAAGTGAACCAAGGGAAAGAAGGCCTCTCTCTCCTCCTAACTCTTCTGGGTAAACTAAAATACAATATGATATGACAGTATACAATAAAATAATATATATTTTTCTATAGCAAAAAAAAATCAATTCCATAATTAAAAACTTCAAAGGTGGAAAAACTTTCAAGAGTACTCCACAATGTGCAATCCAGATTTTAAAATTAACTCCCAATTGGATAAAATCTACCCCATTACCTTCCTCAAATTCCATCTCTGCTGGGTCCTCTTCATCTTTGCTATTGTCAATAACTGCACAAAAAAAGAAAATGTGTTTTAGAACTGTGACACTGTAACTTACCATAAAAGCTGAGACGGTGACTGCCTGGGAAGGAGCGAAGCTTCCGGGTGATGCCAGTGTGTGTACCCCACCTGCACGCGGGCACACAGCGTGCACTACGGGAAATCCCGTTCATGGGGCATCTTAGATTTCTACCGCTGTGTGCCTGCTCGCACACAACAGACACAACCAAAACCAAGGGAGGTTAATCAAGATAATTAGATTCTCCAGTTTTAGAAACAGGAGTTAATGAAATGACTCTGAAAAGAAAATCACCTGAACCCTACAGCTCCAGTTTGAGATACTCAGGAACAGACAACTGAGATCACACCTGTGCAAGGGCAATTCACGAAGCTCACAGTGAAGAACCTCTAAATCCACCAGTTTTTCATAACACATACTTCACATGAACTTTCTGAAGACTCACTATCTGTCTGTCTAATTTCAAAAACTTTAGGACCCAGCACAATAGCCTAGCAACTAAAGTCCTGGCCTTGAACACACTGGGATCCCACATGAGCACCGGTTCGAATCCGGGAAGCTCCACTTCCCATCCAGCTCCCTGCTTGTGGCCTGGGAATGCAGTCGAGGACGGTCCAAAGCTTTGGGACCCTGTACCCGCGTGGGAGACCTGGAAGAAGCTCCTGGCTCCTGGCTTTGGATCAGCTCAGTTCCTGCCATTGCAGCCACTTGGGGAGTGAACCATCAGACATACGATCTTCCTCTCTGTCTCTCCTCCTCTCTGTATATATCACTTTCCAATAAAAAATAAGTCTTTAAAAAAAATTTTTTGCACATCTTTTAATTCCGTTTGCCACAACCTTTGAGACACTCCTATTTCTCACAAAAATGAAGCTTACTGTGAACTTAAAATACAGCTTCCCCTACTTTAGATATACATAAAAGTTAAAATTATTTCTACTGTTACCTATCTGCCAGGAAAAAAAGCAAGATTCCCAGCTACTGATTCATTCCCTAAATACCCAGAGCAGAGAAGGTTGAGTCAGGTTACAGCCCAACAGAATCCAGGTAGCCCAGATGCTGCACTTGCCATCCAGCTCTCTGCATCTGCCCTGTGAAAGCAATGGAGGAAGGCCCAGGTCACAGGCACCCTGCACCCACATGGGTAACCAGGAAAAAGCTCCTGGATCCTGGCTTTGGATCAGCCCAGCACCTGCTGATGTGGCACTCTGGGAGTGAACCATCAAATGGAAGATGTCTCTGTTTCTCCTTCTACATAAAATGTCTTTGAAATAAAAAAATCTTACCAATAAATTTTTTTAAAGAATTAAATTATGAGGGTATTTGACGCAAAATGTCTAAGCATAGACAAGTTGCTCTCAGGTTTACCTGGCTTCTCTCTCGTCTGTGGAATTATACCACTTTTATCTTTGATAGGAAGCAAATGAATCAGTTCCTTTTCAGGTGCAGTTTGCAGAGTTCTTGGTATTTTTTCATATTTCTCTATAATGTGCTCATGCTTTCGTTTCTTGGCATGTACGGGCTCACTGTAAAGGAAAAAAACAGAGATTACTTAAAAGTGCAGAAATGTAAGCCACAAGCCAAATCCGCAACAGGTACACACATAGGCACTGTGATCAGTGCCAAGCACATAACAGGCACTCGAACAGCAACTGAACCAATGGACTGCGTAAACACCGCAAGACTCACACAGGAGCTCTACTTGCCCTGTAGACGAGAGCTACAGGTGAAGGTTATAGCAGATTCTTTTTGTGAGAACCTTTCCTCGGAGCCAAAGGGGACACTGTGCTCTTCCCTTTTTCAAAATCTTTGACAGCGCTGTAAGGACTGGAGAGTTAAAGCAGCATGCTTCCTTCAAGCACTGTACCTCACCATTTAAACAGGTGTCCAACAAATCAAACAGACTGCATTTTTAAACACGGTGTTCAGTTCTTCTTCAACTGACTACGAAAATAAAAGTCACAGGCAACTTTCTAACATGGAAAAGAACAACATGGTTGTAGATCAAATGAAATAGTACCTAGATGAAAGATCTCTCGTTAGAAAAGATGCTTTTTGTCCTAAGTCCTTCAGTAACTGTAAGTCATCTTCATCCATCATATCTAAGGGAAGAGCTTCCTCTTCTTCCTCTTCCTCCCTCTCAACTCTTTTACCTGTTTCACAAAGAAAGAGAAAAAAATAAAAGTATTAGAGTAAAAAAACTGAAGTTGGTTGTCCACAACTGACAGGAAAAGCTTATGTTTCTCTAACACCTCAGCTCGGTGTTCCCAAAGGAAGCACTACTGCCATGCTACGCAGAGCCACTTGATACAGCTGAGTGCCCCGAGCTATGCAAAATGCCAGCATCTCCCTAAACTTAATACGATGAGCATTCCCAGGTCACTGATAATAATGAAAAAATAAATGATTCCACATTATCAAATGCCGTTCAGTTTATCTGAGAACTAGGGACAGTCTCATCTTTTTCATCTCCAATGACTCATGTCCATTGCACTTTAACCACCATTCTACATGAGCTGCACCTTACAACACTCGCACACACACCACCTGCTCTTATTTAGCTACTTTTGCTGCACTTCTCAAATACAGACCATCAATTCTATAATCACCCCACTTCCTGTCAATGTGTACTGTCCTCACTCAGACTGCATGGTTATCACTTCATTCTCTTCTCTGTATTCTCAACTACTTTTCTTTCCACATTAAATACACTCATACACTAATTCTGTTTGCTAGCTTTCTCCATCTTTGTTAGAAAATATTGCCAAATGGGCCCGGCACGGTAGCATAGCAGTTAAAAGTCCTCGCCTTGAACACGCTGGGATCCCTTATGGGCACCGGTTCTAATCCCGGCAGCTCTACTTCCCATCCAGCTCCCTGCTTGTGGCCTGGGAAAGCAGTGGAGGACGGCCCAAAGCTTTGGGACCCTGCACCCATATGGGAGACCCGAAAGAGGCTCCAGGTTCCTAGCTTCAGATTGGCTCAGCTTCAACCATTGCGGCCGCTTGGGGAGTGAATCATCAGATGGAAGATCTTCCTCTCTGTCTCTCCTCCTCTCTCAATATCCACCTTTCCAATAAAAATAAATAAATATTTTTAAAAAAATAAAATATTGGTCCTGGCACGATGGCGCAAGTGGTTAAGGTCCTCGCCTTGCATGCCCGGGATCCCATATGGGCACCAGTTCTAATCCCAGCAGCCCCACTTCCCATCCAGCTCCCTGCCTGTGGCCCGGGAAAGCAGTCGAGGACGGCCCAAAGCTTTGGGACCCTGCACCCGCGTGGGAGACCCGGAACAAGCTCCTGGCTTCAGATCGGCATAGCATCGGCCATTGCGCTCACTTGGGGAGTGAATCATCTGACGGAAGATCTTCCTCTCTGTCTCTCCTCTCTGTATATCTGCCTTTCCAATAAAAATAAATCTTTAAAAAATAAAATATTGCCAATTAATTTTAGCTTTTTATTCCATAGGTTACCTTCTCAAATCTTCTTTACTAACCCCATCACCCACCTTACTTCATAATCACCAGAGGACCTTGCTTTCTAATTTACTGAGAAACGAATCCATTCATTAGAAACTCCTTCAAAGTCCCACGACCAAGTACAAGAGCATTTACAACCATGTTTGCCTTTTTCCTTCTTAAAACGTTGGAAGATCTCTCTTCTGTGTACTGGAATCCATGAACTCTTGCCTTCAGGATCCCATACGGGTATGGGTCCCAAAGTTTGGGCCTTCCTGGACTGCTTTCCCGGGCCACAAGCAGGGAGCTGGATGGGAAGTGGAGCTGCTGGGATTAGAACTGGTGCCCATATGGGATCCCAGCGTATTCAAGGCGAGGACTTTGGCTGCTAGGCCAAGCCACTGGGCCCAACTGTTTCATTTTTTACAGAAGTACTCAGAGACTAGGTAACCAACCTGGGCCGTACTGCTAATAAATTACAAAATCAGGAGAAAGCTCAAGCCTGCTTTCAGCCAATATTCTTTAAAATACACACACACACTTCAAAGAGTCAGAAAGACAGAGAGGAAAGGCGAACTCTCCCTCCACTGGTTCATTCTCCAGAAGCAGTAATGGCCAGAGCTGACTCCCTATAAGGAAAGACCGTATACTGGGACACACAAACAGGACAGCCGGCCTCTGATTCAACAAGGATTTTGCTGTCTCACCAAAAAATGCAAAGAAAAGCAGACTGAATATCACTACAGACTAAACATCCAAGGCTATGGACAGATCAAAGCAGACAGCTGCCAAGTGTGGGAAGTGGTATCTCATACTTGATGCAACAAAGCCAACACCATCTCAGAATAACTGAGACTATTCAAGCAAAACCCTCAGGACATTCTTCCCTCCCAGGGTCCCAGAGAAGAACCAGGGACAACCTCTCCTGGCACTGATGGGATCTGGCAGCAAGGAACAACACAGCACCTCCCCGTCCTCCTGCCACACACTGCCCCCCACCGGAAGGAGGGTGTGGTTTTTGTTTTACCCTTACCCACCTTCCCCCTAAAACACCCAGAGACTGCATGGGTCTGCAACCCCCTCACAAACATTTTAAATAAATTTAAGTTAAACCAACCAACCACTCGGCTCTCGTTCCTGAGCCCATCTCTAAACAGTGAGCATCCCGGAGGCAGCGGTGAGGGGGTGACCGGGTCCTCACACCAACCCGCGTGGGAGACCTGTGCCCAGCCTCGGCTGTCCTGGACGTCTAGACACCGAGCCACCCAAGGGTGGCTTCTGCTCTGTGACCACCTCTCTCCTCTCAAATACATCAAAATTCAAAATTCAAGCTGAGTGATGGCCAATTCCCTGCTCTACATTTTCAACATCAACTCCTACTTCCTTCCACCACCAAAACCTGATGGATTTGTATCAGTAAGATATAAAGATTTATATCAGCAAGATATAAAACTAGCATGACTCAAGTAATTAGTCTATTTGGAGTTCCTGAATAGTTTCACAAAATCAGTCTGACAATTTACAGCTTAATTTCACTCCAAGTTTCTACATCTTAGTTGAGAAAATCAAAAATCCCCTTGATAACATTGTGAATAAGGAGTCAGAGAAAACCAACATTTGATCCTTAACAAACTGTCAATCAATGGGAAAGTGGCTACACCGGCACAATCTCCAGTTTGTTTTTTTCCAAATATGAATCCTGAAAACTGCCTTTTTTTTACTTCTTTTTTTATTATTATCATTTTATGATGCAGTTCCATTGGCCCTGGGATTTCCCTTATCCCCTCCTCATCTCCCTCCTGAGAACCGTTCTGTAAAAACAAACTCACAGCAGCAGTTGCTGGTTGGCAAGTGAACGCCGTTTTTCACACTGGCTGTACTGAAGCCTATAGGAATACCCTACTTACCTCCTCCTAGAAAGGCCTAAAAACCAGAGTGACTACTGAACGCGTTTCCAGGAGGAACATCGCAGAATTGCAGCACGTGACTATCTTACCTGCCCGTTTTTCCTTCGGGTCCTCCAAGGGGACGGGTTTCTTAGACACAGCATCTTTCACAGCTTGCCTTAGCTTCCGCTGCTCTTTTCGGTACTTCTTGAGCGTGCTTTGTTGTTTAAACTGCTTGTTTTTTAGCTTGTTTTCAAGTTTAACCTTGCTGGTTTTTATCAACTTCCGAAAGCTTGGGACCTGCTTTTTATTTCTTCTCTGGAAAAGTCACGAGGCAGACTAGTCAACTGACAAGATTAATTTCATTTTTTAAAAAACCAGGTTCAGGAGAAAAAAAAAAAAAAAAGGACTGCTTCGAAGTGTCATCAAGCCATTTCCAGAATTTTCATGGCTCTAGCATCTAAGAGCTAAAGCCAAACTGGCATTAACACGCGCCTCGCCTCGCCTCGCCTCGCCGTGCGGCCAAGGGCACGAGCGCTTCCTCAGGTGTCTGCGGGAGACCCCAACCCACAGTCAGGAAAGACTGAAAGGTTGCTCTCGGCTCGTTGGAGAATCCCGGCTGTCCTCAACACGTAACAGCTGCCGCTCAAACAGCGGGTTTGCCATTTGCAAACCTGCAGACAGCCGGGTTAAGCAGTGACCGCCGCTACGCTCCCACCGCAGAGCAAGCAGCGAAGCTCGGCCAAGCTGCCCAGCACCCCCAAACCGGCCAGGGACACTAAACCCCGAACTCCAGCCTCCGCCTGCACCCCTCCCTCCCTGCAGCGACCCCCTCACTCGCAAACCCCAGTTCTCAGACCTAACTACGAGATCCCAAGCACACCGCTTTTCTGTTTTCGAACCCTTGAAGGGGGCCAACGGACTGCCCCGGACCCCGTGACTCTGGGGTCACAGAGGGCTTCTCATCTGAGAGAGAGAGAGAGAGAGAGAGAGGGAGGGAGGCAGGGCTCGGGAGGCGCGTCCAGCCCTCGAGGTCTGACACGCTGCGCCAGGAACGCCGAGGCCTCCAGGCGCCCACGGCTGAGACCCGCGGAGAAGCCACACTCGGCCGCCACGGGGCCGCCCGGGACACTCACCGCCTTCATCCTGACGCCGTAAGCGGGTCCCACCAAGCCCAGACACCCAGCAGATACACACGTGCCAGATAAGCAACACCGTACGACCCGGAAATGGCCTACACGCCCTCTCCGTGCTCCGCCGGCGGAAGCGGGGGCGGGACTTCCGCGGGGGCTCGAGCGCGCCCTCCTGGTGGTAACGTGCCGGCGGCCTCCCTGGAGCGTGACCGAGCCCACAAGGGGCGGGGCGAAAGCCAACAGGGGGCGGGAGGAAGGGTAGGGGGCGGGGCAGGCTCGAGGTGGGCGGGGCGAAAGCCAACCGGGGGCGGGAAGAAGGGCAAGGGGCGGGGCCGACTCGAGGTGGGGCGGGGCTCCGAGGACGGAAGGACCAATGGGCACTACTGGGTGAGAATGTCTGAAACTTTGACTTTTGCCCAAGGTCTGTTAAAGTCAAGGGAAAATCAGAGGACTGGTTTTTCTCAATCACTTCACTGCGTGCCTTTCTGCCTCTCCGCACCCTCGTCTCTTGGTCTAGATGTTCATGGTTTGTCCTCCGTGAAGCATGGGATAGAGACACCGCCCACCGCTGGACAAGCGCTCAGAGCCTGTTTGTGGAATGACAGTTGACTTCTCACCGCCTTTGGCACTCAGAAACCTCTGATTCTCGATGTGTTTTTTCGAAATCATCTTGCTTTCATTTTAGGCAATGTCTGATAAGGAACTGTATCAACAAGACTCATCAGCTTCTCAATATTTTCCTATATGTTTGGGGGTAAACTCTATTGCGTGCCTGTCAATTCTGCCAAAGCCATTAAATTTAGCCTTAAGACTTACTCATTGCAAGCATGTGGTTTTCAAGGTGCTTGTCTCCCACAGATTTTTTTAACTTAAGAAATTTAAGAATCCCACTTCAGGTTTTCTTAATTTTCTTCTTCTTTTTTTTTAAGTAACCTGTTGAGGCACAGCACTGGCAGTCTGGCTTCAGTCCATGGCAGGTGAAAAAAATAAACAAATAAAACCAGAAGAGACTCAAAAGGGGCCCTCAATGATAATATTCTTTTTTTAAAAAAAGATTTATTCATTTATTGGAAAGTCAGATATACAGAGAGGAGGAGAGACAGAGGAAGATCTTCTGTCCGATGATTCACTCCCCAAGTGAGCGCAACGGCCAATGCTATGCCGATCCGAAACCAGGATCCAGAAACTTCTTCCGGGTATCCCACATGGGTACAGGGTCCCAAAGCTTTGGGCCATCCTCGACTGCTTTCCCAGGCCACAAGCAGAGAGCTGGATGGGAAGTGGAGCTGCTGGGCTTAGAACCGGCGCCCATATGGGATCCTGGGGTGTTCAAGGAGAGGACTTTAGCTGCTAGGCCACGCCGCCGGGCCCCCAATGATAATATTCTTAAACTAAAATAAGCCTGCCAAATTTTTTTAAAACTTATTTAATTATTTGAAAGGTAAAGACAGAGATCTTCCATTTGTTGGTTCACTCTCAAAATGGCTATAGAAACAGCTAGAGCTGAGCTGTTCAGCAGCCAGGAGCCAGGAGCTTCTTGGAGGTCTCCCTCGAGGGTACAGGGACCCAGCACTTGGGTCTTCCTTTGCTGCTTTCCCAGACAGAACAGGTGGGACTCAAACTGCAGCCATTTAGGATGCTGGACCCTAGGAGGTGGCCCAATCTTGGCCTGCAAACCTATCAGTTTCTATATCCCATCTCAAAGACCAAGAACATCCCTCTTCAGGCTTCGCAGCCTCTCCTCTCTCTTCCACACCCTGGCTCAGAAACAGCAGAGCCTGTCCCACTGGAGTATTACTTCATCCAATTCGAACCAGCAGCCTGTGCTTTTCTCAATTGCCTGAATTCCTTCCCAGGCGTATCAACACATCAGCAGTCACTCCCACTTGCGCAGCCCTCCCTCCGGTCTCCTGGGATGAGCCATACCCCTTCCAGCTCACATCAGCTCCTCCCTGTTTCAACAGACTCTTGGATCATTAATTATCCTTTCCCTCCTCTGCCCCCTCCCTCACCCTTTCGTTCTTCCCTTATCTCTTACTACTCTAAATGTGTCTCCTACATCCACAACTCCTTTTAATTGTTTTGTGTGTGTGTGTTTAGTTTCTTCCCTGCTTGTCCTTATTTCCAGAAGGGAAGGAAGCAATGTTCTCGCGGTTGCCTCCACTTCCTCTTCTGTATTATCAGAGCCCAAGCCTGCATACCATCTTTAAAAACTGCACCATACATTTGGCCCATTTCAAGTTTACAATCAACTGAAACCTCTGGATCATTTCTAAGGGATTGTTGCGATTGTTGCCAAGCCTAATCTCTTCCATCTTGAACTATTATTTGCAAACTAATAAAAAAAAATGGACGTTTACGTGACTCTTATTTAATGGTAATGGTTTCTCCTGCTCTGTGTTGTCTCCCATTCACTCAGTCCGCTGCTACTCCCAGCTGGTACTCCATGCCATCTTGGGTCATTGAGAACTTTCCTGGACAGTTGTGCTGAGAAGGGTCAGTGGGCTGTCCCCAGCTGGTACTGCAGGCATTGTATCCAGAGATTCCTAGGAGCCATTTCAGAGACTAGATCTGCCCATAGCATTCCACTGATACTGAGTTCATTCAAGTCACCAGGCACTTGCAAACTGATGGGATTTTTTGGTTCACACCCACACTACTAAGCTCTGAATCACATCATTTTTTTTGTTTTCTAACGTCCCTGGATCTTTCCATTGTGTTTAATGTTGAAGGTTTTTTAACTTCTTTCCTTAGCATGTTCAGCTCCTTTGGCTCTCCCTGACAACTTCTTCCTTCAGGGGCATTCAGAGTTCAGCTCTTGTCCCATTTTTGTACTTCTTTTCTGTTTTGTTGTTGTTTGTTCCTGTTCTTGATCATTTTTAATAATAAACTATTTTTAAAATACTTATTTTTATTCAAAAGGCAGATTTATAGACGAACAGACAGAAGGATCTTCCATTTGCTGGTTCACTTCCCAAATGGCCACAGCAGCCAGACTTGAGTTAATATGAAGCCAGGAGCCCACAGCCTCTTCCAGGTCTCTGTCACAGGTGCAAAAGCCACCGTACACTGCTTTCCCAGGTCACAGGAAGGGAGCTGGATGGCAAGTGAAGCATCTAGGACATGAATTGGTGCCCATATGGGATGCTGGCATTTGAAGTAGAGGATTAGCCTAATGAGCCATTGCACTAGGCCCATCTAATTCTTTTCTTGTACTACCTGCTCTTCCAGTGTGAGCTCATGCATCCATCTATTGCAAAGACATTTTGTCCAACCTGTGCCAACCCTAAAGTTTATGTCTTGTAGCAAGCTGCCTCTTGGACACATCTACTTGGTAGCCATTGGGCTTCAAATCTATATGTTCAAACTTAATCTATTTTGGCTTGCATCTCTTCCAGTATTCCCTATTTCACTCTGTGACTCACAGCTACAGTCCCTGGAGGAGGGGGACATTTACCATATTTCAGTTATTCCACTTCCTACAAACAAATGGACTTGCGAGGTAAACTGCCACTGGACAGACACAACTCAATAAGGCTCTGGTGATCCAAGCCCTCAAGATAGTTCATGGAAGTTGTAAGAAAGACTTTTGTTTTTAAAGAGTTATCACTTTGTAATATCTGTTGGGTGGTAACAACCCAATTCTCTGTATTGGAAATTAGAAAACAAATTTGTCATTGGGGGTCATTACTGTCAATCATCTTAGATATAAAAGAGTCAGGCTGCCCGAAATGCACACAAAGAGGACCTTGTGGAGATTAGAAGCATGGGTCAGGATCCAACATGGACGCCAGTTCGTGTCCTGGCTGTTCATTTCCCAGCCAGCTCCCTGCTCACAGTCAGGAAGGCAGTAGAAAATGGCCAAAGCCTTGGGACCTTCCACCTGTGTGGGAGACTCAAAAGAAGCTCTTAGCTCCCGGCTCCTGGTTTCAGATCAGCTGAGCTCTGACTGTTGCACGCATTTGGGCAGTGAAGCAGAAAGTTGAAGATCTTTTGCTCTGTGTCTCCTTCTCTTCATAAATTTGATCTGCCTTCCCCCAAAAAATAAATAAATCTTTTAAAAAAAAAAAAAAAGGCAGGGCCCAGTGCGAAAGCGTTGCAGTTAAAGTCCTCACCTTGAACATACGTCAGGATCCCATATTAGCACCGGTTCTAATCCTGGCAGCCCCATTTCCCATCCATCTCTCTGCTTGTGGCCTGGGAAAGTAGTCGAGGACAGTCCAAAGCTTCAGGACCCTGCACTCGCGTGGGAGACCCGGAATAAGTCCCTGGCTCCTGGCTCATGGGAGAACCAAGTTGTATGTCTGTCAGCTCCTTGATGAAAATTAACACAGAACAAGAGAGACATCACTTCCAGAGGTAAGGCTGATCTCATTTGTGATAGTTTAAAAATGTGTATTCTTGATGCTGGTGGTTAAGACACGTGTATTCCGGCCCAGCGCAGGGGGCCTAGAGGCTAATGTCCACGCCTTGAATGCTCCAGGATCCCATATGGGTGACAGTTCTAATCCCAGCAGCTCCACTTCCCATCCAGCTCCCTACCTGAGGCCTGGGAAAGCAGTTGAGCACAGCCCAAAGCCTTGAGACCCTGCACCCGCGTGGAAGACCTGGAGGAAGTTTCTGACTCCTGGCTTCAGATTGGTACAGACCAGCCATTGTGATCACTTAAGGAGTAAATCATCAGACAGAAGGTTTTCCTCTCTGTCTCTTCTCCTCTCTGTATATCTGACTTTGCAACAAAAATAAATAAATCTTTAAAAAAAAAAAAGACACCTGTATTGCATACTGGAGTAGCTGGATTCCGATTTCCAGCTAACATACACTGTGGGAGGCAGCAGGTAAAGACTCAGTTACATGGCTACTACGTATGTGAACACTGTGCTTCATCTTGGCCCAACCCCAACTGTCATAGACATTTAGGGAGTGAGCCAGTGGAGGAAAGCGTTGCCTCCTTAATAATAATAATATTAATTAATAGGAATATTAGCTTAAGAGTGAATTATTTACGATCATGCCATTATAGCATCTGAAAAAAAAATGTCCTCCACAAAACTGTACAGATTAGGATTATATATCTATGCTTGATTATTTCATTGGACTTAGGTCCCAAAATGTATGTTTGATATCAGCCCAAA